GCAACCCAACCGCAACCCAACCGCAACCCAACCGCAACCCAACCGCAACCCAACCGCAACCCAACCGCAACCCAACCGCAACCCAACCGCAACCCTGCCCTACCGCAACCCAACCCTGCCCTACCGCAACCCTGCCGCAACTTCGCGACTTCAAATAAAATATAAAGATATCCCATTAATACCGGGTGTCCCTCAGCAGTCGCTTACTCTCATTCTTTTTTTTTATTATTAGTGATATAAGAAAACCATTTGGAATGCATAATTATGTCGTTAAAACGAATTATTATGACCTGAAATCTGTCTCTTTGTACTTAAAAATAAAGCGAAATTACTACTCACATCCGGTATAACCGGAAGTACAATATGAATGATTTCATGACGTAATAATCCGTTTTAACGGCCTAAATATGCATTCCAAATGGTTTTCTTATATCACTAATAATAAAAAAAAATATGGGGGTGAGCCACTTCTGAGGGACATCCGGTATACAGGATAGTAGGAATCACTTCGTTTGGAACTAATTGTGGAATAGCTCCTGGTGTTTATACAAGAATTTCGCATTATTATATACCTACCTTTGATTGAAAAAATTGTATGGCCTAATTAAAAATAAAAAATAAATTATAACTTTATTTACCTTAACAAATCCATGAAAGCGTATCAAATTTTAAGAAAAAACAATTTAAACTTAAATTATTCATTCTTATGCACGCCCACTTTAAATTATTCTTTTATCAAGGTAACTCCTCGGTGTGTTCACTCAGTTTTCGACCATGCGGTTTGTTATTAACATCTTCGTAATCATTATTCTGGCGACATCGTGCGTCACAACTCAAGGTAATCAACACTTTCATGTAAAAAAATTTATCAAAAAATAATTCGTTTAGAAATCGGCGAACAATGTATTCTAAACGATGGGTCATCAGGCGTTTGCAAACTAATTTTTGAATGTGTTTCCGCTCAAAATGATTTGAAACTAAAAATTAGACCGAAACACTGTGGATGGAATGGAATGAATCCGATTGTGTGTTGCAAACAAACTCCTATTTTAGGTAGCAGATCGTCGAAAAGTGAAGAAAGTAAGTTTGAAAAAACGATTAAATTACAAGATAATTTTATTTATTTATTAAGAATGTATTCGTGAATATTCTAATTTGGATATTACAACAACTATAACAACAACAACAACGACTACTACAACTACATCTAAATATCCGGTGTATTTTGCTGTTGGAGGGGTAAACGCGGCAATTGCGGAGTTTCCCCATATGGCTTTATTAGGATATGGAACAGAAACTAAAGAATATCAATGTGGAGGAAGCTTGATTAGTGACCAATTTATTTTAACAGCAGCTCATTGTTTACAATCAAGGGATTTGTAAGTTTATTTTCTTATGTCATGCAACCAAGTATACACGTAACTTGACCTTCAAAATATAACAACATTAACTTTTTGTGTTTTTTATAGAGGCCCAGTTTCTGCAGTAGTTTTAGGTGATTTAGATACTGGAACGTCTTTTGACCATGCAGAACCACAACATTTTTCAGTAATTGAAACATTTCCACATCCGGATTATGATTACGCAACATTTTATAACGATATAGCCTTAATAAAATTGGATCGACCTGCTATTTTTACATTATATGTAAAACCAGCTTGTATTCAAACGAAACACGATCTACAACACGATAATTTGTCGGCGACCGGTTGGGGTGCTCTCGAGTTTGGAGGTTCTATGTACAATTATTTACAAAAAGTTAACTTAAATAATCTGCCGATAAAAAATTGTTTGAAAACTTATGGCCCTCAAAGTAGATTACCACAAGGTTTTAACGAAACAATTCAAATTTGTGGTGGCAATCTTCAAGCAAGAATGGATACGTGTCAAGGCGATTCAGGAGGTCCGCTACAACTTAAAATTAAAGATTTTCCACTTACATATAGAATAGTGGGGATTACTTCTTTTGGAAGTAATTGTGGATTAGTTCCTGGTGTTTATACGAGAGTTTCACAGTATGATTCTTGGATTGAATCGGTTGTTTGGCCATAATAATGATTTTTTTTATTATTTTTATAAATAAAGAATGATTAAATTGCTGTTAGTCTTATTTATTTACTAAATCTCAAAAGTGTTCACAAGGAAATTAAAATTGCCTTATTTTAAAAAAATGTATTAATAAATCTTGTTTGTAATTTGAACAATCATCATACAATACATCACACTGTTCACAGAGAAATTAAAATTTATTTACTGATTCCAAACATTGTCTTCTATCCATGTAACATATGCGGAAACTCTTGTATACAATCCAGGAACTAATCCACAATATTTTCCAACCGAAACAATCCCCACCACTTTATAAACAATTGGATTACTCTGAATGATTCTTTGTAGAGGTCCACCAGAATCTCCTTGACAAGTATCTCTACCACCCACAAAACTTCCCGCGCAAATTTGAGTATCATCAGCAATCCCTCGTAGTAAATTAAAAGCTGGTTTATAAGTAACATCACAATCTTTTTTGGCGTACACATGCAAATTAACTTTTTGTAGAAAACTATGAATATCAGAACCAAAAGATAAAGCGCCCCAACCGGTAGCTTTTAAAGTAACATTTTCAAAAGAATATTTAGTTTGAATACAAGCAGGACGAACAAAATCACTAAATTTTACAGGTTTCTCTAATTTTAACAATGCAATGTCGTGGTAATGAGATGTTGATGTGTATTCTTGATAAGGTATCGTTTTGGATATTTTATATTGTTGGGGATCCGCTACGTCTTTTGTGCTATAAATATCCAAGTCGCCTAAACGAACGAATTTTACATCCCCACTACGAAAAAGAATTAATTATTTTCTTAAAAATCAAATAAAAAAGAATTAAATTACAATTCGCTCGAATAAAGACAATGGGCTGCTGTTAAAACAAATTGTTCGCTAATTAAAGTACCTCCACATTTCCATTCGGTGCTGTTTTCATTTCCATAACCCAAAATTGCCTAAAATGAGGAGTGTAAGAAAAATAGAAAAATTAATTGATTTTTTAAACCATGTGAGGAAATTCTTTAGGGACTGCATCTTCTCCGCCTGTTATTAGAGGATCCTCATCTCTTTCGACTCCAAATTTTAGTTTGCTGTACTCAACACATTCTAAATTTCATTTTTAATAAAATTAAATAAATTTACATTTTATCCTTACTTTGTTCACTTTTTCTTAAATCACTTCTTTTATCTTCTTGGGCACAACAAACGATCGGTTGCAAATCTTGAAACGAACATATCTTTGGTTTAATTTGTTTTTTAAGTTGATCGAAAGCCCCAGGGCATTCCGTAAAAAGTTTGCAGACACCTTTGCTCTCATTATCAAGATCACACGTTTCTAATGAGAATAAAATTGGTTATGAGACAAGATTTTAGTTATGTTAATTGTCAAATCTTACCTTGAAAATTCCCGAGGTTAATAAGTCCTAGGAAAAGTAAAGATGTTACTACCAGTTTTAGAGACATCTCAACCGCAACTGGTTTGTGATAATTTATGCATGTAATTTCATAGGTTGCCTAATAGATAATTTTATTTACGTGTATGATAATAACAAAGTCTTGGAATTAAAATTAGATTATAATTATAAGTGTAAAATTTGTTTATTTCAAAGTATTTAAACGGTGCACAAGATCGTAAAATAGGAAATAATGTATAATAATAAAAAATATTTTTTTTTATTTATTACAGCATTTATTTATTACTACTTTAAGGTAGCGTTGTAATTCAAATCCAACATTGTTGGTTGTTATATACGGTGTTGGGTAGATGGCGCTAGCGGTAAAGCTAATAAAGAAGAGACCAATATGATATAGAAATAGTAAAAATTACAATATGTAAGGTCCGTTGAGTATTGGCAAGGTCCGTTAAGTAAACAACTACTGTATAAGCTTATCCAACTGCCTATGAACGCTGTTGTTATGAACGTATCCCCTCCGCAAAGGCCTTGTTGTGACGTCATTTCAAGAATTGTCATTTCTGTTTTCATTTATATACGTAAACCAACACAAACTCTTTATTTCTTGAGTTTAATAACACTTGTTTAATTTTTAAATAATTATTAACATAAATATTATTATTATATTATATCATATTATGTTATATTTTTCCTCCAATGATGTCAAGTTGTTCGAATTGGATTACCTTATAACTTATAAAACATAAGCAATACTCAACGAACCTTAAATATTATTATTATATTAACATATATATTATATCGATACTACAATAAGAATACTACTTTACCGACATTTTTCATAATAACATTTAAAAACATTAAAAATTAAATTAAATAAAATTTAAGAGAAAGAAACGTCTATTTAATTAATTACTTTAGCATAATGAATGCACCAATTTATAATTATAATATTATAAGTTTCTAAGGGCGATAACAAGATATTTATAAATGTATTTGTTGGTATAATCGGGAACTGTTTTTAACTGTCAAATTTGACAGTGATTTCCGCTAAGATGTTTAGATCCCGGTTATTGACATAGAATTTTTTTAATAAAAACTATCTCTTGATTGTATGTACAACAGTAATTGTGATAATTTTACTTAATTATTTTTAAAATAAAATGGATATATTCAGTATTGTATTTTTAACAACCGTTTCATTATTGTTCGGTATAATTCTAACATTGGTTGTGCAGTATTATGTGTTAGTGAAGTGTTTCAACAAGAATCCCTTGGCTGAGAAGCCGGAAAAGTTGAGAGAAGAAGTCTTCAGCTTACCCGAGGTAATTGCTGTAATGTTTTTTAGGTTGCTATTTAAACAACTTGATTGTTTTAGGGTTTAAAACGAGATATAGACGCTGTTGACAAAAAGTCTGATTCAAGCTTGCCCATAAGTTTAATGTTACAATTTCTATTTTATGAATTACGACATACAGAGTCAGTTAAAAGGTGGCTTTATAAAAAGCTTTCATTAGAATTCGATGAGTTACTTCATAAAACTACAGTCGGAAAGTTTTTCGATGCAATTAAAATAAGTGATATGAACATTGGATCTCAATTCCCAGATATACAACATATAGCTTTAGAAGATGTTAAGTTAGATAAAACTGATGGACACATAGAAACCCTTAATGTAGCCATAGATATAGAATATGCTGGAAATTTTATGCTTTCGATCGATGCCAAGATGAAATTTGGTAAAACGGCTTATTTATCAATTAAATTAAAGAAAGTGTGCGGGAAAGCTAGGTTACAATTTACAAGGATTCCTTATACCCATTGGTCGATAAGTTTTTATAATGACCCCGTTCTTGAATTAGCGGTTGAATCACATTTTCAAGGGAGACAACTTCAGGCGAATATAACCGGCCTAATTATGCATCAAATCAAAAAAGCTATACGCAGAAAACATACTTTACCTAATTATAAAATTAGATATAAACCATTTTTTGTAAAGACTGATCCCGGACAATTAGATAACGAGGACAGCGAAATCATACCCCAAGGACAATTAGAAATGAATTGTCTCGACGTAACCAGACTTTCATATACATCTGATATAATAAACGTTTATTGTACATTTACAGTAGATTCAGTACCTTATATAAGTTTGTATACAAAAGAAAACGTAACTTACTTAGTTCTTGAATTAACATTAACAAAAGTACGTCATCAACATTTAGGTGTAATTTTTAAACAAGAACAAACAGGAGTTTTCGTCGATTCAATAACACCATTAACACCCGCTGCTATAGCCGGTTTAAAAGCCGGAGATATGCTTTTAGCCATCGAAAATAAAAATGTAAATAATGTTGCAAATGTTGCCAAATTAATAAAAGCTATATCAAGCGTGAATATAACGCTTAAAGTTGAACGAACAGTTCAAGATTACGTATTTAAAACGAAATCGAAATATGATAAAAATGAAAAACTTGAAATGAGTTCTAAAATTGTTAACACCCCATCAAGCATTGACGATCTTGAACTGGAAACAAATTCGGAAAGTTTAGAATTGATGGTTTCAAAGAAAAAAAGTGACACAAAAGTTCCTAAAATACTTGCTGGAAATGAAAATATGTCGAAATTCGCGCAAACAATCGGCAATTTTACGCTAAGAAAACGGAAACAATCCGTTGAAAGAACGTCAAATGATAACAGTACGAAAACAACGCCGAACGCATCAAGTCCAGGAACGCCACAACATTCCCTAAAACATTGTATCTCAATCCCAAGTACGATTTTATTGAATAAGAAACATTCCATTGCCGAATTACCCGAAATTGTTCGAACCGATTTAGAAACGCAAGATGTGGAGATTTTATCAAGTGTAAATGAGTGTATTAAAGGAAAGGAATTAAGTGTGGGCAGTTTGATTTCTTTTAATGATGATATTGTATTTTCGTTAAAAGAGAAACATAAATATTTAAATATAAACGTTTGGGGTATTAATGGGAGTAGAAATGAAATTCTTTTGGGATATACCAATATATCGTTAAGTGAAATATTAAATGAATGTTGTAATTCGATGTTGGGGCAATATATGAGAACTTATTCTTTTTTACCACCTACTAATATTCCACCTACAAAGTAAGTATAATTTATTTCCAAAAAAACTCAAAAGTTACAGGTCTCTACATAACACATCAATCTTGTTTTGTTTTATAAAAATAAGATATCTATATATATATACAATATACAACGAATAGACAGTCAAAATTCTTTTCCTCATTTAGAATTGTTAGATTATTCAAAGTAGTAGACTCGAAATCACTGTGAATAAATATTGCAACTCCTCCTCTTTCAAAGAAAGTTCTGCTAAAAGATGCAACCAGAGAGAAATTTTTAAAAGTTATCAAATTGAGTTTCTCTTTTTTCAACCAATGTTCACTTATACATACAATTTTTATATTGTACATTGACATTGTTGCAGTACAACTTTCAATCTTTTTCAAATGAAATTTCTCTTTTATAAAATAACAATTAAAAAATGACGATAAAGTAGTGCACGATTTTATCATAATTATGTCAAACTTTAAAAACTTTTATTAATTGTAGTTTATTTAATTTTTGTAGTTCTACTCATCCATTAATGGCCCATTCAGGTTTTGAGCACGTTTTTTGTTATGGTGATATTCTTTTATCGTTCGTATGGAATCACGATGAAGATAACGTTGAAGTTCGACCAAAAATAATTCCGGATAACATTGAAACGAAACCCAACATTATAACTGGTACGGTTAAACACGACTTTATACGGACACAATTTCATAGAACCACTCATTGTGATTTTTGTACAAAAAAGGTATAAATTTAATTTTTGTTTTACCTATAAGATTTGATTTTTAAGTTTATTTTAGATCTGGTTAAAAGATGCCGTTCAATGCCGTCAATGTGGTTTATGTTGCCATAAGAAATGTATAACAAAATGCCAAGTAAGCACGGATTGTGTGCAAAGTGATATTGTTATAAAAACGGATGGAATCGAAAGTGACATATCAATTAAGGATGTAATTGTTCAGGATGATTTATCTGGATTGGATAAATCCGATACAGATAGTTCCGGTGAATTAAAAAGTAGTTGTAATTTAAAACGCGTCAACAGTGCTAATAATTTAACTATACCAGGTAGAAACAATAAAAATATTTTATTAAAGTTTTAGCACCAAACATTTCTATTCGCTTCTTTTATTCCCCACAAATTATTTCTTTTAGGTTCTCATGTTACAACTTGTCAATCACGTAGCTTGCCACCATCACCACAACACACGCCTAGCCGCAAACAATCTCTCGTCGATACAAATCCGTTCATTTTATGTCCTGCTGTCTTAGATGACGTCTTCAAAAATCCAACGGAAGCAGCTGAATGCGTTTCGCAACTTCTCGATCATATTTTGTTATGTCCGAGTGATGAATCCCTTATGGATGCTGCCAAAGATACTGGTAAACAACTTTACGCCACCGTTCCAATGGAAGAAAAAGTTGATAAGATTAATACGATGGTGAGATGTGATAAAAATAAAAATGTATGACGTAAATTTATTTTTTTTAGATGGGCGAATTAAAGAAAGTGTTTGATATTGTTACAATGGAACACGCAAATTTATCAAAACAATTAAATTCTGAAGAATCAGAAGTGGAAAAGACGAGATTAGCTTTTATGATGGGTAAAGCTGATGCAAAAATGCACGCGATATCAGCTTTAATGCTGCATTATTGTACAAGTTTACAACAATCTCAAGAAAAAATTGTTTAAATCGTCGTTGTATTTAGAAAAAAAAACATTAGTAGGTTGTGGTTTCTTCAATTATGTTTGTTGTTTCCCATAGAAACGTTTTTATTGGTTTCTATTTATAATTTTTGCTTATAGGATAGGTATTCTAACAGTTATAAGTCACTACAATTAAACGATTTGCACTAATAAAAGAGTAAAAAGAAAATTTTTGAACACAGTATTAATTTATTTATATTAATTAACCTTTCAGTACACGCTACTTACGCAGTTCTCGTTAAAGTAGTACTTTTATTTATTTGTTTTATTTCACAAGTATTAATATTTATTAGAATTGTTATAATTAATATCGAATGTTTGTGTTCATTTAAATATTCTCATAAAACAGCAAGCGAACAAAATTAGAAATTTAAAAAGGTCGCGCTCGTGTATTGAAAGGTTAAGATAGATTATTTATATTTAGAGAAAAAAAGGAAATGAAAGATACTCTAGTCAATTATATTTTAATTACTATTTTTCTTATAAAAATCTCATTTATAGCACATCTTTTTATGGTTCTTTTTTTCTATAATGACAATTGCTGATGTGATTGTTTAAAAGTCCTAATTTGTTGTAAATTATTTTTTGTGTTGAAAAGATTGTCCCATTTATAATTATTAAAGTAACACCAAAAATAATGGGACCACAAGACTTTTAACAATTCCATTTAATGCATATTAATTATAAAAGCGTTTTCTATTTATTATATTTCTTATTTGTATCTATACCTAAATTATTTAATGAGCGTATTGTTCATTGTGATAAAAAAAATAATAAAAAATATTAAAAAAAAAATTTATAATTTATTCATCTTGGGAATTTTGAGATAAATCGTATTTAACGGTATATATTTGTTTAACTTTTTCAATCTCGTTTGCCCACTGTACTTTCCATCTTTCCAATCGTTCCACATTTTCACTATCCTCAGTTTGTAACGCTAAAAGAATATACAACCTTTCTACTTCATACGCATTAACAGCATTTCCAATATCGATTAAATCATCAGTTACATCATACTCGGAGCTTTTAACGAACGAAGTAAAAGAAGAAGATACGTCGTCAAATTCATATTTTTTTTTTACTTTTTCGCGAAATTTATTTAAATTTATGCATGCTGTCGGTGTTTCACTCGTTTTTGAATTTAAGCTCTCTTCTAATTTTACTATTCCTTTTGCAAACGTTTCGAGAAATTCTTCACCTCTCGAATACTCTTCTTGTAGTTGATTCACATTGGTTTCTTCGTTAAACATTGTATAAGCTTCTGTTGCTAAGCTTGCGTATTCTTCTAACGTTGATTTAAACGTTTTTTGCATATCTTTTAGATCACACTGCATTTAAAAAAATAAGAACAAAATAAATTAATAAAATTTAGATACTTAACAGTACAAAACTCTAAAGATGGTAAAAATATATTTCTCCACTCATCGAAAAACCCATTCATTTCTTCATCCAACTCATCCAAAAGACATTGATTTTTTGGATTTCCGTGTAAAACCAATAATTTCTTATGAATATTATCGAAAATATCGTTTTGTTTGAAATTAACTTCACCGAGACGTTTTATGAATAATCGATGAATCTCTTTAATTTCTTTGGTCATTTTGTTTTTGTACTCTTCCAATAATCGTTTACAGATTACTTTTATAAACAAACTGGTTTCGTTTAATTTCGTTATAAACAATTGTAATTCTTGTAACCAAAACATTTCAGATTGAACGTAATAATAAACATATGTTGGTAAATTTGTTGCTACAAAATCATCATATGATGGCAAAATTTTATTTTCAGTGATAAAGCTTTTGGGTTCGTTTTGTTCATAAAATATCTAAAAAAAATATCAAGAACAAATATGTATAATAACTAAAATATAAGTAGATAATGTTAAAGTAATTAAATATTTCTAGAAAATCATGTATGTAACGCCATTTAGTGGTAGGTAGTCTTTTGAATGTTACGCGCGTTGCTATGTTCGGACCGTATACAAGCTGTCATTTTTTAGTTTTTAAGTAGAGTAACCAATAGAGTAGCAACAACGTCTTCGAACATACTTCGTGTTGTGTTTAATAGTGTCAAGTTAATAGTTAGATATAGTTATAATATATAATAATATTAGTTATACTCTGTTTTTAAACCAGGAGGAGTATTTTAAATTTGTCACCAGATTGACCTTGCACGTGATTGGTTGAATGCGAGGAAGGTTCACACACAGGCAATTTTGAATTTGAAGGTTAGGTAATTGATAATTCGACAGTTTCGTGTCATTATTGTATATTTTGTGTTCTTAAACCCTTTTTTATTATATTTTGAAATAAATACACTCATAACTTTAATGTTAATTTGTATGTTTAGTGTTGACGATAACAAACGAAAATAAATACAATAATAAGTAAATAAATAAATAATAATAATTATTAATTTAAATTTACCGCCAAAATATCTAGTGATATTTTCTGGTGATTTTTCCTAGTGTAAATCTGACTTTCGCGTTTACTCCTCCTGGTTTAAAAACAGAGTATAGATATAATAACAGTTATAGTTAGATTGTTGTAAATATGTATTGCTAAAAATCAAATATACTTCAAATATTACTAATACCAACTTTAAAAAATTTAAACACAAAATTCATAAATAAGAATGTCAAATTAAAAAAAAATTGGCTTTCAGTTTAAAAAACCGTTTAATATTTTTTTTTGTTAATAATGGCAGGACGTGGTTTAGAGATACATAAAGAATTTGCTTTAAAAGGAGCAGTAGAAAAAGAAGATCGTTTAAGATTGGCGTGGTTTCGAAAAAATGAGGAGAAGCTGACGGAATCTGCAAACGCGCCATTACAGCGTCAAGTTCCGGCGGAACTTAAAGAAGATTTACGAAACCATCGAAGAGAATATCATAACAATAAAGAGTTCCGGCCGAAAGTTCATATTGGAGATCCGGATCCACCTTTGGTTGATCCAAACGCTTTTTACCACGTTATGAAACCAATCGATCCCGCCGTTGTAAAATTACTGTATGGTAGTGGAAGATATAATCGAATTGCTTATTTAAAGGAAAGAGTAAAAACAATTCCGGATAAACGTTTTTATTTACCGGAAACGACAAATTTTACTTACGGTTGGAATATGTGGGAATGTGCGAAAGATAAACCTAATTATGGATTTGGAAGGTGTCAAGTTATTAGGGATTCCTTTTACAGGAGATTTAACGTTGGAAAAGATCCCGATTGGTACACTTATCCTGCTAAATTAAGTCCAACTGTTTGTAATTAATTTACCTTGGAAGCTTCTTGGATGGTTTTGAAGGAGTTTTGTATTAAAAATTGATTCTTCCCTAAAAAGGTTTCTTCATCTTGGATCGGTTCATAATCAAAAATTTGTTGCGAATAATTTGGAGGATTTAAATGAATAAATTTCCCTAAAAAAAATTACTTTTAATTAATAAAAAAAGAAATTTAATTGTTAAGCTTTACCATCATCTTCTTGAGATGGTCTCGTAAATCTCTTTCGTAATAGCGTCGTTTCTTTTAACATAACCCTTATTAATCTTCTAAACTCATGAATTCTAGTTGCATCTTTAACAAAAGGTTCAGATTTCTCTTTTACATCATCTATTAAACCAAAAAGCGATTTCCGGTGACATTTCAATAAATAAGCTTCTCTTCCAATATCAGAATGAACTTCTTTGTGAGTATTTACCATTAGGTCGTAGTATTCAAGTTCAATTCGGTATTTTTCTAACCTAATTTTAAAAATTATTTTAACTTAATTTAAATTATAATTAAAATCGTACATTTTACTCGTCGCCGTTTGAATGGAATTAACTCGTGATAAACATTTATGTAATATTCCCGAGCTTTTCTTAAAAACACCTTTTAATTTCTTTTTAAATCCTTTTTCTAATTTACTCAAAGCAGATGCGGCGGTTTTAACTTCTTCCGGGTGAAAATTACCGTAGTTTTCAAACGTTTTCATTGAAGATATAAAAGTGAAATTTGATTTTAAAATTATTCCAATTTGATCTTTACATTTTGTATGAAAAGTTTCATCTAACTCTTTTAAAGTTTTGGTACATTTTTCGGTTAGACCATTATATACAACAATTTCTCCTAAAATTTGGCGACTATTTTTAGCCTCAGGTAATTTTAATTGTGTTGTTTTGGATTTTTCGGTGAAATCATCAACTTCTTTATCGTAATTTTCTTGGTAAGTATTGAAAAATGTGGAAAAATTATCAATTTGTTTTGTAATTCCTGCTGTATGACTTTCAAATCTTTGAGTGTGTTCTTTTAATTCAGCTAATCTTACGTTATATAACACCGGTTGTAGCCTGTTGTATCTACTTTTATGTATTATATTCTGCGAAATATTTTTGCGTAAATTAAACTTTTCGCGTTCTTGTTCAATCCAAAGTCTCGACGCTTTACTACATTCTTCATCGCAATAATTAAGATATGCCTCTATCGTTGAGTACAACCTAAAATTTAAATCACAATTTTAATTAATCACTTAAATTTGATTATTTACTTCGATCTCCAAGCTTTTATATCCAAAAATTCGTTTTCGTATAAATCAAGTTCATCTTGCATCACGCTAATTCTGTCAAACTCATCATTTTCTATCTCTTCTTCTTCTTCATTAGCTCGAAATGATTCGTTAACGGTCAAAAAATTAATTAACTCTGCTTTATGTAGTTCACCTTCAACGGTTACCAACTTCAACAATTTATCTTCCATAACTTTTGATTCTTTTTCATAATTTGCGTTGTACATTTCATTGATGGTGTCTAAGCTTTTCTTAAACATTGCTATACTTAAATTTAAATTTTCTTCGCATGGTTCTTGTCTTAACACATCCAAAGTTACATTTATATTTGCTTCCTCATTCTAAAAAAATTAATAAACTTGAACTGAATTTATTAATTGTTTTTAATCTTACTGAAAGATCTAAATAACTATTATCGGTGCATTTTCGGACATCTTTTACAACTAAACTTTGAGCTTCGTTCATTCTAAGAACATGAGCTTCCCATAAATTAGCAAAGGTGTTTAAAAACATAAAGGTAAGTTGAAGTTCTTTATGGAGTTCACTGGAAATAGCATCCCACATCGCTTGGAGTTTTTGAAGCATTTTTTGAAATTTTTTACCCATCTCGGCTATTGATGGGCAATAAATTTCCGGTGTAAAGATGTCTTCGGTTTTCGGATTATTACCGACTACCCCCAATTTTAGTATTTTCTCGGCGATTTCTTTCAAATCGGCAAAATAACTTTTAAAAACTGTTTGAATAGCCGTTCTAAAACTTTTTATTATATCTCTTGCACACCAATCTAAAAATAACAATGTAATTCTAACAAAAAAGAATTTCATTTTTACCAATTTGTTGTACAACAATTTGTACTTGATTAATCCAATCGTGTAATTCGCCCAAATCTAAATCGGTTAACTTGGTTCTTTTTAATAAATCGATTAATCTAGGATCTAATCGATACTTAGATTTCGTAGCTTCGAAAGTCTCACCGAAAAGATTTTCTTCGCTAGAAAAGAAAAATTAATAAAGAATTTAAATTAAATTTTTAATCACTTCTTACTTTAATATTGTAAAAGCTGTCAATTTAATATAATTAATCCAATTCAATTTAATCATTTCGATTTCTTGTAATCTCATCCTAGTTTCGTTCTCTACATTTAAACTAAGCTTTAAATACAAATTTTGATACGATCTTAAATTATTCAAAGTGATCTCGTTAACATCTTGAATTTCCTGTACGAAAAACTCTTGTATTTCAAACGGAGTTTTATAACAAATCTCATTCAATCTTAAATAAGCAACTTGAAGAAACGTTTTGAATTCTTCGATTCTTTGATTTTCGCGTAATTTTAATTTGTCGATTAAAACAACAACTTTTTCACTTTCCAGTTTGTAAGTTTCCATTAATCCTTCGATGGCTTTATCAAAATGTTCTTGTTTTAAACATTGTTCGTTGTGAAAAGCAGCCCGTAAATTCGATAATGACTCATCCATATTTATTAACGAAGTTTCGAAATTCTTTTGGTATATATCTCCTAATAATCTTATTTCATCTTCTACGTTTGAATTAACATTAGCCATTTTCTCCCTCATCGTATCTAAAGTTGCTTCATGATCAGCTTCTTTCTTTATTAAAAGTTGATGGATTATTTTTGATTTCTTTTTGTTAACAACCCAATCCGATGGTAATCCTTTTATTATATCTTTCGTATCATCTTTTTTTGATCCCACTGCAATCGGTGGTAATTTTAAACAGTTTGAATTAATTTGTTTATGCGATAAGCAATGTTGTTGAATATTCTTTCTACGCAAAATGAGGCTGTCTTTTATTGCTGCGATCGTACGACCTCCTTCGGAATCTTCAGTTAAGGTTTCATCAATTGAATAATCGCTGTTTTCGGTTCCCTCTTCTTCTTGGACTTCATTTTGATCTAATGAAGAAGCAACGTTAAATCGAGAAGAGAGCATAAGAAGTTAAATAAGGTTTTAATTTATATTTGTCAACTTATTTTTGACATTAAATTGTGGGGTAATTGCAAATTGCAACTTTGGTACCCAAGGTTTTTACAAAATACACCTATAGTTCGTTTTTTTTTCTATAATACTTGTCAAGGTAAATTTCAAAACACAAATAAGTATTTAAGGTATATGTAAGGTATTTGTCAAATTAGTAATAAATAAAATTGTAATAAAATAACAGTAAAAATAAATAAATACTTTTATTTTTCTTGCAACAAAATTCATAAATAAATAAAACAACAATACTTAAAGTCTAAAAACATTTTGCTTAATCCTTATTAACTCCTAATTTTCTTTCTTTTCCCAAAACTGGGATGTCGTTGAAAATGTTCTACACCATCATCTTGTAAATTTTCTCCAAATTCCCGTTTATCCTCCAATTGATCATTTCCGCCACTTTTTTGATTATCTTCATTCTCATCGAACCGTTCATTATCAGGAACATAAATTGAAATCGGAACGGAATTAGTGGTTTCGACGTTCTTATCGTTAACATTGTTTACAACTTTCCCGGCTTCTTGAAGATTTAAAATCGACTCAGCCCCTTTTACATCTAATTTAGTCGAAATCTTAGGAAAATAAACATCCAAACTTTGTTTCAATTCCGGTTCAACTTTGTTATTATTCGAAATGACCTCGCTTCTCGTATCAAAGAAATGTTGCACAAATTGAGCCTGCGCCAACGCTTCACCATCATCATAAGCCGGTTTTACACTGTAATCGGCAGTCACTTTAGTCATTTGACTCATTTGATTTTGATTCCTTTGGTCGTCTAAGTCAAAAATTTGAAATTGTGGTTGTTTTTTGAAGTTTTGAGGGGAATTTCTCGGGAAGTTTGTTACATATTGAACGGGAACGTAAGCTTCTAACGGTTGCTGTTGACTCGGAAAGTTATTTAAGAGTTTATAAAACTCTTGAGTTGTCATTTGAGTCGGGTTGGGTTGACTCGTTGGTTCTTGAACGATTTGGGGTTGTTGGGAAAACTGAACTTGGGGCGAAACTAAAAATTCGGCGTGTGGTTGTTGATTTGAATCGGAATTAAAAAAAACTTGATTCGTTGATTCAGTTACTTGGTATTGATGACTTTTTTGAATGTGTTTATCGTTGTGATGTTTCCCATGATGATATAGCTTTTGAACTTGATGTGCTGCCTGATTTTGTTGATCGTTAAAATTAAACTGAAGGTTTTGGTGGGGGGCCGTGTAAGCTTGTGCAAACGGTTTTAATTCGTCGACGTGTTTTGGTCTATCGGCCAAACTTAAATTAGGTGCTGGAATCGTGTGGATTGGGCCTTTTTCGTCTAATTGCTTGATCGTGTTTGGGTGGTTATTAGGAATACTGTTTGTTTGCAGATGGAAATCATATTCTGGTAAATTTATTGCAGGGGAGGACAAAAATGGTTTATCCGTTGTTAAAATTTTCATTTGTGACATTTGATTCGGCCAAGAACTTCTTATTGGTGGTGGTGGTGGTGGATGTCTTCCAATTTGAGACTGAGGGGGGCCAAGCGGTTGTTTATTTTTAAATTTTTGGCTATTTTGAGGAATATGAAGTGGAATCGGTCTGGGACCTCTTTGTTGTTGTAATGATTGTTGAATCGTTTGTTGCATTGATTGCTGCAATGATTGTTGCATTGACTGTTGTATTGAAGGAATCGATTGAATCGGTCGATTTTGATGGTTCATGTGCCATTTCTTTTGATTCATTGGATATTGTTGCATTTGATTACGAGGGGGTTGCGGTCTTAATCCTCTTCGATAATTTGCATTTGTGGATTTTAATTTTAAGCACCATATTGATATTAAAAGAATTAATGTGATCTAGAAAATTTTTCTTTTAATAAAGTAAGAAAGTTTCAAAGTTATTACCTTCATCTTATTTAATATTTAAGATAAACCAACGGTGTCACATTCACTTTAAATCCTCACTCTCTCAAAGAACTTTTCTTAAAAAAAATTTCTATGTTGTATTGGTTCTGAACCGACCGCACATAGTAAACTAAACAAATAGGTCAGTCTTCGGACTTATATAGTAGCTTTTCTCTCTTCACCGGTTAACAGAAAGAAAAAAGCGTCGGTAAAGAAACAAGAAACGCGTCGTGGACGTTGCAGGCGTCGAAAACCATGAATTATTTAGTCGCGTTTCTAAACTCTTTATCTCTAACGCGTTTTTTTTATTAAAAATTGTTTTCTTCGGTTCATACAAAAATTTCCACTTTATTTATTTATTTTTTATCTTCACCTGTTTATGCTGACCGTGACCTAAAAAACATTCCGCAAGCATCACAAGGACGTTCAAGGTACTCGAGAAAGAGGCTCATTTTAAGTCATTTTACGTTTACAGCTGAAAGCGGTAGCTGAAGAATAATGCATATTAACGAGGAAAGTGAGATCAACATTAATTTTCTCCTTTTAAATCTCTCTTCTCAATTATTTGAAATAAATAAATTATCAACGATCTTCATTCGGTCTAATAATTGCGCGAAAAAACACAATTTTCTTTTTAATTTCTCTATGAGTGTAAAAAGAAATAATTGTAATGAATCGTATGAAAGAATATCCAATTAGAAACACGGCGATGAGATTGAAAAATCTTTATCTCAACTTTCGATCATTTACTTTTAACGTTTCATTAAGTTTAGAACAATCTTTTTTTGCCATTAAATAAATTTAAATTCTTCAACACAAAATTGCTTCGTATTTAATTGAAATTTCCATACTAATTCTACACCACGTCTTTTTTACTGGAAATGAAAAAAGGTTTAAATTATAGTATCACGAAACCGTATGTGATCACGACAATTTCAAGTAAAATAGAGAAAGAGCTTTCACCGAGTATGTTGTAAAGTTCCCCACGGTTTGAGTTTATGTAAAAATGACCGTGTTTGATTTAAAAGCTTCCCCGTGGAAAATGTGGATGATCTGAACCCGGTTTCGTAAACTTTCTTAAAATGTATATATAATTGCAATCGCGACCTTTACTTTCCCATCAAAGTGAAAGTAACGCGGAATGTGCATTTTTATACCAAACAAAACTGAATTAAACTTGTTTTTCGATTCTTTTAATCAAGAGATTTTTGGATTGCGTGGACATAGAGAAAAATCCTCTGTTCTCCAATAGAAAAAAACGCTCTCTCGTCTGTTCTTCGTCGCCGGAACCAGATTCGAAAACGTTCTTATACGAGGAAGGAAGAAGGCGGCGTCGTCACCGATTGAGGTTTCTAGCACAGGCCGCAGCGCCAGAACGTTTTTCAAAAAGAAATCTCCAGATCACCTTTTTATTCTGTCACTTCGTTTAATTACAGCCGAAAAGTTCTGCGTAGAGACATTCCCAGACGATCTCGGGGCATCGTTCCATGTCTAAATCGACCCCAAAAAAATCTTTACGTAAAAACTAATTTTATATATTTAAATTTTGTTAAGCTGATTTTTTTATGTTGAATCAAATAAAATTAACAAAATACCTTTTAATTTGTATTAAATGATTAATATAAAAATTACACAAAAATAATTTATAATAGTTAGGCAACCAACTTTTCTCTAAACTATTAAACTATTAATAGTAATTCAATTTAAAATATAAAAAAAAAACTTAATATTATTGATAAATAAATAAACCAAGTTATATTGAGTTTTATTTCAATTAAATTTAACAATAACTTATAATTTTGTAATTTATTTTTTTCAAGTTGTGCTCCTATTTCTCTCTCTTATTGATTTTCTCAACATAACCTCAACCGCTTGTTGTTTCTAGTACTTCAAACGCTGATAAAAAAATACTTAATTATTAATTTTCTTTAGTATGTTCTTAGATATGTCGCGAGTGGGTATGAGAGGTCGTGGTGGTATGGGTAGAGGTATTGGAAGAGGCCCGTACAAGCCGAAAATCTTCCTTCCCCGGCATCCTTTCGATTTAACGCTTTGCGAATCATCGTTTCCAAGGGTAAAACCAGCGCCGGATGAAACTGCCTTTACGCAAGCTTTGTTAAAAAGAAATGCCGATCTTTCGCCAACCGCAACTGAACAAACGGCTATTTTGAATCTCGTTACAAAAATACAAACAGTTTTAGATAATTTAGTTGTTGCTCCGGGTGGATTTGATGCTTGTGTAAGTAATATTTTTTCCATAAATTCTATATCTAATAATCGTATTGTCGTAATCTGTTTATTAGCAATTAGAGGAAGTACGTCAAGTAGGTTCCTTTAAAAAAGGAACGATGGTAACAGGTCATAATGTAGCAGATATTGTAGTAATTCTCAAAACTCTACCAACACGAGAGGCAGTTGAAGCTTTAGGAAATAAAGTTAAAGATGATTTAAAAAACCTAATGAAAAGTGAAGTAATTTCAAAAGGTGAAGCTTTGAGTCATACCACGAATGAAAGAGGGATCGAAGTAAGCAACAGTTTTGCTTGTGTACGAGTTATGGTAACCACAATTCATCATAATTTAAGAAAACTCGATCCAGAGATTCATCTAGATCAAAAAATAATGATGAGTCATCTGGCCGCAATCAGACATAGTAGATGGTTTGAGGAAAATGCTCATCATTCTTCAATAAAAGTCCTGATTAGACTCCTAAGAGATATTAAAAATCGTTTCGAAGGTTTTGAGCCTTTAAATCCATGGATGTTGGATTTGTTGGCTCATTTTGCCATTATGAACAACCCATCCAGACAAGCTTTACCAATTAATCAAGCTTTTAGAAGAGTTTTTCAATTATTAGCAGCAGGATTATTTCTTCCAGGATCAGCTGGGATTACTGATCCATGTGAAGGAGGTAATATAAGAATTCATACAGCAATGACTTTGGAACAACAAGATGTGTGTTGCTTGACGGCTCAAACTTTATTGAGGGTCTTAGCACATGGAGGGTATAAACATATTTTGGGTTTTGAGGGTAATTCTACGGTTGCAACAGAAATGTCAATATGGGATGGGGTTGTTGTATCACCATTGGATAAGGCTTATGAAAAGCCACCTGAGAAGAAAGATGGGGAGGAGGATGATGAGGATATGGAGGCTGATGTTGATGAAAGTATGGAAACTGCTGATGGATGAAATTTGATTTTATAATTTTTTTTTTTATTTCAAATTCAGGATGTATTTTTGTAATTTAATTAATTAATTTAAATTGATTTCACTTTGATAATACAATAAATAATTAATTATCTAATTTTATTTATTTATCTAACAATTTTCAAAAAAACAATTTATAAGCATGGATTATGTTTTGATTCAAAATGATCACAAAAAATCTTCGATTTTTGATCATCTGGAATCCGAAATAATTTTCCAGTAGAATTACAAACACAAACTTTATACTGATTAGTTGTAACACCTTCTCTTTTCATAGCAATGGGAATTTTCTTCATGTCTAAGCGAATTCCTTCTGCAGCATCAAGAACGATATTTCCATTAATACTCTTCAAATAAATATCTTGATCGGCTTTCCAAATAAATTCTTTGCCCTCCATATGAGTTCCTTCAGATCCTTTTAAAGAAACACTTCGTCCTTCGACTTCCAATTTTTTATCAACCGAACTAGAAACGCGATTCGTTTGAACATATTCGGTTTTTAAATTTTTAATTGGTTTTACAATGTTGATTTGAGGAAAATCGGTTGAAAAGACGACTTTCCCTTCGCGATTTTTAACCTCAAAGTTGTTTATTGAATAAAACCCGGTTAAATTCTCCTTCATTTCTAATTTTTTGCTTGCTCTTGAGTTTGGATTTAAGTTTAAAGTAACCAAAATCGATCCATTATCGCCGATTATTTCAATCGGAACATCCGAAAATCCTTCTATTTTCCCATCGCGCTTATTAACGTATCCTAAATCGGTGTCACCATAGAATTTTATTGATGATTCTAAAGGCACCAATTCTAAACTTTCCATTCCTTGACCCAATCTTAAAACGCCCAAAATTATGCTGGTTAAAACTAAATTTCCAACGGCTAAGATAAAAATCAATGCTATTAGCGTCCAAAAAGCAAACGTTTTTCGACCTCTAATTCCTGTTTTGTGGAGATATTGCTCATGAACGGGAACATATCCCGCTTTAAAATTGTTATTGTGATGTTTCGAAACGCTTCTTTTCAACAAAGATTTTTCACGCATTCCCAACGAATCCATTTCTTCCGAATAATGGTCAGAAATTGGTGAAGATGTTTCAAAATGTCTCTCAGTCATTTTAACCTTTAAACACTTGCTAAATTTATGATTTTTAGTCTTAAAACTTGGGCGTCTAAACGATTACTGAGACGACGCGACGTCGACGTCGGGACGCTGACCTTAAAACCGATAAAATGCGCCAATTTTGAAATCAAATCCTTTTTTTATTTATAACCTACCAAAACAACATTCTCTCAGTTATAAAATCCGTCCTAATGCAAATTTATCTACAAAAAAAGACAATTTATCTTAGCAATCAATTTTTGGACATGTATATTCCTTTCATCCCAACAGAGTGTGCAACGAAGAAAATCATAAAGGTGTATTAACGTTTTTCATTGAAACCGAACCGAAATATTTAAAATTGATTAATAACCAAAAAAAAAATTAAAAAGGGAAGTTAAAGAGTTAGTTGAGATACCAACATTAAAAACATAAAAAAATAAAAGCAAATTTTTATTTTTTAAACGTAATCATAAATCATCATAATTAAATTTTAATTGTTTTGGCTATGTTTATTTAATTAATTTTATTATTTAATAATTATTTAAGAAATAAATGGAAATAAATAAAAATCGGAAACGATGCTGCCATCTACCTTGACAACCATCAAAATTTGTGGTTATATTTTTTTCTTTACCGAATTTTAAACATGTTGGCCTCTCGGGGGGCACAAATTCTAAAACTTGGTAAATTATTAGTGTTGAAACCGGGGAATTTCACCCAAGCAGTCCGACACGGTCACGGCCAGTATGTATAACCCCAAAATTTTATTAACTTCGATTACATAACCCTAAATTGATTAATTTTACGTTTTTAGATGGGTCTATCGTACAACAAACCCCCACATTGATAAACGACTTATTATTTGCTCCCAGGCAATCATGGGCTTTGCCTGGTGGTGGATGTTGTGGCACATCGTTACTGAACCGGGACATATTTTGGTATGGAAATTATTGTTTTAACGGTTCATTTTCAAATGGATTATTTTTTAGGGCGAGTTTGAGTATCCTGATGCTAATAAATGGACCGACGAGGAATTAGGGATTCCATCTGATTAATTTTGAGAGTAAAAATATTAAAATGTAGAGTGATTTATTAATATAATATTGAAACAGGAGTTTGGGTTTTAATCTTAAAAGAAAACAGAATTTCGTGCAAATATAAAGTGTTTTATTTGTGATTTATGATATGTGAATACACAAAATAAGTTTTAAATGATTATTTAACATCGGAAATCTTCATAGTGATTGTTTTCATCTCAGTGTATTCTTTTATTGAGTCTTCTCCCCTAAAACAAAAAAGATAATAATAAATACTAATTTATTTAAGAATTTCTTACAATTCTCTTCCTATTCCAGACTGTTTAAATCCTCCAAATGGAGCTTGTGGAATAACAGCATCATAACAATTTATCCTAAAAAAAAATTAAATAAAAGTAACCATAGAAAATATTGACACATTGCAAGCTATAAAAATGAGTGATGAATGCGAAGATGTCCCTTATAAGATTCCCAGTTATAAAATATACAAAGTAGAAGATGTCCCCTTATTAATGAAAACTCAAAAAGCTTTACAAGCCCAAGGTTTATGCGATCCTTGGTTAAGAAACGAAGTTTGGAGATATACCGAAAAAGAATTTTTATCAGAAAAGTCTCGCTTTCGTAAAACCTTTTTTTCTGGGTTAGGAATCGGAATTGTTCTTACAATTTTAACCGTTGTCGGAACTACTTTTTATGAAAAATACACAAAAACAAGTGAAAACGAAGTATGCGATGCCGCTAATAATAATGAAACGTGTGATTCAATTAATAATGAGGTTAAACCAGAATTAAAACAAGATTAGGTTGCTAATGTATTAATTAAAAATAAATGATTTACCAAACAGATCCCGCTTCAATAGCTTTAGCGAAAGTAAACGCTGTGTTAATATCTTTTGTAACAATGCCGGAAGCTAAACCGTATTGGGTATTATTAGCTCGCTCAATAACTTCTTCGAGAGTTTCAAACTTAAATATACTTTGCACGGGACCAAAAATTTCTTCTTTTGCGATTGTCATAGAATCTTGGACATCCGCAAAGACGGTTGGTTGTACAAAATATCCCTTGGATCCCCAACGTTCACCCCCCGTTAAACATTTAGCGCCTTCGCTTTTTCCAGAATTAATCAAACGAAGAACTTTATTGAACATTTTGTCGTTAACTTGCGGACCTTGTTGAGTTCCCTCCACGAAAGGATCACCCAACTTTCTTTCTTTAGCTTTAGCAGCGGCTTTTTGGATGAATTCATTATAAATTTTTGATTGGACAAAAGTTCTAGATCCCGCGCAACAATTTTGACCGTGATTTGCAAATATTGCGTTATGTGCTATTTCAACAGCTTCATCAACTAAAATAATTTATTAAATTTAAATTTGTGTGTATGTTTGGCAGCATAATCTTACCATCGGCATCATTACAAATAATTAACGGACTTTTTCCACCTAATTCTAAAGAAATTCTTTTCAAATTGGATTTTGAAGCATTTTCCATAATTAATCTTCCAACCTAAATTGAAAACAAACACACCGCATAATTTTATAAATCGAGGACAAATATATCAATTTACGTTTGATAAATTACAGGAAATATTATCTATAAGTATTGAATAACACGCAAACCTAAATTCAAGGTTGTTTTATTACCTCAACTGATCCAGTGAAAGCAACTTTATTAATATCAGGGTGTAAAGCGATAGCTGTCCCGGCTGTTGGACCATAACCAGGAACGACATTTATCACTCCTGGTGGAAAACCAGCCTCTTTCGATAATTGAGCAACGTATAAGGCGGTTAATGGTGTTAATTCGGATGGTTTTAAAACAATTGTACAACCAGCAGCTAATGCTGGGCCCCATTTCCACGCTAACATTAAAATTGGGTAATTCCATGGAATTATTTGACCAACAACTCCGACAGGTTCTAATCTGGTTATTGTAAAAAAGCCGTAATCAGATGGAACATGTTTTCCACTGATTTTATCGGCCATTCCAGCATAATATTTAAAAGTGTCAACAGCACAGAGAATATCAAAGGCGGAATCGGCAACCGGTTTTCCATTATCTAACGATTCCAAATCAGCTAAATACTCGGAATCTCTTTCCAAAAGAGAAGCAAGCTAAAAATACGTATTAAAGAGTTTAGTGAAAATTAAAGTAAACTATTTAACACCTTTTGAAGTAAAACTCCTCGTTTTGAGGCGTCCATTTGTCGCCATTCTGAGTTTCTTTTAAAAGCATTTCTTGCTGCTTTAACTGCTAAATCAACATCGGCCTATAATTTATTAACAATAATTATATTTTAATTAAAATAGTTGTAATTGAATAAAATTACTTTATCTGCTTCTGAAACATCAATGATTTTTTCTTCAGTTGCTGGATTAATTGAAGCGAATTTTTTTCCGTTAATTGAATCCACGAATTCGTTGTTGATAAATAACTAAAAAAAGAACCAAAAAGTTGTTCTAAACGTTTTTACGTGCTTTATAGAATTCATAGAATTAGATATGGGAAAACAAGATACATCTCTGAAAGAGTGAAGACGTTGAATTTAGGACATTTGGCTGTCCTAAACTCTGTAAATAACTGATACTGCTTGTAGCGGTTGTAAAATAAACAGTTTTCCGTGTTTTAGAAAAAATGATAGAAATTTATATCTATAGTTAAAAATCGTTGTGTTGAGAAGATCAATTCAAGGATTCGCTCAACTTTTTATTTAAAATTATCTCGAAAAATATTTGTGTAAATTCCCATAATTGAGGTCAGTTAAAAAACCAGTTATGGTTATACGATTTGATGAAAATTTTAAATCTAAATATTTACAAGTTATTTTTCTGTGCAACTTTGTTTTTTGAGTAAACGGGTTAAGAGGTTTGCAAATAATAATTGAAGGTTTGTTTTTGATTGAAACTGAAGTCTTGTATCAAGTCATAACAACAATATAAAGGACAATAAAACAATAATATCATTGAATTGATTGTCTAAGAAACCAATCGTTATACCTAGTATACTGCCCGTTTTATAAATATTGAATAAGTGAAATACCGAGATAAAAATGGTATTTCTAAACCGGATGGAACTCTAAAGACTTGAGAAACTTATCTTGTATTACTCAACAAATGTAATTAATAACTTAATTATAATCAATAAATTCATAACATGATTACCTGCGTGTATTTAATTTTAACGTCTTTCGGCATATTGCTGTTATTATTATTGAAAACGTTTATCACACGAAAGTTAAGATTAAACTGAAATAACACAGCGTTTCACTCCTCTTTATATACCCTGTATCTATCTCTGTTTAAAAGCTTAGATTTCCATTCATCCTTGTCTTATGGTATTAAAAATAGGACATACACGAATAAAGAATGAAAATTGTTTAAAATAATTAAAAAATTTTAAAGTTTCAACAAAACTTTTGCGCTTCATTTTAAATTATAATGTCTATAGGATTATTGATAAGGATTTTTTAGGTTTAATAATAATTTTAGGTTATCTTATTACAAGGTCACATTTGTGGTTAAATGAAAAAGAATAAGATTATTTATATCTCAATACTTTTTAATATTTTCTTAAAATCTACGTTAAAAAGTTAACTCAAAAATCGTCTTGTAAAGAAAAAACCATTTTGTCCATCGCAACAACTGCATTGTGTTCTTCCAAGTCTTCTAAGAAATTTCTTATATCGTAAAGATTGCAATCTTTTTCGGCGGTCTGTAATAATTGTTGCGATTTACTCTTTGCTTTTTCAAACATACTTGTATAAACAATATGTTGCATATCCAGTAGAAGGGCTAAGTTTTCCCACTTTCCTGATTCATCCAATAGTTGTGATACTTGCGTTAGACACTCGGAAGTAAATGTTTTTACGTTTTTATACATTTCTTGTAATTCTTCCGTACTGAATTTTTCTGGTTTGCATTCAACGAAATCGCATTCCATTTCATCTTCGGATTCTTGTTCTTCTTTTATATAAATTTCTGTGTTAAGCCCGCGTTCAAGCATTGCTTTTTCTAAAATATTCAATATTGTTATTGACTTTTTATCGTTTTCATCACCGGATGTAAGCCTTTTTGCCATTTGATATGGAGTCATATCGTTATAATTCATACACATAAGATCAATTTTTGGTTTTTGAATTAAATATTTTAAGATATCAATCGCTTGTACGTCAATTGCTGTATGCAAAACGTTGTAACCGCATTTTTTATCAATTACATTAATATCAGCACCATGTTCACATAATAATTTTACATAAACCAAGTTGCTTTTTGATACAGAGATTTGAAGAGCGGTTGCGGAATCGTTATTTTCAGCGTTGATTGGTAATTTCGTTAATTCTTTTGATCTTATTAATAAATCAACGATTGGGGGAGGGCTATTTTTTATTACGGCAAGATGTAAGGGGGTATTTCCTTCGTTATCCAAAATGCTGAAATCTGGCGAGTATCGACAAATAATGTTTAAAATTTGTGGATTATTATGAATCGCTGCTAAATGTCCGATTGTGTGCCCATCGCGATTCGGTGCATTTAAAATTTGAAACTCACTATTTCGCTTTATTACCTCCAACCAACAATTTAATTTGTTTATGTTTCCACTTTTAACCAATAAATGTAATGCACTGAAAAAATTAATTACATTAATTATTATCAATATTAAATAAATATGTACATACTTTTCTTCATGAGTGGTAACGTGATCTTCAAATAAACTAACAATCATACTAGCTATTAAATTAGAGCTTGGTTTAGTAGCTAAAAACGATTTAAATTCATCCTCGACCCTCTTAACAACCGCCTTTTCCTCCTCAGATAACCTCATTTCTTCAAATCCACCTACTAAAGAGTCACTATATTTTCCCTGGGAACTATCGGCGGCAAAATCTTCAGATCGAATCGATGGAAATTGATCGGGATTCATCATATTTCTTTCAACCAACTGATAAAGCGCGTTGAACTCATCAGAATTAATTGAAGGAATTTCATTCGAATCGCCTAACGTAATCGGAATTGGAGCAATTTTCTCACCGCTGCTATAAAAACTTTCATTTGAATTGAACGAATGCGACATACGACTCCTTTTCATTCCCGGTTGATAACTTGGACTTGGATAATACTTGAATTCGCGCGGTTCGCTTTTACTGTTATCAGTTTTTCGCATTAATTCAACATAAACCGTACGTTGCTCGGTTATTTGTTGATCCTTATAAGGAGGGGTACGAAAAACTATTGCGTATTGATGATGTACGTCTAATTCGGTGAATTTTCCATCGGCGCTCCATATTTCATAACCGTCTTCGTCAATTTCGTAAAATCGAATTCGAATATTTTCTGAAATAATTTTTTTAGAGCAAGTTTATATAATATTGTAAATTTAACGTACTTTTGGTGACTTTTTCCACCAACATAAAAATTTCCGTGTTTCCTTTAGCTGGGCTACAATTACAACTCATTCGGACAATTTTTAATTCCCCAGTTAAAGCACTTTCTAAATTAAAAAAAAATAAATAAATAAAATTATTATTTCAAATTATATTTATATTAAGGCTATAGTGTCAAGGTCGAAAATTGAATTTTAATAGAACGCGTTTACCGTTTGATATATGTAGCCAAAAAAAATTTCAAATAAAAAATGTATAGAAAGACGACCACACGCTGAGATATTTAAATAATTGATGATAATAACGGAGATTAAGAAGAGTTTCGAAACCGAGTCCTTGGTGCCGTAGATAATAATTTTCCTTAACATTAGTGAAAAGGCTCAGCACTTACTATGGACTCCAAGCGATTCCAAGACATATAGATAGTGTGGAAAAAGAAATGAAAAAAGCAATTATGGCGCATACTCTCATATGATCTCCACCAATGAAAATCCTCGACACGAGTGCTGCCCACAGGGAAAAGAGAGCTGGTGAGTGTGGCAGAAACGAACACCCTACTCCATACACCCATGTATCTGAATGACTGCAACAAACTTGAAGGGGTGATTCTTTAGTGAATTTTAAGGGTACTTTGATATATGAACCATGGGCAACTTCGGCTCCCCTAAGGAGCTACACTCCTCCAAAAATGGCGGAAAATTTTGGTTTAATTTTTTTATCTCAAAAACCATAAATGCTAGGAAAATGAAATTTGGGGAATATGTTTAACTTATAATAGGGCACGTTTTGACCCTATTTGTACTTTCAACCTACCCTTCTAAACTACTAAACGTAACCACCCCCGTTCAATTTATGCCTAGATTTTTTGATGCAGATGGTAAATGCATTTAAAAAAAATTTACATAGGTAGATGAAAGTATCCTAAAACTTTTTTGTCTCTTTAAAATTTTTCCAAAAACGACTAATTTTTGAGAAAAAAAATAATAAAGCAAACACTGCCCGTTAAACAACGAGGTTGTTGATCAAAAGTTGGAATGAATTTTTATTGAAAAAATCTTAGTAGGCTTTGCAATCTTTGTCAGAAATATTTTTGACGTTTAAATGTCAGTGTTTTTCTTACTATTATCATTAGCTTTGTTCGTTGGGGCTGCACTACTTGCACTCACTTGCACTATGCAGTTTAGTGCAGATGTTGTGTTCGTTGGGGATAGTGCAGTTTAGTGCAGTTGCACTCATACTGTTCGTTGGGCCAGGTGCAGTGCAATTTAGTGCAGCCGGTGCAAGTTAGTGCAGATTTTGTTGCACCTGCATTCGATTAAGTTCAATAAGTGCAGTGTAACTAAAATGGCGGAATATTTGAAAACGTGTTTTGTAATAATTAATATTAATATTAAATATTAAGAAATAAAACCTTATAATAATTAATATTTGTTGTATTAGAGAACACAGTATATTCAATCCCAGTAGAGGCAGTAGAAAACTACCCCTACTTTTGGAATAATTTAGCATGTGATTTCTTTATACGTTAAGTAGTACTTTTGAAAAAACTAATAAGGGTTAGTAGTTTGGTATAGGAAATATATTTCGCTAATAATTGAAAAAAATAAAAAATAATAATAATAATTGATGAATACTAAAAAAACGCTACTAAAAAAACATTCTGCGATAATTTCATTTTCCACGAGTATTTCGCTGACAATCTCCTGTTCGTCCATTTCAAATATTATACACTTTTTTTATAAAAATCTGTTCGTTGGGACCACGGTTTATACACTTTTCTGACCTGCACTAAGTTGACATGACATTGCACTGACTTACACTTCATTGCACTATGACGTCATACGAGTGCCATGTCGTGCAGAGTAGTGCAGTCCCAACGAACAAAGCTATTGTTTTTCAAATAAAGTTCTATCGCATTTACGCTCGTTCACTCGACGTTTCATAATTTTAAATGAAACAATAATAATAGTAAGAAAACCACTGATATTTAAACGTCAAAAATATTTCTTGCAAAGATTGCAAAGCCTACTAAGATTTTTTCATTAAAAATTCATTCCAACTTTCGATTAACAACCCTACAGCTTAACAGTTAGTGTTTGCCGAATTAATTTTTTTCTCAGAAACTATCAACTTTTCGAAGAACATCAGAGAGGCAAAAAAGTTTTAGAATATTTTCATCTATCTAAATAAAATATTTCCAATGTATTTATCACCGTCATAAGAAAAATCTAGACAAAAATTGAACGGGGGTGGTTATGTTTAGTAACTTAGAAGAGTAGGTTGAAAGTACAAATAGGGTCAAAACGTGCCCTATTATGAGTTAAACATATTCCCCAAATTTCATTTTCCTAGCGTTTATGGTTTTTGAGAAAAAAAAGTTAAACCAAAATTTTCCGCCATTTTTGGAGGGGTGTAGCTCCTTAAGGGAGCCGAACTCGCCCATGGTTCATATATCAAAGTACCCTTAAAATTCACTAAAGAATTACCCCTTGAAGTTTGTTGCAGTCATTCAGATACACCCTGTATATGAAGATTTATCAAGGGATGAATTACTGCAAAGATATTTAGGTGGCCACACGCAAAATTCAAATGAAAGCTTTAATTCCACAATTTGTTCCTACACATTTGCACTCCGGACATAATGTAACTCCAGACGTAATGCCATTAGAATCACCAAAGTCTCAAATTTGACGTTTTCAACTAAAAAATAGGTTACAACTCAAGATTTTGGAATAATGGAACAATTTGATATAGACAAAAAGTATTGTAAAATGTCTTATGAATCATTAATTAATAAATTACCAAAATCCCTGTTTTATTAGATATTTACTGATGAAGACGCCACTTTACTATTCCCATGTTTTCCTATATTCTCCATTTTTTAATGGGTAATATATGTCTATGATCCAGAAATAAGCCCCATCTCCTAGGTCCCTCACAAACTCTGTGACCATGAGACTATAGCCTTAATTTAAACTTTAAAACCTACTTAAATTGTTGATTTCATGTGAATACACCGGTTCGCAAATGGGTATTAAAACTCCATCTTTCGGTCGTTCTGTAAAAGCATCAAATCTCAAACAAACGATGTTCATATTGATTGATTTGGATTCTTCTTCTGCTTCATGTCGTATTGAGGCTTTCTCATCTCGTCTTAGTTTTCTTTTACCTTCTTTTCTTGCAATCTCTTCTTCTTTTAAAAATTCTTTTTTTCTGCATAATTCATCTATTAAATTCTTTTTCGCTGTATGAATGATTCCCATCGAGTGAAAACTGTGTAATAAAAATTAAAACATAAATATTATATACTCTTTTAAACAGGAATAAAATGTACATAGCTGTATACTCCTCGGTTCCTCCAACGGTTGTAGCATGTGGATCATCGACTTCTTCGTTTCCCATTTTTTTGATTAATCGATGCGGATGAGGTTGCCTTTCTTTTGACGATGAGTGATATTGATATAAAGAGCATCTAACGATGGCTGAGCCGGAATAATTTTGTAACTGAAATGATTAAAAATAGAAATTAATACAGATTAGGAGCTTACAATAAAAATTTTACCTCAACGGATGGAAATGTTTGTCTCCGTGTTTTATCGCTACTAATTCCATTAAGACTTCCGTGAGTACCAGCCATTTCGGATTTATATCGAAATCGAAATTTACCAATTGGTTGTTCTTTGATAACCAAAAAAGGTTTTTTTTCATCTAAAATAAATATTTCAAAAAAAAAAAAAAATTTTTAAAGTTATTTTAATAAAATTTACCCAATGTAACATATTGATTTTCAAAATTATATTGATTTTCTATGTTAAAGTTATCAATATTCATAGGAGTACCAGTATTAAGAACATAATAACTTGAACCTCCCGGAGGTGATGTTGCCATAAAAGAATGAGGTGAGTCTTCACTTGAAGAAGGTGGTGTGTAAGGATTGAAATTCATCTCTAAAACAAATCATTCTTATTAATATCAATCATATAAATAAAATTCATACACATAAAATGCGTTTTAATGAAAAATTACCAGAATTTGTAGGATCAATTATAGTTTCGTACATCTTAACCTCACTTTGATCACTATGTACGCTTTAAAAACTTTTAAATGAGATTAAATTACAGCGTTATTACTTTTAAAACGATGCGAATGAAAGTCGAAGTAAAAATGAATTACTTACCGAACGTTTTAGGAAATGTGTCAGCGTAGGTTCTTCCCCTTTCTTTATGAAAACGTTGCTCGTTATGGACGGGGAAAGGGAGGAAGGAAAAATCCCCAGATACGTTCGCGTTATTACGCAGTTGATGATTAAGATTCAAACAACTGGTATTGTTTTATTTTTATATTTTATCTCGGTAAGATAATCAATTCGTGAACTAATTTACAGAAACATTCTTTTCTGATTATCAGATTAACCCAATATTTTAATTAATTTGACATTTATTTTTATTTTCAGGTTATGATTTAATTGAATTTGATTTTTGTATAAAATTTATATGGTTTCTTTGAAAATTATTAAATAAACTAATATAATATATTTAATAATCATTTTATTACAAATAATGACCTCAATATTACGTAAACAAGGTTATAGTTGGTAATAAAAATTCAGTTGGTAATGCTGAACAACCTACCTTATTGACATAGTAATATTGTAATTATTGTAGCAGCTAGTTAATAGATGGCGCCACTTCATGATCTTTGGTGCTTCTCAAAATTGTATTAAGTTTGGAAATTTTTTGAGGATTTATTTATTATGTGATAAGCGCCTAACAAGTTAATAACTTTAAAGCAGATGTTTCCAAGAAAATTCAAAGATCAAAAAGCATCCGTTCATCGGTGTTAATTAAATTAAAACTAGATCTAACACAAATGCCGGGTTTTCATTAGTAGAATTAGTGTTAAAGTAATTGGCGTTAAGACAACTACAGAGAAGACATAGAACTAAACATTTGGGTTTAACCGTCTTAAGAGACGTACGGCTCAACCCGAATGTTTCTAATTCTAGGTTTAGTGTTAGTTCTAGTGATAATGCTAGTGTTAATTGTTAGAAATTCATTCATCTACAGTGGCGGACAAAAGTCTTCATACAGCATTGAATTTTGAGGTTTTTGTAGAACGTAATAACATAACAGACATACAGCTCAATAGCTACATACTAAAAATAATACAAAAGTTTACATACAAAGTAGTTTTTAAGATGAAAAATCCATTAGAAAATTCATTATCGCGTAGAACTCTTTGTAGGGTTCTTGGATGTAGGCACTGACTTATTAGATACAGTCGTGATGTGGTCAGCTAATTTTGGTTCGCTAACTCTAGGGTTTGAATGAATCAGTCCCATTGTAATTTTTGCCGATATTCTGTTTTGACTTAGATTTACAATTTTGGCAATTTCGCCGTAAGATTTCTTTTCTTTTCGATGTTTTATCACCAATTTTCTAATTTCAACAGAAATTTCTTTTCGAGATGACATTTTGCAGCCAGTTAGAACTTGTGAATAAATAAGTATCTCTAATCACATTGTAAAACAAATTTTCTATTATCTTATGTTTTACAAAAACCTCATAATTCAATGCTGTATGTAGACTTTTGTCCGTTACTGTATATTGATGCTGTAGCTGTTGTGGTGTTATTAATTTATCCTAGATTTAAAGGGAGCTTATGAGTTATAACTTTGTTTTGATGATGTGTTGGAAGTTAATGTTGTCACTCATTAAAAACTGGGGAATACATCGAAAATATAAAGTATTCTAAAGTACATAAATATAAAGTATTTTATAAATAAAACAAATTAGTACCTATCTTAAATCCTATAAACAATTTGTATTCTTTCAACAAAATACATCAATATAACGTACACACACGACGAGCACGTGCTTCAATGATCATCGATCTTGCGTAATACAGAAGACTGAAAGAGCTACAGCGAAGGGTTGGCTTGCTCTTTGCCGTTTTCAGCGAGCTTTCAGTTGCTTGTTCGCGATCGCCGGAAACGGTTCTATTTCGGTCATCTAAAAACAAGTTTTTACGAGAATTCAAATATTAACTGAGCAAACTTTATTTATTAAACTAATAAGAGTTAAAAGTGATGAAGTTTTAATTTATTTAACAATGTTTTCGACATTTTTATTTCTTGTGTGGTTTAAATGACATTTGAAATTAATAAAATTAATAAGTGAAAAAATTAATTGGTTGAAATAATAGTTAATGTTAAAAATGACTGAGGATTCAGGTCCTAGTTGTGTTTCCGAAAGGTAAATCTATTCTTTAATTTTTTAAGTGGTTTAAAATTTATTTAAAAATAACTTTCTTTTAATAGTAAACCGGAAAACCAACCTTCGGATACTCTAAGCTCTCAAAGGTAGGTAATTAGATTGTCCTAGAGTTAATTTGCTTGTCGGTACTTCTTCTGGCCGAGCTTTCACAATCGTTTTAACAACGGACGGGGAAGTCAATTAACACTCAATCATCAAGGGGACTCGCAGCAAACCCCTTCTATTCAAACTCTATCCCATGTTTGTTTGATCAACACAGGACGTTGTTTACCGTGTTACGTGACTCTGTGTGTCCTCAACAAACCTATTCCTTGTTTTAAAAAATATTTCTTTTTAAATATTTCGTCAAAAGATTTTTTTTTCTCGTAGAGTTTTCAAGAAAACTTCCCCCAATAACAAACTGACGTTATATTTAAGCTCGAGGGATTTGGTGGTTTCATCCGGAAAAGTCGATAAGTTACACGGGGTTTTGTTGATTGATCCCGATTTTGTACAAGAAAGGAAGATTTATGGACAGATAACGCTTACATTTCGGTGAGTTAAGATAAAAAAATATTCAATTTAATACCGCCCTTTTTTTTCGGGTTGATATAGATACGGGAGAGAAGATGAAGAAGTTATGGGATTGAAGTTTTGTAACGAAGCTATCATGTGTTTGATGCAATTGTATCCACCCCACGTTGGATCACATTTAACGGAAAACGTTACACCTTTACAGGTAAAAAAAAATAATTAATTTCACTCCAAGTTAATTTAAAAGTGTTAATATCAATTAAAAGTTGCCAAACAACTTTTTAATTTCTTCTTTTTTCTTTGGTTTTTACCCGACATCAAATAATAAAGGTACACTTAAATTTAGAGATTCGGGCGGGGAGTTTGTGAGAGGGAGAGTTTCATTTGGAAACTTGTCTCGGTTTCCTCCTCGCTGACTTACTTCCTAACGAGGTATCAGACCAAGTTTGTAATTAACGAGTCTTGGGAAGGAGTTCCGTTCAAATATACACCACCATTACCAGACGCTTTTTGGTGGGGGAGTTAAATTGTTGTTAGACAGACTCTACTAAGTAAGGTGTTCTACACGACGCCGACGGAGAGAAAGTTTTACATTAAGCATGTGTTGCAAACAACTTAAATTTATAAAAGGTTTGTTTAACAATAATACAATAATATTTCCTGGTTTGTTGGATTTGGTGGCTTAAGATGCTGTAAGTAGCAGTATCTGTTGGAATTGATGACTAAGCAGATTGCTTTGTTATCGTAATTTGAAGTTTTTGAGTGTCATCTTGGTGTTGGAACTCCTAGGTTTCAAATTTCACAGATTAAGTTTCAAGTTCATGGCTTTAAAGATACCAATTCTGTATAAGTGAACAGTTCTACCGTTCTCACACTCATTTTTATTCATTCAATCACTTGCTCATTGTGGTTGTAGGTTATGGCAACTTCTGCGTAGGTAGTAAAAATTTTCAATTAGTTCCGTAATGTGAGATGAGATACTTCTTGTTCCAGGTCGCCTTTAGAGACAATAATGAAACTTATTTGGTTTGACTACTTTATTATTTGTTTATATAACTTCTAATACAGCTGTATAGGACTTTGATTATGGATGAGGTAGGAGAGATATGCAATTATTAATATAATTGAGGAGATGAATCGAAGACTGAATTCGACATGTTGTTCATAGTGTTGGCAATGTTTGTTGTGGTCAGCGTTGCCAACCTATTTTTCTCTTGCATTTTTGCTCTTACAATTAGATGCTGATAGATATCGAGAAAAATACGTAAATATGACACAGGATATTTTAGTCACATCTTCATTTCTCTTACTTCTGAAGATGAGTTATTTGTGTCACAAGGTTCCTGTAGCTGTTTACAACCACAATTTTAATATTTGAGGTTCACTTCGATTTTGCACACAGAATTACAGCTACAGATTTCACACAGAAAATAGTTGTTTTGTTGAACGAGGCGCACTTATTGTGTCAGCTCCAGACCTGTTATCATCAACACCAATTGAATTGTAGGAGATGTGCTCGCGCCGTATTTATTGGTTTCCGATACTATAACGTCAATCCACAGAGTTATTTTAAATCCGCTTTGTTATCTTCCTCTTTCTCCTTGAGTTCAACTTCAGTATCACCATCATAACGTTTATGAACAATTAAAATCCTAAAATAGAAATTAAAAATTGGAATTGACTATAAAGGACGTATTAAAAAATAACGAAATAAGGAAATTAAGGAAGATTCAATTTATTTCCTCGCTTCCTTCTTACATAAATAAATTACTTATTACAAAAAAAATCGTATTTTAATATCCTTCATCACTCCAAGTAACGTCGTAATTTGGATAAACTTTTTTAATTAAACCAACGGCAACCTCATGGTCAGCTTTTCCGTAACCCTACAAAAATAATAATAGGTTTTCATTTAATTTCAATTTGTAAAGGTTTTTTTTAAGCTGAAAATAAGATACCATTGAAGTGGATAAAATATTAAAAGGTGACTAAAAAAAGTTTGAATTCTCTTTTTTCTGCTTTCTCTTTGTGTTTCGAATGGCCCCGACGGCCATTCTGTTAAAAGTTGCGCGGCAGCTCATAGTGTATTACCTGGGAATATCCGTAAACTTTGATGCTTTTACCGGCCGCGTTATGGTCGATCCTTCCACCACCCAAAACTTTGCTTTTCCATTCTTTTATGGAGCCGTCGACTTTTAATTTTTGAAGTTGATCGGTGACCTTATCATTAATATCAGCTACAACAAAAAAAAACTATTACTATACTTCTAAATATTTTCTTTTAGGATGCTTTATTAAAACGACTTGGTCCAAACGCATATCCATTTACAATGGAAATCACTCCATTGGCGCCACCAAGCGTTCAATTAGTACCAGCAAAAGAATACAGCGGAGCTCCAATTGGAACTAGTTATGATGTTCGTGCTTACATTGGTAAGTGTGAAATGAGACGAAATCGAGTTTAGTAATTAACTCCCAATCGATTTCGGTTAAATATAGTACGTATCAATTAAATTAAAATCGGTCGGTTGAATAATTAAACCGCGCATAAACTCATCTCAACGGAAATTAATTCGCCCAGGCGAAATTAGGAATTTAAATAATAATCGGCTTTGTCGAAGCTTTCAGATAAAGGGGAGCAAATTTCGGGGGTTGGACAGTTGTTGGTTGAATTTTGCTTTATAGAGAGTGTGGGACTTGACAAAGTTCTGTGTTTGAGGTATCGATTTTTCGTGGTTAACAATTGTGAGCGTCAGCTTTTTGACGTTCGGGAAATTGTTTGGAAAAAATATATAGCAAACATTTGCCGAGTTGATTGACGTCTGCCGATTTAATAAAAATAAGATATAAATGAAATGATTGACCCGTTTCGGTGTGATTTATATTTACTTTCCGATAAATCCTATTTAATAACACAAAAAAATATATACATAAAAAGGGAGAGAAAGGATTTTTATGAAATATGCGTTTTTAAAGCAGAATTAATAGAGGGGATTTTTCATTTTCCACTTGAAATATGAAAGAGTTACTCATATGTGAAATGAGTTCAAAATTTATTTCAAAATTAACATAGTAAGTAAACAATAACCACTTAAATTAATTTGAAAATTTAGTGAGGTAAAGTTTTTTATGGGGGTAATTTGTCCCTGTGTGTATACCTGGTTACTTATCAAACAGCCCCAAAGGGCGGTAACGTCGCGTGTATACCTCTTTCATTATCAAAATTAAATTTTCTATAGACATCCCCCCAATAACGTCTTGTAACTAAGTATTTTCCGACGACGTAACCTGTTAATACCTTCAAACAATAACGGATTACGTAAAAACCGCTTTAGTTCAACCCCCCCACCCGCTTTTGGCACGCGCCAACCTACTACGTAATATTCCCCTTCACCTGTATAAATTCACTACCTTCCAAACAGCTACAGTTTCTGTTTCTGTTCTACCCCCTGTATAGTCCCCCCGGTTTCGTTCCCCCTAAACCCAGATCGATCAGGGTAGAGACCCTGACCCTTTTTCGGCCCCTCCCTCTTTTCGTATTTCCCCCCTCTGGGCAGGTACTTGTGTGTACGTTTGGATGAAACATTCCGAAAGCTGCTCGACAAAATTTACGATATTCGAAATACTCCAAATTAAATTGATGTAGGGGGGACTTGTTGCGACTCGATTCATTGGAGTTTTGGATGCGATCGGTTTTCGTGTCGCTTCTTCTCGATGGTTCGTGCGGTTTAATGTTGATATTATAATCGAAATGTGGGGGCCGAATGGGTGGCGGGCGTTTAAAATCCATCTGCGGGGTTAAAAACGCTTATGCTAGCTGATAGAAATTGAAAAAGCTTCCCGAGGGATTTATGAATTATTCATTTTGATCATGGTTACAAAAACAACAAACTTTCAGTTTACTAAAAATGTAGACACTAAAATATTTTAAAATATCTACATTTTTTTTATGTTTTTAATAAATCGTCAGTTGGTAATTCTGCATTTTTTCGATTACGCCATAAAATCGCATTAAACGAAAATTGAAAATATGATATCACCGTCGTGTAGAGAATGTCCTAAAACATATTACTGCCATATATTTTGAAAGTAGCACCCATAGTGTGGCTAAAAAAAAATTAGGCGCTTACTCTGAATCAGGCTGTATACAGGGGGTTCAAATTAATTTAAATTACCCTGTAGAGGCGAAGGATAGGAGGTATGCAGATACTTAAAGAGGACGACGAAGGGAAGAGAGGAAATCAGCAGAGATATATAAATGACTGAATGGAGAACCTACTTCATGCGATTCTTGGGAGTGGTGGAAGAGAAAAGACTGGTAGAGGGAGAGCGAGGGGTGCAAAGATGAGAGGAGATAACTCTGGAAGAAATGAAAGCAGTGTTTGAGGGGACTGAAGAGGGGAAGGGTGCCAGGAGAGGATGAGATTCCGAATGAGGCATGGTTGGAGGCGACGCAGTCAGTGAAGAAGAAACTATGGAAGGTAATAGATACTGGGCGGACGATGTGGAGAGGTGGTGTAGGCTGTGTGGTGAGGATTGGGAGACGGTGGAATACATGCTGAGAGGGTGTAGTGAGCTAAGGGAGGAGGTAACGAATAGGAAGCAGATTTTGGGAGAGGGGGCGAGGGCAAAAGGATGGATGAGGGCGTCAGATGATGGGGTGAGGAGGCGAACGTGGAGAGAGCGGGGAGGAGGGTAAAGGATCTGGAGGTGTATATATATACATATATATTCTATTGTATTATATTAAGAAAGGAAAAATTGTAGATATAAAAAACAATAATACGCTTATTATTATGGAAGACTGAAAATACCTGACATTGACAGAGCTAAAACTGACCCAAAAAGCATCATTGCAGTTGTGGTAGATGTAAAAGACAACGAGCTTTACCAACTGGCTGCGAAAATTGGAGTGCTAAAGCAGCTTTATACTAAGAATCAGTTTACTTTATGCTCTAAAAACTTTGTGAAGATAGAAGTTGTTAAAGATAAAGAAGTGAGTCTTCGATAAGTCGTCGCAAAACTGTCTATGACCGGAGGACAAGGATTCAAAAAATGTAACAGCCTCAAAAAATACTTATCAAAGAAATACGCTTTCAACTTAGCATGTACTAAACTCTATTGGTAAAAGTCAGAAAAATCTCTTGTGTTAAAAATCCTCACATTTACCAACTTATGTTGGTAAATCTTAAGATTTACTAGTTAAACCTAAGATTTACCGTAGTTCAGGCTTTTACAGTAACATTAAAAACTTTACTCGATTGAAAGTAGATTTTGGTATGAAAAAACATCATTAATTTTTTGCTTTTGTTTCCAATAAATAAAAATGAACGAAAAGTCTGTAAAATTTCAAGGTTCTCTCGTGCTGAAAATCCGCGAAAACGTTCCGGAATAATTCAATCCTGAAAGACCCGACTTGAATTTCAAATTCCCCACCGTCTTAAATCCGACACAAATATCCTTTCCCTTCCATACTTTTTCTTCATCTCGCAAAATCTCTTTATCTATTCACGATCTCATAACTCGACATGAAAACCCATCCAGGTCGACGTTATAAACATATTTTCTTTTATTTGCGATTTATTTAAAAGAAAAACCTTTTAATAAGATTTCACTATGGCTCTATACAGTGGATGCGATTAAACAACGGGTTGTTTTCATTGGGCTCATATTCCCAAAGTCCATTACGTTAAACGAACCATAGGGGTTCTCTAATGGAAACGGTAAATCGCTCCATTGCGCGCCTCTCGAATACTCTAGGCCACTTGTGGAGTCGGCCGTGTGCAGTTTTAGTGGCCAATAACGTGAACATCATGAGAATACGAGAGTTACGAAAGAGGGTCGTAGGCGTAAAACCGAAAAGACAAAGTGCTGGTTGTAAAAGAAAATAATAAAATGGGACCAATTTACTGAATTAGTGGCTAACAAACTACATTTTTAGGATATTTAGGAATTATTTTAATTAAATATTCGAGGAAACCACAATGTTTAGCATTTCCGGGTAAATCCAATCAAATTTTAATGCACAAAACGAACATTTCAGTTTCACATTGTTAATAAATCGCTTTTAGCAATTATTATAACCAAAACAATTCCCAATTTACTTTTTATTTTTAATTGTTTTTTAGCTGATAAAATCGAAGAAAAACTTCAACGGCGTGCAACAGTTAGAATGGGAATTCGCGTCGTTCAAAGAGCTTTCGCGCCACCATCCCCGTATTTATACAGCCCTTCACCGGCGAAAGAGAAACGTCACAAACTCGCATTATTTTGCAGCAAAAGTGTTCCTACGTCTACTGACGTAACTCAACATTTCGCCACCTCGCAGCAACATCTCCAGCTTCAAAGTAACACCCCACGAGCAGCAACCTCCGAAATCCAACTAGAAATGAGGAGATTAACTGAAAAGAAACAACCGATATGTGATTCTGAACAAAAGATCGATATATCGGAAAGAGTGGAAAAGTTTATTGACGAAAACGGGGAGAAAAGTACTCATGTTACCTTTAAAGAGGAATTAAAAGAGAGAGAGGACGATGAGGAAAAGGTTAAAGTTCGATTGGCGAGGAGCGCTTCGATATCAAGTGAGGTGAGTTGCTGTTTATGGAGTTAGGTTAGTGGATTTCGGATTAAATTGTACGTAACATCCGAATTTGACATTTCGCTTAATTAATTAATTCTAGGAATAATGTGTTTACTGTACTACAATTTGCATTAAGATGAAGCTTATAAACGTCAATATGATTCATAAATATGCATATTACAGCAATTAATTTATTTTCAGGCAAGTTCTAATAACCGCCATAGATCAACGTGTGGAGGAAAAAGACCAAGCTTAGCAGCATTCTTAGCAGAAGTCCCAGCACCACGAGCTTTAGTAGAAAAACCGTTCCTTCTAAGCGACGGCAAAGTGGAATTAGAAGCCCGACTAAACAAAGGCATTTATTACCACGGCGAAGAAATAGACGTTATTTGTAACATAAGAAACAACAGTAATAAAGCAATAAGACGAGTGAAGGTAAGTTATTTTATTTTGACCGAAACTTCCAGGAAATGTTGTCCTATGTAATTTAAGAAGCCCCCTATCTCGAGAGAACTTTGTGCTTTACTCCCATTCGAACGATTCTAATGAACCACAGTGAATCGAAAAGAGGGTTGCTCGCGATGAAGTTATTATTGAAAGCCTACGGTCCAAAAATAACTCCTTATCGATCGTTGCAGAACCCGAAAAAGCGACGTCCTAAAAGAAAAAAAAAAACAACCCCTTATAAAAACATCCTGACGTAAATGCTTGTTTCAAACGCGAAATAAAATTGATTGGAACGGATAAGATATAAAGAAATAAAACGACAGTTTTATTTTTAAACGCAATTATAAAATTTTCTTATCTCAAAAAAGAATTTATGTTGGTAATAAATCATCGTTTAAACTTTCCCAAGTTATGCAAATTAAATCCGTGAAAAAAGGATTATTTCATGATCTCGTTGAATACGAATTAAACGTTTTTAGCGTACAAGAACAACCCGACAATGTGATTTGCATAATTCGTTGTAGGAAAGGGTTTTCGTGACCTTTTCTTCTTTGTGCTAGTTTTCCGTGTTGAAAATCCGCTCATCTCAACTAAATGCGGGTCCCTCGTTAAGGGAACGAAACGTAAATCCCACCCATTTATAGTCCTTTTCAGCGTGGTTGATAATTAAACGGCTCACCAGAGTTAGTTTTAACTTCCCCTTCTGGTTGCAGACTGTAAAATGGAAAACCCGAATGTCGGCAAATTTTAATTTTACCGGCTACGACCAACACGTAAATTTTCATTAAAAAAACTTTCATAACGTTTCAGTGATAAGAAGTAATGCTGTTTATAAAGTTTTTTTCTTTTTTTGTAACGTTTCGAACAAATAAATATTTAGAATTTAATAAAACCCACGTTTGTGTCTTAATGAAGTAAGTTTCCGGAAATTTAACCGCTTTGTTAGAACTCGAAGAAGTAACCGCTTTGCTTTCGAGATGAAGTTCTTGGGAAATAATAGCCACCGAAAATACGTCCTCTTTGTATTCAAACTATTATTCGTTGTTCGCAATAAAACCCAATAGTCATAAAGGGTTTATTTCCGTACTGCTATTTTAAGATGTTTTCGAAAATTGATAAACAACTCCGAAATAAACAAAGTCTTTTAATTTGAAAGTGATTGACTACTTATTTAATTAATCTTTAAAAAAAGATTTATTTTTAAATATTTATAACGAAATTTTACCAGAAAATAATAGACGATTTTAATTTTGTTTATGATGAGGGGAAATCTAATTTCGGAAAATGAGAATTTAACTCTTCAAAGTTTACCTTTCAAATTATCCACAACCAATTTATGTGTTCTATTTCAAATGAAGTCCCCGACGAGTGTCTTTTCTGTAGCTCAACGTTTTCCATAATACTTGCAAGGTCATCATTTAAATTGCAAAATAAAATATACGAGTGAACTACTTCTTTTTTCTATTATCAAGGTCTTGCTATCTTTGTGTGTATCTTAGTAAACATCTTATTAACATGAAAAATTCTCCAATCAAATTGTGAATATAATTGTGAATTAGCGATAAACCACAGATCAATACGAACAAGATAATTGTCGTGTTGCGGGCTTAATATGTCGATGGCACAAGTTTAAGCATGTGCTTTGATTCATATCGAAAACTTTAACATCTGTATCCCCACACACAACCTCTAAACCCATCTTTAGTAGGCCTGTCATCATCTAACAAAGACATTCAACAATCTTATATCTTTTAATTTTCTATTCTTCTGATCTTCTGTCATTCGGCAGCGGCCACATTCTTCAAGAAAGCATTTGGCGTGAAACCAAGATTTTGCAACTCTTGCACCCAAACAGTGACTCTTGCAGCACGTGGTTTCACAGTAAGTGCACGGACATCCCCAAGGGATCCGTTGCCGCGCTTAGCGCACCTAGCGCGTCGTGGAAATGTAAGGCCTGTCGATCACCTGAATCCAAACGCACATCGACTCTTTTCTGTCCGCCTCCTGCTGCTCCTCCTGTACCTTCTTTACCTGTCGCTACTCTGGAATCTGTCCTGGAGGCGGTCAGGTAAATTCGTTCTGATTTGAAGTCACTGAACAGCAGATATGCGGATATAATTTATAATGAAATTCCAATCTCAACTAATTATCGAAAATGATGAATAACCCGAATATAAAGTGAGCGATGATGACGTTATCCAGTTTCTCTGTTCCTGTGGTCCACTAAATAGCATCTATACAAGTACCGTGATATCAATCAGATTATGGGTTAATTGAGTATGGAAAGTTTTCCGGGCTTCTATTAGTTCTGGAGTTAGTTGGTTCGATAATAGTTTAGTTGGTTGAAATAAAAAAGTTGTTTTCAGCATTATCTTTAATTAATAATAAATATTTTAATAACTACTTACCTTTTTTTTAGGTTTTTGTTGTTCAACACGTAGACGTTTGCATGTTCTCAAATGGAAAATTTAAAAATATAGTTGCTTTAATCAACTCAAAAAACGATTGCCCTTTACTTCCCGGCTCAACAACCGAATTAACTTACACTTTACTTCCGATGAAAGGTTCAACAAAAAATTGGATCGCTTTAGAAGATTCCTACACGAAATCGGGTACATCTCTAGCTTCCTCAGTAACATCATCTTCCTCTAATCCTGAAGATCGCAACGTTTTCGCAATTTACGTTTCTTACTATGTTAAAGTAAAACTGGTAGTTTCCGTAATGGGAGGTGATGTTTCCATAAAATTACCGTTCACTTTAATACATACATGCGACGATTACGATTCTTCGCCTATGGTGGAGATGCAAAAAATTGTTCATAGAAAATCTGTCGTCGAAGACGTTAAACAGGAGAAAGACGGAACTTGAGAGTTGGATAGAAAGATTGAGAAGACGGTTGTGGAGGTGAACACAGTAAAATTGGAACCAAAACAACAAACAAAAAAAACTAACTCATTAACCGATCGAAAAAACTCGTCTCTTTTGAAAGATATGAAGAATTTAGATGAAATAGTTACGTTAAATCGCGAAATGGAAGATGATAAAGAGAAGGTTGAAAATAATTCCGTTGAAAATGAGAATGGTGCGTCAAAAAGCTTTTGTATGTATCGCGGATTGTGTTGCTTACGAAGGACTTCTTAACAGAAGTTATAAAAAAATTTTATTGAAAAGTTAATCTATATGTGCATATCAGCTAAAAAAAATTAATTGTTCCACTTTTTTTTCATTATGTATCACTGCCACACTATTCCTCATCTTAACCAAAAAAAGTGTAATAATAATTGGAGCCTAATATTAGTAATTTCAATGTAACTATTATTGTGACCTCTCACGTTGCTTTAAGGTCGCCTCGAATCGTTACAGGCACTAATTACTTCTCAATAAATCATAATAACGATTCTCGACTACCTCCCTTCTCTATATACACTAAAAATCAATAGAGAAACTCGCCCAAACGACCTTTCTTCCTTTTATGTTGTGTTGTATTACAAACTTAGTTATTAAAGCGGAAATATTACAATCAATGTACATAAAAAGCTCCTACAAAAAGATTGTTTTATCTTAAAATAATAAACATTTAAGAAACAAATTGCACGACCAAGTTAAATAATAAATTGTACATAACATACCAAATACAATATTTACATAACGTCGTGTTTATGTGATTAATTATAAAATATGATGTAAAAGAGCCTTTTTTTTAATAAAATATTCATAAAAACCACTTTGTATGGATTATTTAAAACCTAAACAAAGATTTACTTACAATGATAAGGGCATTCCGCGTAACCTCTAACGATTTCCTTCGTCTCAGAGTTCCCATCAGATTTCTGAACTGTTAATTTAATAAGAATATACTTAAAAACACCTTCGGGGTCGATCGAAACATCGGGAATACTCGAAGAACTCATTTTTCTTAACAAATTTAAACTTCTTAACATTCAAATCTTTCTGATAAGCGACACCTATTGGCAAAAAAAGTTAATGAAAAATAAAGCTATAAAACATCGCGCCATCTATATTATAATGTAATAACTCAATTTCGTAACATTATTCTAACCTAGAAAAATACAGCGAGTGTTTATTATCGTTTAGAGCCAAAAAATTACGTAATTTACTCAAAACTATATTTAAAAATGCCCACAACAGATGCAGTTAAAATTTGGAATAACCTAAAAGGCATAATATGTGTGTATAAGCCGGCCGATGTTAAAACGAATCACGTACGGAAAATGATTGTAAATCGAATTTGTGAAGGTAATATAAATGAAACAAACTTTAAATGTACTTACTTGTAATGCTTTTATGCTGTAATTTTGTATAAATCGCTTTAAGAAGCCAAACTCACAAAGTGTTTTTTTATGTACTCTAGCGCCCTCTGTTTTTGTTTTGTATTTCTTTTAACGCGGGCTATTTAAATTTGTTTTAGGTTTAAATGAATTAGATTATAGACCAAATTCAGCGTTAATTTCAATTGAAGGAAAGCCATCAACAGAATTATCGGTTGTTCTTAAACCTAATTTAGCTGATGATCCACTTGTAGTTGGCCCAAGATATCAATTTAACGATTTACCTTGTAGCTGGTCGAATTATTTAGGAACTTCTACGAGTGGTGTTTTACGTAAAAACTTTAATTATTTGATTTATACAGTATACTTAAAATAATCGTATAGTTTTAGGTTTGAAGAGAGGTACTACTACCACTAAATACATAAGAGAAAATAAACCTACAAGAGCTTATAGAATTACAGGAAGTTTAGGTTACTCTACCGATAATTATTACAAAGATGGTCATATAGTTGAACGCACTACTTTTAAACATGTTAAATTAGCGCATATTGAACGTTTATTATCATACATGCAAGCTATGCATCAAAAAAAGATGTTTGAGTAAGTTTTATTATTCAAAAATTGTAGAAAACTAATTTCAAATTAACTTTTAGGTTATGTGGTGTCGATATAAAATCTCAAACGGCTTATGAATTAGCAACAAAAGGATTAATTAGACCGATAAACTCAAAAATTCCGCTTATTTACGGATTAAAATGTATTAAATTCGATCCACCCGATTTCACAATTGGTTTGTTTTATTTATTTTATTTAAATAGATTAATGTTTATTATTTCTTTTAGAAATCCAATGCATTAACGAGTATGAAACATATTTGAAAGCATTAATTCATGAAATTGGTACAAAACTAAATTCCTCTGCTCATTGTACGGGATTACAATGTATTAGACACAGTTATTTTATTATCGATAATGCTTTATTGCGACATCAATGGAATTTAGAGAATATTTTAAGAAATAAGGAGCAATGTGAGAATATCATTTTTGAAAATAGTGGATTGTTACATCAAAAAAGTGCCGTTTTGCAATAATATTTTATAATTTATGTTTTTTGTTATAAGAATAATAATAATAATAAAGTTTTAAATTAAAAAGTAAAGATAACCTAAAAAATTCATTAGTAGATTAACATAACCTCACTTTTCATTTTAAGTTATCTTTTTATTACATAATTAACAAATTTAATCAACATCTCATGGTCGAAATTGAATTATTTTCTTTTCAAAATGACTAATTCAACAAAATAGTGTTGTAACGGAAGTTAATTTTATTTAAATTCGTTAAAAGTTTAAAGTTCATAGTGATTACAACGACGAGAAAAAAATGTCTTTACACTCGATAAAATACGAAAACGGAACCCTATATATTTTAGATCAACTATTATTACCTGCTCAATCAAAGTATGTACAAATTAAGGGTGTTGAAGATGGCTGGAAAGTTATTAATAAGATGCAGGTACGTGGAGCTCCGGCTATAGCTATTGTAGGTTGTTTAAGTCTTGCCGTTGAGATTAAAGATGAAAAGTATGATTGTAAGAAGTCAATGAGACAAGATGTTGAAGGAAAATTAAATTATTTGGTTTCTTCAAGACCTACAGCAGTTAATATGAAATTAGCTGCTGATGAATTACTTTCTTTGATAAATAAAATGTGTGACGATGATGGTTTTAGCATTGAAAAAATGAAAGAAAGGTAATTCTGTTTTTTAATGTTGGAGTAATTAATAAATATTTTTTGGTTTTTAAAGATTTGTCATGGTAGTAGAAGAAATGCTAAATAAAGATATATCCGATAATAAATCGATAGGTGATTATGGTGCTAAAGAAATTTTATCCCACTTTTCAGGAGATACAAATTTACGTATTTTAACACATTGTAACACAGGGTCTTTGGCCACGGCTGGTTACGGAACCGCTTTAGGTGTAATCCGTTCATTGTTCGCTTTAAAACGTTTAGGTATCAAAAAAAAAATTATTAACAAACATTTTTTTACCCCTAAAGCGTTTTTGCCGAGCATTTTGCATTTTTAGAACATGTATATTGCACGGAAACCAGGCCGTATAACCAAGGGGCACGATTAACCGCTTACGAACTTGTCCATGAAAAAATTCCAGCCACACTCATCGTCGATAGCATGGTTGCCGCGTTAATGCGACTTCGAAACGTTTCTGCTGTTGTTGTTGGGGCAGATAGAGTGGCTGCAAATGGAGATACAGCTAACAAAATTGGAACTTACCAAATTGCGGTTTTAGCTAAATTTCATAACGTTCCATTTTACGTTGCCGCCCCATTTACCTCGATTGATGCGAAAATTCTCAGCGGAGATCATATTGTTATTGAAGAAAGACCTGAACAAGAAATGACTCATGTTGGGGAACACAGAATAGCTGCTAAAGGTTGATTTTTTTCATTTTTTATGTTGATTTTTATTAAATACGATTTTTTTAGGTATATCTTGTTGGAACCCAGCTTTTGATGTCACCCCAGCTGGTTTAATTGCGGGGATTATCACTGAAAGAGGTGTTTTTAAACCTAACGATCTGTTAAAAGCTTTAAATTGTCAAGTTGAATAATTTTGTTTTTAAAATAAAGGATTTTCTAATTTTTTTAAATTTAGTAATTTATACAGTGAATTACTACACTTAAGATGCAATATACAAAAATATATATCCATACAAACCAGGGCGTACCTACTTGCACTAGGACTATAGGCGCTAGTTAGCATAAGATATAACTATGTTGCATATTTTTATTGCAATTCTATGTTTCTAGTTCTCAGTCTAGTGTTAGTTCTAGTCTAACTAGGTCTAGTTTTAATTGTTGTGCAGCGTTAGATTGTGGTATATTTTTATTGAACGAAAAATAGAACTAACACTAGACCTAGAACCAGAAACATACAGGTTTAGCTGTGCGTCTTTTAAGACGGAATCTCAGAGTACGTCACCTTTTCCAAGCAAAACTACCCAATGCAATTAAGCTACTAGGTATATTGCATTTTATGTGGGACAGTGCAAGTGCATAGCAGTTTTGTAACTATGCGAGTTATATGAAATTCGCGATATAATTATGGAGAAGGAGAGGTTTTTGATAATAAAGACAACATGCACTAAAAATACGATATATAATATTTTTTATTAGTAACATATATTTATTTTTGTATTAATAACAACCCAAGAATTTTTATTTAAGAAAAAGATTGATAGGTGTAAAAATAATATATATTTAATAACAAAAAAAATGGGGAGGATGACTATAATTCGTTCTTTTCATCTTTTTTTTTTAACTTCTGAAGTTTCTTATAAAATATATTTATATATTAAACCTTTAATCTTAATATTCTAAAACTCCGTCATAAAGGGCTGTTCAGTTGGTAATACTGGCGAGAGTTGTGCGTAGATGCGAGCCCAGGCCTTTTTTTTATATAAAGAGAGAAGGAGCAGTCCAAGAAAACTTCTTTAAAAAAATCGTCCACACAAAAAAATCAAAGAACAAGAAAAATAAGGCGGTTTTGAGTTGATTAAAAAAACATGAAATAATTGTAGTAAAAACACTGCACCACTTCTTACACATCCATATCGGAATGAAGTCTTACCACCGCTTTTTATGTTCGTCCATAGAAACACCGCCAGGACCCAAATATACTATCATTAAGAGACCACCAACAACAGAAAGAGTCTACAAAAATAAAGGTTTTATTGATTAATAAATAAATAAATAAAAATTTAAGCTTACCTGGAAGAAATCGTATTTTAAAAAGTCTCTCAACGGTTTATATTCCGGAATATACCACCATGCATTATGATAAAAGTTTAATGTTGTCAATAGAATCACCAAAATAAGTGCTGAAAGTTTCGTTTTATAACCTATAGTGACTAGAACCATCAAAGCTGATCCTAAAAGGTCCAATAAAATCTAAAAAAAAAGCAAATTTTAAAATGTTTTGAAACGTCAAAATGACATTGACAACTTGACACTGACATTTCATAGACTGCCTACGTCTGACGTCACAAGGGTGGGCGGAGCTTATATCGACTCCAAACAATTTCGTTGCTAAGTTTGCTAACCACAGTTGCTAAGATAAATCGCCCGAATAAAGATGTCATTTAAAATGTCATCTAAAATATCATTTAGTTTATTTTATTTTAACACTAATTGAAAAATTGCATATGGGAATTTATCATTAGCAATGAAGATGTTTGGAGTCGGTATAAGCTCCGCCCATATCTGTGCTGTCAAGGATTAAGTGTGAAGTAAGCAAATTAAAATAAACAAACAAAATTGTTTAATAAACTAACCTGTAAGAATGTGAACTCGAACCTAATCAAGGTGATAAACATGAAAGCTATTAAAATACGTCCGGTTAATTGTAAATAATTTTTGGGTTTATTGTCTCCAAGTGAAGGAACTCCAGCAAATAAACTTTTCGCTTCACCTCGACCTTCCGCCAATACCAATAACAAAGCGCCGATTAATGCTAAGTTTCTGAATAAAAACTGTAAGTCCCACAAGATACTATAAGCAAATGTCTAAAAACAAAATTTATAAAATTTTAAAAAAATTTAATAAAATTTAATATTTACTTGAAGAACAACGATGAAAAATAAAACTCCACAAGCAATAGAAACTCTGTACCTAATAATAACCATAACACAACCCCCCAATTGTCCAATTAAGTTAACTAAAACGAATAAGGTTGCTAAAAAAGTTCCGCAACCCCACGATAAATTCATGTACTCTTTCTGTTCGTGCCATTGAAACCACATGCGTAATCCATCTTCAAGAAATGTTGATATTAAACATAATCTAGCGACTGTTGGCAAAAAAAATTTGCCTTTTCTAATCACCTAAAAATATTAAATTAACAAGGATTAATAGTTGGAATTTAAAATTTTTGAGGTTATGTTTCGTGTTCAATTAATTTGAGGTTAGGTTAATTAAGTGTCAAATTTTAAAAATTAATATTTAACTAATTAAAAAAACTTTCTTCATAAGAATGTAAAAAGATAAAAATTCCATATGGATGGATTAGGAATTTAGTTCACGTTAAACTAAAACTTAAAACAACATAATTAAAAAGCAATTTCATTTCAATGATTTATTTAACAAAACAAATTTTAATTACTTATTTAACAAAATGGGAATAATTTTATAGTTTTAACTTGTTGAATATATCAATTTTTGATTGTACAAAGTGCAAGATATGTTCAATGAAGATGCATGACGTGCCAAAAATTGTTTTTTTCGTTACAAATCTGTATTAAAGAAACGTAATTTTTGTATTGAACACGAACAAGGGGGTGAGTTCAATTGATGTAAATCGCTTTTTAACTTACTTGGTCGGCTACGTCTTCCGCATTTGATACAAATTCATTTGAGATCGTCATGTTTGACACACCACGAAACTAAACGAAAATAGTCCACGCCAGTCCACGCACACAGCGTATTTGCCACGGAGTGTACACGTGCGTATGAACTCGAGGGCTACTTTCAACTAAAAATCTGTCAACATTTTTGATAGAGAAATATCTTAAATAGCACACCGTTCAAGGTTATTTTCAAGGTTCGTTAAACTTATAGTAGATAATAACATCCTTGTTTTAGCTTTTAAAATGTTTATAAATAATTTGGAAGCATTAAAGTTTATATTTATATTTAAAATTGTTTTCATTTTATTGGATATCAATGAAACGATTATTTGAACGTAGACTATACGTCAAAATGTGACGTGTACCTAAGAAAAAATCAAACTTATTTTATAAAGTAATTAAAAAATACTTTATTACACTTAATATTATACTTTATTAAACCAATTTTTCAATATATTAATCGCAATTAAATCAAATTCGATTTAATTTTTTTATTATTAAGGAAATTATCGTGTCGGACTGTACTAAATCCAGGACGTACACTTAAATGACATAAACGATCTGTCAAATTTCTAGAAACTAACCAAGATTTTTCATAAAATAATGTAAGTAAATTACTTAACTAAATAAAATTATTGTAAAACTTTTCTTTTATTAGAAAATGATTGAAATAACCTGCAACGATCGATTGGGTAAAAAAGTGCGGGTTAAATGTAACCCAGATGATACCATAGCGGATCTAAAAAAGCTAATTGCTGCTCAAACGGGGACTAAATGGGATAAAATCGTTCTTAAAAAGTGGTATAAACCATTCAAGGATCACATACAATTACAAGATTGTATCCTTTTTAATTTAAAATATTGACATAACCTCTAATAAAAATATTCCTTAATTTAAATTTTAGATGAAATTCACGATGGGATGAATCTGGAGTTATATTATCAATAATTTAAGGTTTTAATTTGATTAATCTGTTAAAATAAAAAACTAGTTAAGATTTATTATAACTTTATTTATAAGAGCATCATCATCACACTTTCAAGAATAAATAAAAAGAATTTAAATATAAATTAAAAAAAATAACAGTCCGATAATATAATAAGGTACATTTCTAAAAAAAAGTCTAAAACGTTTTTACAATAGTAAATTTTAAATAGAAATAACAATCTAATATAGCTTGTGCGATTAAAACATCTACATAATAACTTTCTAACACGATTTTTTTTAAATAATAATTAGTACTTTGGTGTATATGGCTTTTTTTACTACAAACTCGTTTAAAACTATTATGTTACTTTAATGCGGTCTTTTAAAACCCCCATCGGATGAATTCACTCGTTTTGCTGTTTGATGAGTCGGTGACAAACTTTCCGTTGCATTTTCAGATATATTTTGACCGGCTTTGTGTCGATTTGCTAAAAATTCTCTTATATGTTGGACAATTAAGTCAATTGCGACTAAAACAAATATATTTAATTATTCAATTTATGTTAAATTAAAACTTACAACAAAAAAAAAGTTATGTGAATTTACCGACTTTATTTTTACAAATATAATTATAAAATATTAAAACATATTTTCAAATCTATTTTTATTGATATTTTATATCATTTCAGATACATGAGATACATTTTAAAAAAATTATTAGTCTACTTAATACACGGTTAAGAAAATACTTTTTTTTTGGCTGTATATGAATTAATTAATACCTTTGCTTGTATAAATCTACAAATACCTTAAATACTAATTAACTAATAGGTGCAACCTTTCCCTTTTTTAATTTTACGCTTTTTGTTGGTAATATTGACATTGATAAGTTTTTTATGGGATTCTAAAATAATGTAAGATTCAAAAATACAGATTATGCCTAAAATCTAAACTAAAAACTAATTTAAATAAATGTAAAACACTTTTAAAGTTGGAATGCGTTTTTAGTGTGCTTTTTTTTTAATGTGCGTTTTTGTGTTATTTCTTTTTATTTTAAATATCAGTGTGCTTCTATATTTGCAGATCTATTAATTCCGTTTTGGTGTCCGTGCAAGATATCCCAGATGTGGTGCACAATTAGGTCTATAGCCACTGCAACAATAAATTAATACATTACATGTACCGTGCGTACTTTATAATTAAACAAATAATTAATTTTAGAAATCAAAAGTAGATAAGAATTGTATTTACAAGGATTACGGAAAAGCAAACGAGTAATAGCAAATTAAATCAAAAAAAATAAGTCTATTTATTTTTTATTTGTTTTTCAAAGAAACTTAATAAATAAAATATACAAGTAATGCATTTTGCAGTGACTAAAGATGTACTTTTAATGTTCAATGTAATTTATAATAAGCTGGATGCTTACTAAATAATAATTAAATAAAAAGGAAAGGTTACACGGTTTATTTTTTTAATAGATACAATATAGCTAAAAGCAGGAAAAAAGTTATCTCACCTATGTTATCTGCGCCACGTGGAATAATCACATCAGCGAATTTTTTTGTCTAAAAACATTAAAATAACATTTTTATATTTATCATATTAATTTGATTATTTTTACATACCGGCGAACAAAATTCTTCAAAAGCAGGTTTAACAAAATTCATATATTGATTTAAAACTTGATCCAAATCTCTTCCTCTTTCATTTATATCTCTAGGGACTTAAAAATTTTATTTGAAATAAATAACATAATCATTCGTTGGAAATATCTACCTCTCCTAGCCAATCTAGTATCGGAATCAGTATCAACAAACAACTTCATGTGAAATAAATTGCGAACCTCCGGGAAATAAAAAACTAATATGCCTTCGAATAAAACCACATCAGCGGGATAAATAGTGATTGTATCGTCTTTCTTTATTCGATGATTTATGTAATCATACTGTGGAATTTGGCATTTACGCCCATCTAAAATGTCTCTTAACGTTTTTTCCATTAACTTTTCATTAAATGCGGCCGGATGATCAAAATTGAATTGTCCCTTTTCGGCTTTTTCCAATTCATCTTTCGTTAAATCTCGGTAAAAACTATCTTGCGAAATACAAACGACTTGACGCTGCGTTTGGTCCATATCTACTTGCCCCAATTTTTCCATTATTCTTTTACAAACCGTACTCTTGATAAAAATAAAACATTCATTGTATGTATTGATTTTCCTTATTTCATTAAACTTACCTTTCCACTCGCAGTTCCTCCAGCCACTCCTATCAAAAAAGGTGTTTTCGGCTCAAAACCATTTATTTTTCCGTTACATTTCGTTTCTTCGCTCATTTTTGGAGGTGTTTTAATAAAGTATTAAAAAATTGTTGTGGTGAAATATTGACAGTTTTAGGTTAAGTCATGCGTACTTAATGCCGATAAAATAGGAATTTTTAAATGAACCTTTAAAATAAAGATGGCGCTAAATGCGAATTAATTTTAATTAAATTGTTAATAACGAAAAGTTAATATTAGTTTATATTTATTTATTGATTTAACATACAAGCAATTACAACATTTAATTCTGACTGAATTAATCAGAAAACAATTATAAAAAAACTTTCAAGTTTAAGTACCGTCTAAGGTTTTCTTTATGATTGAATAATTTAATATATTTTGAAATATTTCTTTTATCTAGTTCTTCTGTAATACATTGATTTATTCCGCATCTCCTTGGGAAGCCGTGTCTAGAATTAATTCGAACGAAAACGGTTGGAAAGCGTGCCCCAGACCGGAATAAAACTTGCTCTGGAACTCAACCCAATGTAAACGTAATGTATGCAAAAACGCGGATAATCCTTCCATTAACACCAAAATTGATACTGTTAAGCAAGCCCAGAAGCTAAAGATTACGTAAAGAACGATTCCACCTCTCCAATCATCTATTATCAATCCTTTACTTAATACCATATTCCATAACACTTCAGACAGTTCTAAAAAATGTTTATTAATTTTTAATAAATATTTATTTTAAATAAATTAATAACTTACGAGCGTGAGCTAGAGATAAAGCCCATAAACGCAAATAAGAAGCAGTGTGAGACACCGATCCAAGTACATATTCAATAGTATGGATTCCTTGATGGATAAAAATTTCACTCATTTCCTCGTTATCATCGTGACCACCGGTTGCACCATGTGGTGCTGCTGCTTGAGTGTTATTAGCAAGGGCTTGTTCCGCATCTCCATTTTCAGTTGCTTGTTGCATTTGAGTATGGACAGCTTTCTGCGATCGGGTCCGCATTATATAAATCGGTTTGGCGAGTAACATCCATGGCACGCAAAGTAATGCGGTTATAACCAAAAATTTTTGCACAAACATTTGACCTGGGTACATAGTTTCATCGCATCCCTCAACGATTTTCGATTCTTTAAATAGCACCATGTTAATAAATGTTATTAAAATTGATGGGGCGCATTGAGGACCACGACGAAAATCACCATCCTCATCTCCAGGTAAATCAAGTGTTGCAAAGAACATAATCCATTTCATAAACATTAAAGACACCATGTATAAGAAGAGGAAGGTTAAGAAGATAACTTGAGGGATAAATTCACAAAAGATGTTGACTTTATTCTTAAAATAACGGTGATTGCAAAGACTCAAAGCAACACCGAATAACATATGAAACACACCAAGAATAATCGAAATTTTCATTTTATAGGCGTTTTGAAAAATGATTTTATTCTTTGCTAATTGCCAAACGGGGTCCATACCAATAACGTACGGATAACCCAAGAAATCTTTAGTTGCAGGATCTAACATGTGCGTATCTAACATGTTTATAGCTTGTTCTTCAGTGACGTTATTAACACGCCATTGAGAACCGAAGATATTTAAAGATTTCGAAAACATATCATTGTAAATTAAGCCAGTGTAAATTGAGAAAACGCCCATTAATAAAATAATGTATCTTCCCCCAAAGAAAATATTCCAAATTTCGTTATCTGATTTTTTTGCAGCCAAGGGCTTTTCTTTCAAAACCATCCATCCAGCGAATAAAGCCATTAATAATCCATGTCCACAATCGCCAAACATGACAGCGAAAAGAAACGGAAATGTAATAATTGTGTAAGGGGCTGGATTCATTTCTCTATAAGAAGCAATACCGTAAGAATCAATTAAAGCTTGAAAAGCCGTGGTAAATTTATTCGTATGATTGTAAGTTGGTGGATCTTCACAAGTTTCCATTTTATTTAAAATCGGCGGAACGGAACTTCCGCTCCTTTCCGTTCCACGTCTTAAAGCTAACTGAATATTTTCCAAATCTAAAACGGGAACCCAACATTCGGCGATTAAACATTTTTGTGTCACATCCAAATTGAATAGATTCAACGTGTGATAAATCGCTTTGATCTTTCGGACTTTAACGAACCAATTTTTAATGTTTTTTGCGGCAGCCACCAAAACGCGATGACGATGATCTTGGGTTTGACCTAGAACGGTATTTAAATCTTCGATACGAGTCATCACCCCCATTGCCATTTCTCTACGATCTGCCGGAGCTTCTGGGCATGGATAAAGAGTAGCTCGGAATCCTTCGCAAATTTTTTTAACGCGAGTTTTTAATTGATCTCCTTGGAAGAAAATTATAAAAACGGATTTGAAAACTTGATCACCCTAAAAAAAATAATTAAAGATGAATTAATTAATTTAATAAATTTATAAGTACCGTCGATGGATCTTCTAAAGGCGTCTCAATTTCCGCTTGGCGTAAAAAGACGTTTCCTCGGCAAGCTCTCCATAACATCCTTTCAAAAGCCGGTATTCTTTCGCGAAGGATGACGCCAGCGACGAAACTATTTATTATCAAATAAAAAAATTAATTATAATTTGTTATTAACTTATTTTATTTCAGCTAATTTGTTTTCATGTTTCAAAACTATTCTTTATTACAGTTATAAACAACGATTAAGTCAATTTAAATATAATTTAGCTGAAATAAAATGGTCTATAATCTAATCTTTATTGGACCTAGGTAATTTTTGTAGCTTTAAATGCAAAATTAAGTTGACTTGTTGGACGCCACGTTAAAAATGTAAAAAAAAAAATAAAAGAAATAAATTTTTTTGAAGTCGGGGGGATGTTCTCGCAGCACTTTTCTTTTATTTTTTAAAAGAAAGTCGAATTCTCTTGGCTTTTATAATAAATCTTTTTGGATCAATTCTTTTTAAGGTTGGAATGGACAAAAATTAAACTACTCTAAGGACAACGACAAAGTAAAATAGGCGTAACTACGACACAAAAAAGCGGCGAACTTAAAAAAAAAAATAAGAAAATGACTTTTAAAAGCTTCCCTCATAAAATTTATACATTAAAAAGACGTCACAATAACGATTCGATTTTTATTTAAATAATTAAAATTAATTAGCATTAATTGAATCACCAACGTGAAAAGATTCCTTAATGATTTTCACGTTCGAAATTCAGCAAAACTTAATTAAAAATAAAAAATATAAAATTATAGGCTTGGTGCAATTGAACGTTTTGTGTGTTTTTTGGCAAAAAGGAGTCTATTTAAAATAAAAACAAAGATACTGACCAAGGTAGGTAGTCTTCCAATTCGCTAGGCTTTTCCGGAAAACTGGTTTTGCAAAAATTCACTTAGATAGTCGTTTTGTGATTTTAATAAAAATGATTCACTTCAATACAAAAAAAATGGAAAGATGAAAATATGGAGATTTAAAAAAAATCTGAATGAAAAGTTGTTCTAAATGGATCGGTTCTAAACGTAACTTTTTAAATTAAGATGTAACACTTTAATGTTGAAAAAAATCACGATTTAAAATGGTATAAAACAAACACTTTAACATTAACCTTAGTTCACTGGAGTTTCGCAAATTTTATGGTTAACAGGCATTCCCTCAACAGCATATTATCTTGATTGTACCATCTCGGATACAAACTTTGATAGCCACCCAATATTTCTTCCCAGTCTTATTATACAACAATTATTGGTATTATGACAATGTTGCGATGCTTTATGATGACTAGTTGAGAGAATGTACATTTATCTGTAAGAGCCTCCATTGTAGCCACATCGGCCTTGGTTACAATCATTCACGACCATCAAAAATTTATCTACGCCGTCTTAACTGGTTGAGGGAATAAAGTCGAAGTTGCTTGAGGCTGAGACACTCTTTTTTTTGGCAGAAACATCTTTGTGCCTTTTTAAATATAGATGTCTCAATGATCACTCTTAATAATCAGATCTTAAATACAGAATAATGTCACATTGACGTTTCCATCAAGATTCATAAAAAAATTAAGGATGGAAAATTTCCAAATATCCAGTAACTAAGTGATTTTAACATCTTCTGGTGTTATTAAAATGACATTATAAATGTCAAAAAATGATCTTATCAAAAAACCGTGATTTAAATCAAATGATTTAAAATTAGTGAATAAAAACGTTCTAAATGCAAATGAGTTTATAAAGTCTGTAAAATCCTGTTTCGTTTTGATATCTTTATAATTTTTTTTCTTTAGATATTTTGAATAATGATACATACCCTAACTGTACAGGGCCCAGGCCCCCTTGTCTCGCAATATTGTCATCGCTAATGAGTGCTCTGGTCATTGATTCGGTGGGGTTTCCACCCTCGTGCTGTCCAACAAGACAATTAGAAGATTAGGCTGGTGGGACAGGTGGGTGGGGCCCCATTTTATTTTAAAGACCATACAAGGTCAACCCGAATAAATACTATGAAAACAATCTTCATCTCATTCAAAAGACAAAGATCATCTTCAAGTTATACATTTTTATTTTTTTAGTATATTAAAAATTAAAATGTGGTAATAAAGCAATCCAACACCTAGCATGACAAAAAATCACTTCGACACAAATGTTTCACACTAGAAATTCAACAAAAAAATAAATCAATCATCATCACCACCACCGTTTACCGTTTTATGTGGATGGAGGATTCGATTTTAATCGACTTTAAAAGATCATAGACAAACAATAAAGAAAAAAAAAAAAAAAAAAAAAAAAGAATTATTTTAAAAAGGAAACGGGTGAAAAGCGTCACAATTAGCATGGTGAAAATGCAAGTGCAAAATGTGCTACGAAACGTGCACAAAAACTCTTATTTTTAACGAAATGAATTTATATGAAGCTTAGTTTTTTAGGGGGTCAAGTTCCGGGAGCCCTTTAAATATTCTCTTTTATTCTTTATATAGGGTAGTTCTTTTAAATTATAAGAATGAAATTAAAGTGTTTCAAAGAATCACCCAGTATAAACATTTTTATTTTAGAAATATGTAATAATGAAAATGAATTTTGCGTATTAAATTAGAAACGGAGGAACAAAAAAAAAAACACGGTTACGGTTTAAAGACATTCGGGGCTCAAACGGACACGTTCTTGCCTCAGCGTCATCCGGAGCCTCGCGGTGTCTGCCAAATGTTGACACAAGTGCTGAAAGAACATCAGAGAATGTGGAGAAATTTTGAAAAATCTTGGGTTAACAACAAAATTTCTATTTATTATATTCATGAAACGGTCCAGAATTAAACTTTTTAACAGAAAATATGGTAAGAAGATAGATAAAAATATCACAAGAACTAACATTAGACCTAGAACTAGAAACATTCGGGTTTAGCTGCACGTTTCTCAAGATGGCTACACCCGAATGATTCTAGTTCTATGTATTGCGTTACTTCTACTGATAGTGCTAGTGCACTACTAGAACTAACACTAGACCGAGAACTAGAAACATTCGGATTTAGCCTCACGTCTCTCAAGACGACTAAACCCGAATGATTCTAGTGCTAGGTCTTGTGTTATTTCTAGTTTTTGTTCAATAAAAGTATATAACAATCTAACGCTGATTAATAACTAGAACTAGCACTATACCTAGAATTAGAAACATTAGGGTTTAGCTGTGCGTCTCTAAAGACGACTAAACCCAAATAATTCTAGTTCTAGGTCTAGTGTTAGATCTACTTTTAGTTTAATTAAAATATACAATAATTTAGTGCTGAATAATTTAAAACTAGAACTATCACTAGACCTAGAAAATTTCGAGTTCAGCCAATTTTGTCAAACCCTACATTTAACACATTTATTTATTTTTTTTAGCATTTACATATGCTAATCGTTATTTAAACAAATATTTGTTAATTTTATTATGTCCAAGAATGCTTATAATATTACCACCTTAACAAATTTTTGGTTTAGTTTGCAAACAATACTCAATAAATTGTGTACTCATCAAATAAAAACTCTTTCAAAATTAAATTTTATTGTAACACTCGACATTCCTTTTTATTTTTTATCGGTAATTCGTTGTTATCGTTTTTTTTCCAAGAAATACGTTCTTTAAAAACTTGTGTTATTACTCATAATTTTCATACTCTTTATTACTCACTTTCATTTTCTGAAAAAGTTTATCTGGACCGTCCTCAAAAAATTTTAAAGTCAAAATTATAAATAAATTACGCATCGATTACTATTATTATTATTTTCTTTTAATTAATTTATTTTAGGGCTTAGGGAATCTGCGTGTTCTTTCTCTAATAAATGTACAAAACAAGATGCTTTTACCCCAATTTTAGGGCTTGGCCGCCCGCCCGCAGCCCTTCCTCTCCCAGCAGGGTCACTTGCTCTTCCTCTCTAGCAGGATCGGCCATCTGAGCAGACCCACCTCGGTCAGCCTGGTGAAACAATGCCCGGATTTTGTGCATTTTACGTTTTTAATTTCTATATAAAGGCCCAACTTTATCTACCCCTCTGCCTAGTTCTTTCAAATTCTTACTTTAAAATGAAAATCTTTATTTCTTTCTAATTTAATTCTTTCAGGTGGGTTGGGTTTAGCAACAAAAACAAAAAAAAACAGTTGAACTAAGAAGAAGGGTTTAAAACACTATAAGTAATAAATAAAATTAAAGGTTAACATAAATTATTGAGAAACAGCAATAACACAGGATAATACGAAATGATTAAGTTGTTTGGTGCTTTTAAAAGATTTGAAATTACCAATTAGCAGTAAATCGTCGCAAAACGACTCATTGTCCGCGATTGATTGTTGCAAGGTTAACTTTCGAAATACACCAGCCAATAAACATGCATTGTATTTATGTGAATTGTGAGTAGCATTAAAAAAAGGCAGTTAGAGTCCACAAACCACGTGACGACCTCGTTTTTTTGTTATTATTAATATTTTAAGAGAAAATCTAAATAGTACAAAGTCTATTGGGTTTTTTTTTTGTTGCTAATGTAATAATTTTTTATCGTTATACAACCGGTTTTTTTTTAAAGTTTAAAGTTTTTTTTAACGTTGCGTAACCATTTCTAACAAATTATTTGTTAAGATGAATGAAAATCGTAGCGCTAAATGAACTAATGCTGTTAGAATTAACATTGTTAAAAAAATGTGTTAAAAAAAAGGTAGGGTTTTAAAAGATTACGATATGAAATTGTTTATTTTATGGGGATTTAAGGCTTAGTTCGTTAAACTCGAGATTGAATAAATTTTTCGTTATGTATTACATTTAATACTTTAATGTAAGGGGATTTAAACTCGAAAAGATTAAAAACGAATAAACAATGATATCGGGTTACTTAACCAGTTTAGAGAAAAAAAAATGTTTGAAACCAAATTCAATTTTAAATGGAACTCATTAATTTAATAGCTAAAATAATATTTTTAACGATAAGAAAAACTTAAAATTTCAATTACTATTATTTATTATAACCAATTTAAAAACAGTAGCAAAGTAGCCGATTGATAACTTTAATTAAATTGATTACGTTATGGTTTTTTTTAATTTTTAATTATTTTGTTCTAAATTAAAACTCATTCATATCTCTTATCTGAAATCGTGTAACCGATCAAAACTAAATAATAAATAAATCACTTTCTGGAAGTATGCCATATAAAAGCATAAAACGTAAAGTAAATATTTCTTAAAATAAACGTGATTAGGAAAGTTAATGATGTTTAAATCCTTAAAAACTATGTCATTTCTATTCCCAAATACAATTTTCGTTTTGTTTTTGTATTCTTGAATTATTTCGTTGTAATAATAATCTTTTTATAGTTTAGCCCTCTCGAAACCACACAATAAAAATCTGCATCTGATTTAGACTAGGGAAGTGGGACAAGTATTTGAGATAGAAGCTTCGTGGCAATGTGAGGTTTTGTGATTAATATTACATCAACCTCAATTTGATCATCATTTTGTGGCGCCTCAACTTTATCAAATACACTTACAGATCTTTAGATTAATTAAGTCGATGTTGCTCCAGTGATTAATATTATATCTACCTTAAACTGGTTTGCATTTTATGGCACAGATCAACTTTGTGGCCAACCTCAAACTGGTTGTTCGCAGATCTTTTGACTAGTTATGCCGCGTCCGAGGCTCGGTGATTAATATTATATCAACCTCAAACTGATCATCATATTGTGATGCCTCGGTCGCAAGAACAACTAGAGTTGTGGGTTTTTTGTGTAATTTAGCCGAGGTCGCTTGCTGCCGATGTTTAGTGATTAATATCATGTTTACTTGAAATTGGTTTGCATTTTATTGTGCTTCGGCTTTATCAGATACAGTTGTGATTAACATTAAATGTCAACCTGAAACTGGTCATCATATTGTGGAATTTTATGTGAAAATTAAATGAAATGTTTTTTACTATGTAAACATCATCCAAAACATATTTTCCTGTAAAATGACAAGCTAAATAACACAAAAAGAATATAAGCAGAATGTAACGATTATGGAATGAACAAAAAAAAAGGATTATGGAATAAATTTTCGTTAATTAATTACCTAAACTGTTAATTTTTCCTTTAATTAAAGTTTTTTTAAATAATATTATCAAAAACTCCCATTTTTAACAAACACATTTAAGGGCATTGTGACACCAGGCGATCAAATGGTTAATTAAAAATAAATATTAAAAAAAAAAAAACAAATTGAACCCCGGGCTTATTACATTAAAAAATAAATATCCAGCTGAAATGCAAGTTAGTATTTATACATAGTTTTACACATCATCATCATTATCAAGTTTTAAACAATCATTATTAAATAATAAATAAAAAAAATGCAAAAAAAAAAGTTATTATTATAATTAATGCACTTATTATTTCTTTTTAAATCTTTTATCATGCAAATTAATATTGATTAATATTAATAAAACTAACAATAGTAGCAAAAAAAAGAAAAAAAACGGATGCTTTATACGAAGAGTTAGGTGCGTTTTTTAAGACAGATTTATAAACGCCAAGCGACAGGCCCACTTACTGAAGCATTATCGTTTCGAGACCTACGGGTTCCAATTTATCCCCAAATATCGACCCCTAGAATTTACCAAAGAATTTCAAGTATAAAAAAACCAAAAAAATTTTAATTGTAAGGAATGCTTATTTTTTAGCTATATTTAATTTTTTAAATAAGCATTTTAAGCGTATATAGCATCCGTATTTAATGTAGGCATAAAATCGAAGGTTCTCGGCCCAAGAAATAAAAAATTCAAAAAAAAAGAACAAAATGCAAGTAATCTAAAATATAAAAAAGTAATTAAATAATTTTCAACAATAAATTAAACCGGGAACGGAGGAACCGTGAAATTAATACCAAAGAATTAGTGTTAGAATCGAAAAATATTATAAATATAATTGCGTTTATATCATGCTAGGTGATCGTATTTACATTAAAAGAAAATTAAAAATAGATAAAAATAAATTCAGTTTAATAAAAGGTATTATTAAAAAAAAGATTTATAAATACTTATATAAAAGTAATAAAAAAAACGTTACGAGAACGACTTACCTCATCGAAAAACACTTGGGTTTTACGCAAAATCTGTTTTAACTCCGTCAATTCCAAGAAGTTTCTTTTTAAAGCCTCCGCATTTTGATTTACTTCGCGTAGCTCATTTTCTAACTTCTCGAAAGTTGCCTAAATTTAAGCGAGATGAACAACAAATTGTATACCAAAAATATTTTAAATTATTAAAAATAATTTTATTTTAACCGTCATAAAGCATCATATTTTGATTTTGTATAAAATTGGAGTCATAATCAATGGAAAATTATTTGTGTGGATAAATCTTCCCTTTTGAGGTCACATTATTTTTAAGCAGTACTTAAAGCAAAAATGACACAAATGCAGTTTTGGCCACGAGGAAATCGACGCCTACAAATGTTGTTTTGGTGTTATGCAAAAATATTTTTGGCAAGGCTTATACACTGTGTATTGATAATAGATTTAGTATCGACTTCAGCAGCTAGAAAATGGCAAAAGGTACTCATCTAATTGGAATGAATCATCATGGAATTCCAAAAATTCAATACATAATATTAGAATGTGTAAATGGAGTAATAGTATTAAAAAGGATTTGTTATGAAAATAATGTTTGGTTTAAAAAAGTTATAAATGTTACATTGTTTCAAAATTAATACAAAATTTACAAAATATAAATCATTATGAAGGTTAAATAGATTTAAAAAATATAAAATACAAAAATAGGTACTTATTAAAAGTTAAATAATCTAATTTAAGTTTGTGTTATTAATAAATCCTATCAAAAAACCAACAATCACATCATCAAAAAAAACGGTACATAAATCAATCACCCAATTGTACTTTTTTTATTATTACATTTTTTCCTTTGTTCCCCTTTTTTTATCTTAATCATTCTAGCGAAAAAATAACAACAAACAGAAAAGATTTACAACTTCCAAAACCACAAAAAAATCTCAATCTACCTCTAAATCGATCATTTCGCGTGGTTGTGGAGCTTCTGGGTTTTCTCCAGTATCCAACATAGGAATTCCATCCTTCTTAATCTCCTTCTCCAAATACCGTAACTTCCTCTCCATCTCATCGCAACGTCTGACCTCGTTGACAAACTTTCGCTGAAACGCGTTCACGTCTGGATTGAGCTAAATCAAAAATAACATAATTCATCGATCCTTTAGGTTTTCTTTAAATGGGGGGCGGAGAATGAAGATACTTACGTCTCTAAACTGAACGAGCCCGAGTTCCCCAAGTTCAGAAACACAAGCGTATGCGGCCTCGCTCTGTAAAAAGAGCTGGCATAGGGTCATTTCCGCACTCCTAAATAAGGAGCCCATTTTGATGGAAATAGAGAGAACTAAAACGTGCACTACCGAGCGGTTTTTTTCAAATAGAGGTCCGCGGAGAACTGAACCCAATTCACAGACTAAAATCGTTACCCAGTCGAATGACGTTTATTTGACGTTTTGTGATCATGTGACTAAAAAAGTAACTGCGCATGATCTCGTATTACAAAAAATAATAATATTAAAATTGTTTATGATTTAATTTAAGATTAATTAATTTACACAATAATAATATTACTGAAACAAAATTAAATTTATTTTTAATTAAAGAGAATTTTTTTTAATTGAGTGGTTGAAAATTAATTTAAACAAGTCTTGCCATCTATTAGTTTTAGCGCAAACTGTTTTATAGAGATTGATTATGAAAAACGCTTTGAGATTTAATTAAAAAAATATTGAAGTGTAAATACTTTGATTTAAAAGTTCTGTATATAAATAAAGGTTGCTATTAATAAAATAAAGTCATTAAAATAAATAAATGTTCAAAACTATTTGTACAATTTAGTTCGAGTCTTGAATGAAAGGTGGTGCTGATTGATAAACCCACAAATGGTGGTAAATGTGTATAATGCAGTATTTCCATCTTAAAAATAGATTAGATTCGGTGGATAAGTGTCGAAATGTGTCGTTTTTATTTGGAAAATCCTTGAACGGTGAAGTGCGAATTGTGTACGATTATTCGCCGTGCCCCAATTTCTCGAAATCTATCAATTATCGCCAGGAAAACAAACGCATGCGTGTTACGGGCGGTACACAAAGATCCGTAAATGTGGACCCCCTCGGCAGTCAGCTGTAAAACGGTTTCTCGATGATTTAACTCGATTTTCTCGGGTAGTTTTAATCGGGTACTGTGCCGTTTTTATGAACTGTTACCCCGAAACATGAGTTACACCACGCTATGCGCTATTGTGTTCATTATTTCACCGTTTATCGAAGGTGGTAAGTTTCAGATACGTTTTAAATATGTATCGTTTTCATGTTTTCATTGTATGTATGTTTATGCACTATTCTAATATAGTTTTCTTAAAGTTAATACACACATTTTGATATAAATAATGTTACAAATTCATCTTTACAAATTTAATCTCTGTGTGAAATACGTATTTCCATATTTCTTTCTTTTGCTTTTTAATTTTATTTTTAACTTAATATGTGTGTTTGGGTTACGCCTCTTTATGAGTCACATTCCGAGAAACTACTTAAATTTGATTGTATTTATAATTAAGGAAAAAAATCGACAATGTAGTAGTTTCAATAGAGAGCAGGTAGCGCTTTCGTGTGTTTTCAATTACAAAACTCAAGGTCGTTAAGTGATTCATACAGGAAGTGCAAGTTGAACGTCCTCGGTGCTTGTGGCCAAAGCTTTTTTTCCCAGATAAAAGGGATCGGATGTGGGAAGCCCGCATGCAACATTAGTTTACTTAAATTAGTCATAAACCTACAACCGTCTTTATCTATGTCTATTCATTACGAAAATTGAGCAACTCGTTTTGATTGGGCGAGTTTCTTGATTGTATACATTTTTTCAGGCACTTAAACTTTCGCTTTTTTTAAATCCGCTGATTTAATTTATAGCGTTCTTAGTTTTGCTTTGTGTTGGAATCTTTTCAGAGATGGTTGAAGTTAAAATGTAGGATACTTTCTCGTTCCTATTCGAAGTTATTAACTTTCTATATCAAGTGGAATTATTGATGTGTACGTTTTAGTTGTAAATCTTAACCGGATTTACTTTAAAGTGAACGTTAATAAAATTTTTCGAACTTAAAGCAGTCCATTAATTACTAACTTTTAAATTTATGTCGGCATGTTTTTACTTTTTGATGTACTTTGGAGTATTGAGTAACAAAATCTCGAAAACTAATAGCAACTACATAAACAAGTTGAAGTCCCCAGATAATTTTATGGAGTACAAATGTTTAGATGTATTTAACGTGCATGAACAAATAGATGGAGAGTTGAAAATGAGGAGCTAGATTTCAAAAATAAAATTGAGTATCAGTATCAGATACTATCAGAAATCTTGCAATCGCACAGAATAATACAGAATGCTTACTCTTTCTCCATACCTTTGAAGTTTTAATCTATTTTAAGGACCTTTATTTAAAAAAATAGATCGAGACCTGTAAGCTACTTTTTTTCTAACTCTTATAGTTTCCGAGATAGCCTATTCGAACATCGAATTTGAACCAGCCGGTACATAACTTGTGCGTCAGAACTGATTGCGAAGAATCAACCCTTAATCTGCGCGAGAAGATGTGCTAGTTACTCTGCAAGCCGAGAGTGGGATTTCTCTATTGTTCTGTGGCAATAGTAAATAATTATACAGAAGATTTTCTTGAGATCAGAGATTTGAAATATTACGATCATAGAGAGTGAGATAAAGAATGATATACTTGTGATATAACCGAGACATCATCAAAATTAATGCATCCTAAAAAACAGCTTTGAAAGGCGCAAAACGGCTTCAATGAATGTAAATTCGCTTTCTATGTTATCAAATGGGACCCCACCCACGGCGCTACTGATTACGTACTTACCTGTGATTCACGGAAATCAATTTGTAATCAGTCATTGTGTCATCAATTGTGTGTCTTCATACCTAATTACGTAATTAAGTGAAAGATAAATACTATTTCCACTGCCAGGACAGAGAAGTTTGCGTTAAGGAAATAGTTGGAAATAACAGACCTCAGATTGGAAATATCTGAGGTCTGCTGCACGAGAGTTGTTGCGTATGGTCATATGCTATAGTAGAAACTGCCCCATGATGTGGTAATCTATCGCAGCAGTAGTATCACTTGGCATGTTGAAATCCTTCTCGTCTGCCACCATGACTAAACTGAACAAACTACAGGTTTTGGCTAATAAACAGTTTCGTGTGTGAAGCCTGGTCATAATGAGTCTCACTGTACAGACCGCCTTAGGTTTAGGCGGGTTCCTAAAATAAGGTTAAAGATACAGCCAACATTTTTTTACTGCTTGGAACGTCACTGACATAAGCAATAAATAAGAAATGTTTCGTCTATATATGAAGGCATAAACTGATCCTTCATACTATAACTGCTCTATTATCTCACAAGATTATGGATAATACTTGGTAAACAGGTACTATAGCAATTATTATATTAATTGTTAACTCCATAACACTACGTATTAACTTTAAAAAAACTATATCCTTACAGAAAAATCTTATTAGTAATCAGACATAAGCCTATTTGAAAAGATTACAATTATATGTACATACTCTATATTAGATTATTCCAACTTTATTTTTAAAATTTCAATGTTACTTATTGGATTTAATTTTTTTTAGCAAATCGATTAAATGAGTACATCTCCCATTTCGAACCTTTAACCTACGACCATCAAGACGTCCACAAATCGCATCTTCGCGCGAAACGTTCCGTTGTTCGAGATAACGCCGTACATTTGGCTTTTAAAGCACACGGCCGAAACTTTCGGTTACGTTTGAAACGGGATTTGGGGGTTTTCAGTGAAAACCTCGAAGTGCACAGTCCCGATGGTCCTTTAGAAGTCGACACTTCTCATATTTACACTGGGCACGTGATTGGTATGCTTTAAAAAATTGTTTTTTTTTTAATTAATTTAATATTTGTTGTAATCGTTAGGTGATCCAAATAGTTCAGTGTTTGGTTCCATAATCGACGGTGTTTTTGAAGGAAAAATCGTCGCTTCCGATTCGTCTTATTACGTTGAAAAAGCGCGGCATTATTTTCCCGAGGAAAAACACCAGAATCGAACGTTTCATTCGGTTATTTACGATGAAAATCACGTAGAAGATCCGTATAGAGATGTTAGAAAAGGTGGAGGTTGCGGGGTTAACGACGAAGTTCAACAGTGGATGGAAAAGATTCAATATTCAGGGGTTGACGAACCCACCGATTTAAACTATTTAAAAGAAAAGCATAAAAAGAATAAGAAGAAGAAAAACGATAAATATATAAACGATATATTCGAAGGGTATAAAGAAAAAAATGAAGAAGCTTATTTGAAATACACGAAAAATGCTAATGAGAAAATTAAAAATAAACGGAAAAAACGAGCCACCCGACGAGAAGAAAATCGAAACACTTGCTCTTTGTATATACAAACGGACCCATTAATTTGGAAACATATTCGTGAAGGATTCCCTGAAGTAAGAAATATTAACTTTTTAAATTTGATCTTATTTTAATTAAAACGTTTCTTATTTTAATAAAGCATGCAGATCCTACAAAAGAAACTGAAATTAACGAAAAAACCCGTGAAGAAATTTTATCATTAATTGCCCACCATGTAACGGCGGTTAATTACATATACCGTGACACGAAATTCGATGGAAGAAACGAGCATAGAAACATAAAATTCGAAGTGCAACGCATAAAAATCGACGACGATTCCTCGTGTAACTGTCGCGGTTACAAATGCGAAATAAACCAATTTTGTATGGAAAACATCGACGTGAGCAACTTTTTAAATATCCACTCGCTTGGAAATCACGAAGATTTCTGTTTGGCGTACGTATTCACGTACAGAGACTTCACGGGTGGTACTTTAGGTTTAGCATGGGTCGCCTCGGCATCCGGAGCATCTGGTGGAATTTGTGAAAAGTATAAGACTTATACGGAAACGGTTGGTGGGATGTATCAAAGTACTAAAAGATCTTTAAATACCGGAATTATTACTTTTGTTAATTATAATAGTAGAGTTCCACCAAAAGTTTCACAATTGACTCTAGCTCACGAAATTGGTCATAATTTTGGATCGCCCGTAAGATTATTCATTTATTTCAATTTTTTTAATGTAACCTATCGTTATTTTAGCATGATTATCCGTCTGACTGTCGACCTGGTGGTCAAACTGGTAATTTTATTATGTTCGCTTCAGCAACAAGCGGTGACCGTCCAAACAACAGCAAATTTTCAACCTGTAGCGTAGGAAATATCTCGATGGTTTTAGACGCTATCGAAGATAGCAAAAAGAAAAACTGTTTCACTGCCTCCGCGGGTGCGTTCTGCGGAAATAAAATAGTCGAAGCTGGCGAAGAATGCGATTGTGGCTACGATGATGTTGAATGTGACAAAGATAAGTGTTGTTATCCAAGAATTATTAGCGCTGAAGATAGACGATTGATTACTAATAACACAAACATCAAAGGATGTCAAAGAAAGAAAGGAAAACAGTGCAGGTAAAAAAATTATTATTATTATAAGATCATAAAATAACAAAATACTATTAATTAATTATTTTTTTAGTCCTAGTCAAGGTCCGTGTTGTAACCACGATTGTAAATACGTCGAAGCATGGGAAGAAGATGTTTGTAAACCGGAATCTGATTGTTCCGCATCATCAAAATGCAATGGAAAATCGGCGGATTGTCCCCAACCTCAGCCAAAACCGGATAAAACTCGTTGTAATAACGGAACTCAATTATGTATTAAAGGGGAATGTAGCGGATCAATTTGTCTTGAATGGAATCTTCAACCATGCTCATTAACTTCGCAGGATACACCTAATATTGATAAGCGGAAATTATGCGAATTAGCTTGCCAAAACGGTACGGATATTTGTCGAAGTACCAGTGAATTTGCCGAACAGGTTAACTTACCGAAAGGCGGAATTAGTCTTCGTCCTGGATCACCATGTGATAATTTCCAGGTACTAAAAAGGATTTAAAAAAAGAATTTTGAAACTAATTTATTTTTATTTGTAGGGTTATTGTGATGTATTCTTTAAATGTAGAGCCGTCGACGCTGACGGGCCATTGGTACGACTTGTAAATTTGCTATTAAATAAAGATACTTTACTCACTGTTAGCCAATGGGTTACCGAGTATTGGTGGGCTGTTTTATTGATGGGTATTGGGTTTATCTTGTTTATGGGTCTATTTATTAAATGTTGCGCTGTTCATACGCCTTCTTCCAACCCAAAAAAACCACCCGCAAGAAGAATAAGCGAAACTTTAAGAAGACCTATTACTACATTAAGAAGAATGGTAAGATTTTATATAAAATAAAGTCAGCAAATAGTTTATAATCATGTTTATTATTTTAGCGACATTCTGGAAATCATCAAGGTGCTTCATCGCGAGGTCAATCAATACCGGGTCGAAATCCACCTCCACCAAGAACAGGAAGGCCGTCTGGGAGTCACGGTCCACGACAGGGTTACGGTGAAGGTCGCGGCCAGTACTACGCCCCCAAAGGTATTAAATAATCGAAAACTACATAATTTCAGAAGTTCCTTTACATTTAACATAGTAGATTATTCCTTGTTAGCAACAGCACCACCTTCAGGAGCAGGGGGTCGGTCGCATCCTTACGGAAACGCTTATGAAATGAGACAAAAAGTCTGACAACAACATCAACAGGGCGAAGGTGATTCGCAGCGGCACGTCTCTCCACCTCCTGAATATGATTATGGTGATCCTATGATGAGCATTCATTTTGAGGGTCCGGCAGCTAATAATTGTAATCGGGGTGATTTGTTGAAAGGTGGTGAGGTGAATAGTTGACTGTGATGAATTTTTGTTTTTTGGGAAATTTGGAGGGAAATGAATAATAGTATTTTTGTAAAACTTGATAAAAATTTGATTTTTTTTTTTGAGAATGGTTAAAGTGCTAGTCGATATTACAAAATGAGAATAAACTAGGTGAGTGATGTGGTGCGTAAAGAGAACGGTAAAATAATGAACAAATAGTATTTGTATTTATGATTATTATTAAGGTGAATAATTGGAGTTTTTTTATTATTCGAAACTTAAAAGAAAAACAAGTGTTATTAGATTATTTTTAATTAAATTAATGTTTAAACATTTCCAGTGGTTTTTAATAATTAAATTGAGAAATACTGTACTTTATTGATAAACACTATAAGCGAAATGTGTTCAATTTGTTTAATTGTTGATTTATCCAATAATAATACATAAAAAGAATATTCCAACTTCGTTGCTTGTGCAAAATAATCGAAGTATTTTTGTAAATTTTGTAGCTAAGGTGACGTTTTAGATGTTAACTTTGAGAGTTGTATAAAAAATAGGATATTTTGGATTCGATGCGATCTCTCCCCGAACTAACAATAAGAAAGAAATCATACAAAATAATATTAAAATTACTAGGCGCTATTTTTCTAAACACACCTAAATTTGTTATTTTTTTCTGAAAAACTCAGTATTGCTGATCTGATCGATATTCAGGCGATTGTGATAAAAAAATTGAACGTGCATTTATTTATTAGAATTTCATTTTTACTTTTTCGACTTCATGATAATTAGTATTAATACGTTTTTTAAAAAAAAGAAATTGTATTCGCAAACGCTAATTTGTACTATTTAGAAGCGTTGCGCGATGAACGGTTCTTGAATCTCTTTCAATTTTTGATATTTGTATGATATTAGATGCTCTCTCCTCTCGTTATATTCAAATAGACGATTTTTGAATCGAACAAAATGAAAAAAAATTCTTTGACCAATCATGTTTGTTGTGCAAGTGGCTTGTACATGTGTATTATATTTTCACTGAGAAAAAATGATACAATCAGTGACCCGAATAATGTGAATATTTAAGTAACAAAAACCAATTAAAAGAATAAAAAAGAATGTGTTGTAATCTGTAATATACAATTATTAATAAAAAAAAATACATTTTTCTATTACAGATTGACTTTTTTGTGCAACACTTCAAATTGTATTCTCCTCGAATCCATCATTTCCTTCCTCTTTTCATTGGATTCTGAATCAATTTAATCGCTGAGGATTTTTTTTTATTGTTTTTAGATACACATTAACTGAGAAGATTAAAATAATAATATTTGATGTTATTTTTTTATTGTTTAAAAAGAATGCAATGAAAAGTAGTAAAGTATTCATTAAATTAACTTAAGCAGTGAATTACAAAAGACAAAAAGCGATGAGGTGATTAATTCAGGTTAAGTTGAACCAAACTAAAAAAAAAATTATAATTCTCCTGCAGCCATAGCATCTTGATAATTTTTCCCAGGTTTTTGTTCCGGATCTAACTTAATAGTATCATCAATTCTCAAAATGGTAATTGCAGCTTCCGTGGCAAATTTCAAACTTTTTATTTTTGAAATTGTAGGTTCCAAAACACCAGCTTTCTTATTATCGCGTACCGTTCCCTCAATTAAATCCAATCCAACCCACTTTAAATGGGCATGATCAATTTTAGTTTGACTTGAATTTTGATAAGCCCTTAATTTGGCAACTAAATCAGTCGCATCTTGAGCTGCATTCACAGCCAACGTTTTCGGAATAACCAAAAGACTTCTCGCAAATTCGGCGATTGCTAATTGTTCCCTCGATGCTAAGGTTGTGGCAAAATTTTCTAAATAAATGGAAAGAGCAGCTTCGACAGATCCACCACCAGTCACAACGCTTTTTGATTCTAACACGCGTTTAACGGCGCATAAAGCATCGTGAACTGAACGTTCCATTTCATCGCAATAAAAATCGTTTGGACCTCGGAGAATTATTGAAGCAGCCGTTCTTGCTTTTGGGCCTTTAATCAAAACAAGTTCGTCATCGGAAATTCTTTCTTGAACAACCTCCGCGGCCTCCCCAACCATATTTGCTTCAAAACTTTCTTCGCCATCCATATTCGTTAATGAAGTTACAAATGATGCGCCTGTAGCTTTAGCAATTCTTTTTAAATCTGTTTTGGTGACTCTTCTAACTGCCATAGCTCCATTTTCGACGAAATATTTTAAGCAAAGATCATCAATTCCTCCAGTACATAAGATAACATTAACTCCTGTAGCCAAAATTTTTTGAATACGTTCTTTAGTTATATCTAATTCTCTGGATCTAACTGCTTCGAGTTGATTTGGATCTTCAATTAAAACTTGGACGCCCAATTTCATTTTAACTTTTTGAAGTGAAAAATCTAAGCAAGCGATTTTTGCATTTGTAATGCGTTTAGGCATTGCTTGGCTGGCTATGGTACAATTCAAAGCATAGCCTTGAATCAACATACTTTCCCTAGCACTTCGTCCGTGAGCTTTTAAAACATTCACAGCTTTAATTGGGTACATTGGATTTCCTTTTATATCGGTTATTTTTATTGCATTTGCTGCATCTGCTACCATTGTGGCGAAAATGTCCGCATCAGCACCTATAATTTTCGAACTCATTGATGTTTTAGCTACGTTTATTACGCATTCACGCCCCAATTCTTCAACTGGAATCGTTAAATTATCTTGGATGTATTTGCAAGCTTCACGACAAGCCAAACGATACCCGCTTATTATAGACGTTGGGTGAATCTTTTGTTTCACCAGTTCGTCGGCATTCTTTAAAAGTTCTGCAGCAATTATAACGACGGATGTTGTGCCATCACCAACTTCTTCATCTTGTAATTGAGCCAATTCAACTAAAACTTTAGCCGCCGGGTGCTCCACTTCCAAGAGTCTCAAAATGGTCGCTCCATCATTAGTGACAGTGACATCACCGATATCATCCACTAACATTTTATCTAAACCAACGGGCCCCAAAGAAGATTTGACGATGTTTGCTATCGTAGCAGCAGCCATAACTGCAATGTTATAAGGAAAATTTTTTTATTCTAGTGTTTATTTAGGAAAGTTAATGCGAATTTTGGAGTGAATGAGGTTACAACATATCTTTTTATTGTGCAAAAATCGGTTTAAGACCACACCTGGTCCGCATGACAAACATTATAGGTTATGTAGGCGGTTTGCGGAAAAACTTACCGTTTTGGGTACGGACTGGTTGCCCAGAGGTGCGGGTACCCGCTACCGTTAAAGGGCTTGCGATTGCGGACATTTTCACTTAATTTTCGTGGAAATACGAAAGAAATTATGGAAATATTCACCGGGTGTCAATCAAATCTTCTAGAATAACAGACGGTGATGTTTTGTGTAAATAGATGGCGACACTAGTATTAATTTACTATTGAAATTTACTATTTGAAATTAAAATTTGGTTATAACATAAACAATTTTTATTAATTATAATCGTTTATTAATGAAAAATATTAAATGTTAAAAATGAAATAATTTTTTCATAAATTAATATCTTATTTACTTTATTAATTTGTAGATAGCGCCACTGATAAAATTAAAAGTTAAAAATAAATTTATTTAAACAATAAATTTTATCTCTTAGTAACGATTAATCATTAAAGTTAAAAACGTCAAAGAATATTAAAAGTCGAAATTAAAAATTCTAAATCTTTAGTATGTGACCGATTACAAGAAAGAAAAAGAAATCTTCGTTATGCAAATAGAAATTTTATTTAAGTAAAGATGTCGGATAAGAAAGTTTCGAAAATTCCAAAATTATCCCCGATTCGTCGTGCAAGTCCATTAATTGACGAATTACACCTTGAGAATATGGTTTATGCTCCAAATCAGCCAAGAATTTTCGAGACGAAAAACCTAAACTCAACTTGTTCGTTTTTACAACAATTAAAAACTAAGTTAAAAAATGATGTTGATAGACCTAGTGAAGATGATAGTAGCGAAAAAAATGCTTTGAGAAAGATTTCAGGAATTGTTAGTAGCATTTTAAATACTTTAAACGATGTTAGCGATGATTTACCAAGTTGTAACAGCGAAAATATAAAAGAAGTCACCGGAGAAATGGTTAAAGTTAATAAAACATCGAGTCTTTTATCAGATAGTGGTAAATGTTATTATATGGCTCAACAACTAACTGTTAGTCACTTACATGAAACTGACATTGATAACAAACCAATTGTTGATAAACAATTTTTGCAACAATTAACTAATTTACAAGCAATACTACAAGAAACAATTAAAAAATTAGAAGATAAATCAACCTTAACACAAGAAGGAAAATTTAACGAAAAAGAATTAAATAAATCATTTAAAAATCGAGGGTTAGCTTCTTTAGTTCAAATAGATCACGAATGTAAGCCAATTCAAAATATGATTAAAGATTATTCAACAAAATCGGAAGATCTTGAAAATATAACTGAAGAGTTAAAGAAACAATATCTTAATTGTTCATCTGGTGAGTTAACATCACAAGATTTAAGCGATTATGATGATTATCCTTTGGAATATAAATGTTGTATTTATGAAGATGAAGAAGAATTAAAAAAATATTCTAAACAACGGGAGAGAATTATACCACCACCTAAATCATTTAAAAATCAAATGGAAAAAAAGATTTCTGCATCAAAGAATTTAACAACAAAGAATTTAACAACAAAGAATTTAACACCAAAGAATATAACTCCAAAGAATTTATCACCAAAGATTATGACACCAAAGGATTCAACTCCAAAGAATTTATCACCAACGGATATGACACCGAAGGATAGAACACCAAGGAATTCAACACCAAAGGATTTAACACCAAAGAATTTAACACCAAGAAATTCAACACTACATAATTTTACAACAAGAGCTTTATCACCAATTAATATAACACCAAAGAATTTGTCACCAAGTGATAGGACACCAAAGGATATAACACCAAAGAATTCAACAGCACAGAATTTTACAACAAGAGCTTTATCACCAATTAATATAACACCAAAGAATTTGTCACAAAAAAAAATGTCTCCAAAGAATTCATCATCATCATCACCATCAAAATATGTTAGTTTAAAGTCGGATTCATTTAAAGAGCTGGATGAATCAAACGATAAATTTAAAGAAAACCCAAACAACGAAATAAAAAATCAAGATAAAAATGAAAAAATAATGAAAGATGTTGATGAAAAGAAAAAAGATAAAAAGAATGAGAAACGAATGAGTAGCATGTGGGCTTTTAAAAGTTTAAAAAGATCATCGGATCGAAAAGTTGAGGATGATGATCAACGGAAAAAATGTGTTGATAAAGGTCGTACTATGAAAATAAAAGATTCGGATGTTCAAAAGAAATCGATTCCCGAAGAATTTAAAACGAAGAAAGAGAATGTAAAAGAAAAAGACTCGGATAATAAAAGTCATAAAGAAAGGAAGTTGAAAAAAAGAAAAGTTGATGAGAAATTAATTAAAAAGGAATCAAATTCAGTTGGTAGTGGAGATTTAAGTAAAAAGAGTTCTTGTAAAACCGTAAGAATTCAAGATAACTCAAATAATGATGATAATGGTAAGTAACAAAATTCTTTTTTGTTCTTTTAGTTTATATATTGTTTCAGTTTTAATTCCTCCTCCTCCTTTATTCGATCACGATTCTTATGTTGATGTTGAGCCGTATAAAGGAGATTCCTTTTTATCCTTGCTTAAACTTCCTGGAGAATTAGGTAAAGAACAAATAAACAGTAACGCATCGAATGAAATGGGAAGTCAAGAATTACAACGAAGTTATACTCCTGAAAAAAAGAAAAGTAGCGTTCAATTTGTAACTCCAACCCTAGAAGGTAAACAAAACGTATTTGTTGTGATTCTATAATGAGTATTATTTAATTTTTAGCTTATAGTAATTTAATTGATGAATTAACATCCACTGCGGATTCATTCACAAGCAGCGCAATTCAAACAACCGGAAGTCAACTTCTTATGAATTCTAAATCTATTCAAGGTTAATATTTGAGTTAAATTTTAACGTTTCTGATTTTATTGTTATTATTTTTTAGATAATTACATTTCGTTTTGTTCTAATCAAAGTGCAGGAAGTAGTAATGTTTTTAATTCAAGTGTGGAACAAGGAATTAACAGTAACGTGGTTCAAATGCATTATTCCGTACAAGGTGAGTTTTTGAGGGAGTATATTTGAGTATATTTTTGTGTTTTCATTTATAGCATCTCCTACACTCCAAGAGAATAGTGGTAAATCAAAAATATTAATTTTTTTAAATAATAACAAATCAATTTACAGTTCCTTTTGAATCAACAAGTACAAACACCCCAGGAAAATCATTAGGTAAATCATAATCGATTCTATTTAAGAGTTTATTGTATACAGTAATTGTTTACAATTCTTTACATTATTCAAATATTACTTTCACTCTCTACCCTCTTCCTCCATTTCCACGCCCTCGGCTCCTCGGCCCAATCATCCCCTCACCCATCCCTTTGTCTCCTCACCCCCATCACCATTCTCATCCATCGTTTCCCCTCTCCTAAGATCTGCCTTCGGTCCATCTCCTCCTCCCTCAACTCACTGCACCCATTCAGCATATGTTCTAACGTTTCCCATTCCTCCCTGCACAGCCTACACCACCTCTCCTCATCGGCCATCCAGTATTTGTTGGGTCTCTCCTCGTTTCCACAACGGAACCTAGCCACCAACTTTTTCCCTTCCTCATCTCTTTCCAATAACAAGTATCTAGGCAGCCCCTCCGCAATTATGTCCCTGTATCTTTCGTTATACCTTCCCTCTTTTATTTGTGTCCTTCTTTCCTGTCTCTGCACATCTCGGTCCCTGTCTCTCAACTCCCTCCACATCTCCCTACCCACCCTTCGTCTACTATTTATCTCCGTTACCGAGTAACCCGCTCGTCTATAATAGTTGTCTCTGTGTCCTTTCCCATATCTGACCTTTCCCTCTCTAATTTCCCTCCAACACTCCCCCAAGATCCCGCAGCTTGGCCTCCCTTCTATTCTTTCTTCATATTTCACTGCCCTCCTGCCCGCCTCCACCCTGACCTTATCCACCTTTACCTCTTCCCTCACTATATACCCCGGTGTTTCTCTCGCCACCCCAAGCACCCATCTCCAATATCTAGCCTGCACGTCCTCCAGCGGTCCCTGCTCCCTCCATCCCCATACCTCTGCCCCATACATCATCACACTGCTAACCAGACCTTCAAACATAATTTTCCTCGCTGCCACATTCCTTCCAAAGACTCTCTTCCCCCAACCCCATACTTGTCCCATCACCTTATTCGCCTTTTTTGCCATAGCTATCACATGCGACCCCTCCCTGTTATCCTCCCTAAACACATACCCCAGGTAAGTATACTCCCTAACCTCCTCGATCTCCTTTCCCTCCCATCTCCAGTTTTCTGTTCTTTTTCTCCCACCCTTACAAAACTTCATCATCCTTGTCTTCCCCACATTCACTTCCAGCCCCTTCCCCCTAAAATATCTTTCCAATGTCCTTATCATCTCCTTCATCTCCACCGCTTCTCTCGCCATGACCACGATGTCATCCGCGTATGCTAACATATGCACCTTTCTACCTCCCACCACCAATCCTCCCATCTGCCCCTTCGCCAATCTTTCCTCCAGGTCCGCCGTATACAGTGCAAACAGACCTGGGCTCAGTGGACATCCCTGCCTCAGTCCCTTCGTCGTCCAGAACATGTCGCTCAGCTTATCTCCCACTTTTATCCTAGCCATCGTCTCCATGTATATTTCCTTCACTCTCGCAATTAGGTGTTCCGTTATTCATAATCGATTATAACCGATATATATCGGGTAGACGAACCAACCTGGCACCGCGACCTTAATCTATTGTACCCCTATAGATAATATGTACAGTGTATTAATTAATTATCGTACCCGACGTCATCATTGCAAGTATGCAACCAATATCACAGTATTGGTATTACAATATACGGTTTGCGTATGTGGTTGCATACTTGCAATGATGATGTCGGGTATGATAATTAATTAACACAGTGTATAACTTAAAAACTTAATTTTTCAGAACAAATTAGCTTAAAGTCTCGAAGCGTTTCCGTTGTAATGCCAAAAACGCAATCGCAAGTCGTTCAAGCTATGTATGAAACTCCAATTTTTTTAATGCCATTAAGTATAATAACCAACAATTTTTGTTATTAATTTACTAAAATAAGAAATAATTCTTTGCTTAGTTGAAACAACTAATGAGGCAACTTCAGCGTCAACTTCATTAACCGAAGCCAAAATACCAACGGAAGGTTAGAAATTATCCTAAAAATTAAAAAAAAATACCAATGATCTGGAAACATTGCTCGCTTCGCTTCTCTGAAGAGAGAAGTGAGAAGCGAAGCGAACGATGTTTCCAGATCGTTGAAAAATAATGTTTTTGTAGATCGACCTTCAAGTGCTAATTCAAGTAAACACTTAATATCTAAGAAGACTTCATTTAAATCGATCGATCCAAACATAGCAAAATTAAGATGTTCTAATTGTATGTGTACGGAAGGTGGGCCATCAATAGAAAAAAAATCATCTAAAGAAAGTGTTGTACAAGAAGAGATAGGAAAAAAATTGGAGGAGGTTGAAATTTTTGATAAAGATTCACCACGTAAATGAGTCTTAAAATAAAAGTGTAACTAATTAATTTTGACTTAACTTATAGAAAGATATTTTAACCAAGTTCTTAATGAAATCGATATGATGAAAAATTGCATAGAATTCGCTATGGATAATCAATTAAGCATCCACGATAAACTTAAAGCATATCTCGATGATGGGCGAATCGTTAAAAGTAAATATCCTCATTTTCACACTTCTATCGATGGCATTCCCGTTATTTTAATATGGAACGATGACCCTCAATCATTGGCAAATCACCTTGAAATAAAACGACTCGATAATAAATCATCAGATAAAAAGTTACCCGATAAACGAAAACCCCCGGTGAAAAAAGTTTCTTCGGCGAAAACGAAAAAGTTTTTACCCGGAAGTTCTCACGAAAAACCCCCATCAAGCGTAGGAGACAACACATTTTTCTTTGAAAAGAAACGAAGTATGCTTAAAACTAGATTACTGTTGGATCATTTAGCTAGCGCTGTGGCTAAATGTAGTAAATTAAGGAAGAAGGAAAGGTTTAAATGTGACGAATGTATTTATTTAACAAATTTTGAAATTTCGTTTTAATTTTATTGTGATTTTTAGGTGGTATAAGATGTCCTGATAGGTTTAAACCAGCAGAGAGGACTAAATGTAAAATAAGTTCATCCAGTAAGTTTATTATTTTTCAAATATGCTTTGTTCACGACTACTATTGAAATTGATTCCATAAATTTATTTTTTTTTAATACATTTTTGAATAAAGTTTAAACGTCAATTGTGACACAAATTCAATGTCACCAACTGTAACCAACTACACAACAATTTGTCAAAATTAAATGTCAATTTTATGAAACGTCATTTTGTTTTACGAAAATTAATTTATTAATTGTTATTCAGCATTAGATTGTGGTATATTTTTCCTGAACGAAAAGTAGCGCTAGATCTAGAACTAGAAAGTTTAGGGTATTAATCTATTATATTGAGATTTTACAACACATAATTTTTTTTAGATGCTCATATTCGAGTGAAATCATCGTGTTTAAATTTTCGAAAAAAAGAAATTAACGTAGTCATCCCTCCAGTACAAGATTCAAACAGTCAAAAGAAAAAATCGATTTTTATAAATACTAATTCCGGGGGTAAATATAAATATAAAAACATTAAAATTTAATACTATTTAAATGAATTTCTTTTAAGTTCTTGGTTGCCGTTGTGATTCCGAAAAATCATATTCAGATAACGCAGGGAGTCCAATAAAAACAATTATTAAAACGAATTCATCGCCCAAATGTAAGGCGAAAAAACGGTGTCCGTTTAAGCATTTAGGTGATGATAAATCTGTGAATGCAAGACAACCTCGCCCGAAAAAGATTGAAAAGCATGAAACCACCAACATCCCATCGAAAACGGAAGCTAAATCGATTCAAACGTACTATTTAACACCGAGATTACCTCAAAAAAAATTAAAAAAGTCGCCTCAATCATCGGTTAGCGATGATAGTGTTAACGATATTCCTTATTTAATCGATGCTAAGTCGCTTCCTCAATTTGAACATCCAGAAACGGTTTGTAGCTCCAAATTATTCGATGTAAAACAAGTTGATTGCGAATTAAGGAACGAAATAAAAACGGAAAATCAAATTGTTAAGGATACGTTGTTAAGAATTAATTTGAACGCTTTACTGGATAGTTTCCGGCCGGCGAAATGTTGTCAGAAGACGGTGTTAAATGGGAAATCGCGCGGGATGTATCCATACCCGGCCAGCCTACGGAGTCTTCCATTATCCGAGGAGGATCTCGATCGAATCCTACAGATAATTCAAAGTAAAAAAAGCAAACGTTTTGATACAACGAAGAGACTCTATGAATCGGATAAATTCAATTCGTTTCAGACCGCGAATGATCCCATCATCAACCAAACAAGGAGGGAAACAACAAGGACCTTGGTGTATTTTTTCGAGTTGTTTAAGAAAGTAGAGTGTAAAACAAGTTTAGCGACGACGCCATCATCAAGTTCATCATCTTCAAGCAGGACAATTATACGTCCTACTCAAATTAGACACGATTTAAAAATTTTTGAATTTATTAAAAGGATTTATAATAACAGTCATCCGGTTAGTGATAAAAGGGTTTTAAAAAGGAAAAAGGATTCGACGAAAACTTTGTATAGACATCGTTCTAAGCATAGAAGACATCATCACCACCATCATCATCATCATCATTATAAAAGACGAATTCAAAAAAGTACTTCTACTTCAATGGATAAAATTTCAAATAAAAGTAATAATAAAACGTCAAATCGATCTACTTGTTCGAAAACTACCTCGGTAGTTAGTTCAACAAGCCATAGCAAACCAACAAGAAACATCTCTTTTTTACTTATACCAAAAAGTGAACTTAATAATTATTTTTGTGGTGAATTAAGTTCGATGTATTCACCAAGTTTAAATTCATTACCATTCGATGATAGCGATTTGGTTGTGCAATCGCAAATTGAAAAGGATTTAAGTAAAAAAAGTGTTAATAAAGAAGAAATTGATGATGCCGAAATTAATGAGGTTTATGATGATGTTGATGGTGATATTCGAGACAATATTGATGATGATATTAGTGATGATATTGAAGAAAGTTTATTAATGAAGGTTGATTATGGACGCACTTTAGGGGCGATTTATGAAACCGATGAGAGTGAAAAAGAAATTTTTTCTAATACGGACTTAAGAAAAGGTTTTTTTATTTAAACAATTTACAATTAATTTTTTGTTTAATTTTAAGGGTCTTTCTAGAAAATCCTTGCTCAATATCTGAGTATAGTTTGCAAGATGTACAAGAATCGAAGCTTACAACGAATTTGGAAGTTTTAACTTGCAAATTATCGAGTTCTTTTAATCAATCTAAAGGTAATCGTTATCAAAAACTTTGTAACGCACTTTTTTATTTAATTTGCAAATACAGATTTACTGGGAGATCTAAAATCGAGTCAAGATTTTGAACTTCCATCAACAAGCTCTTCATTATCAACAAATTTTCCCGAAATTCCCCTACAAAGAAAATCATTGGAATCCGATTTAAGCGGCCGAAAGCACAATATCTTTTCAAGCAGCAGCCTTTTATCGAATCAAAGTTCGAGTAGGATCCCAATAAGTTGCATACCACTAAATTGTAGCATTACTAAAGACAAACCAAGCTTTCTTCACATCCCAAATATAATCAACGACACAAAACGATTTTTATATCGACAAAAAGAAGAAATGTTTAAACCGAATTTGGATAAAATCGTCGAGAAGACTTCCGACACCACTTCAACTATAACTTCTTCTTCGCCAAGACGTCGAAGGAAATCATTAAAACGCTCGCATTGCTCGTTATCGCTGAAATCGTCAGTTTCGATGATAGGGAAGCAAACCTCCACTTCGGACGGTTTAAAATTGGAAGCGATTCCTTCGGATGAAGAAATAATTAATAAGCCATATGAGATTCCCATCAATTTTGAAAAGACCCCAAGAAACGAAATTAAATCGAAAAGAACAATGAGGATCGACAAAGCCGTTGTTGCTTACGATATTAGCCCAAGCTGTCAATTTACTTTTCTTTCCGGGGATACCACGAAATTAAAAATTAAAGAAAATAAATTTAAAAGTGAAAATATTTGCGTTTGGCCGGTTTTTCAAAACCGTTGCACGAAGAAGAGAAATCGAGCTTTTGTTGTCGCCATTCACTCAAGTGCTGTTAGAATCGGTAAAATAAAATAATATTTTATGTTTAATTTCGTTTTTATCGCTTTTTTATTTAACAGGAAAGAAGGAACCGAATCAATTAGGAGATCAACCGAATATTCACGGCGATTTTTGTGAGATTTGTAGGAAAAAAACCAAACTGTCGAGCGACAGTTTCCTTCTAGGTTATATAGGGGAAGAATTTAAAAGTAAATTTGAGAATCAAAAACCTCTTTCGCGCTCATCTTCAAAAGGTGATAACAAAAAAGAGACGAAAGAAAAAGATAACAAAGATACGATTAAAAAAATTGAACCTAAATTGAAACCACCAGAGAAACATAACTCATTAAAAGATTCTTTTAAGAACGACAAAGGTAACAAATTAGAAAAGAAAAAATCGACTACGAAAAAAGAGGTTAGTCATCCCGTTAAGATCAGAACAAAAATGTTAAAAAGAAGACCTTCAATAAAAATTCTTCCGGAAGTAATCGATATAAAAGTGCCAACACATGTAAAATCAACGCGATTGAGACATACTTTTTGTGATAAAGGTGACAGACCTGGATATGTAACAGTTTTGAGTACACCATGTAACTGTCCGGATGTAACTATTTTTATTCCGTGTTATTGTTCTTGTTGTGATGGAAAACCCAGTGGGCATAAAACAAATTCGAATTATACCATGGTACCTATTATAGAAAAAAATTAATTACTTAACAACTTTTTTAATATTAGAAAATTACTTTTTATATATTTAATAAATTAATATTTGTGTTGTTAATTAATTTATTATTTAACTCCTAGTGTAAATCTTGGCAAAGCATAGCTGGGAATATCTTTACTACAAAGCATAGCTGGGAGCAATACTAAGGTTCATTAAGGACCTACATTTGTCCTTAACTTTTGGACGGCTAAAGTTATAATAAATGTTATAGGTCGTGGTGAGGAGAGGGGCCGCTCCCCTCAGTCCCGCATAAATAATAATAATGAAATTTCCTTTAGTAATGCCAATTATACCATGAAGTTTTCTTTTGTAATGTCAATTACACCATGAAGGAATGTTAGGAAAGGTAACTTTTGTTTACAAATATTACTTATACCATCGAGTTTTCTTTAGTAATATCAGAAAAACTACCGACGTATATCTGATCAATAAAAAATATACTCAAAAAAATTTAAGTACTTTTATTATCACAAAACCTTATTATAACATCCCCCAACTTAAAATATTCCAAACTTACCCCACATTTTGGTTTTCCAATAACAATAGGAACTCCGTTATCTGAACCACTAGAAATTTCCTTTTCCAAAGGTACTCTAGCCACTAAATCGATTCCCATCGATTCCGAAAATTGTTGTGAAGCATTTCCGAAAAGTTGAACATCGTTCAAACACGCCGGACACTTGACCGAGCTCATATTTTCTACTATTCCAACAACTGGAACTTTTAATTTCTCGTACATAACCGCACCGCGCTTTGTTACTTCTACGGCGGCTGTTTGGGGTGTTGTAACAAGTAAAGCTCCTGTTATTGGTAAATTTTGAGCTAGAGATAAATGGGTGTCACCCGTACCCGGGGGAGTATCAACTATTAAATAATCGATTTGGCCCCAAGCTACTTGACGCATTAATTTTTGGAGTGCTTGCATTACCATTAGACCTCTCCAAACTACAGGGGCGCCTTCGGAAATTAAGAAACCCATAGACATACTAAAAAAATAAAAATTAAGAAAGAATATATCATTTAACAACTTTTTTGAAACCATTTTACACCATAATTTTCTAAAGGTTCCATTAAATTATGATCGTTTAATAAGGGAGTATCATGTAAATTCATCATTAATGGTATTGTTGGACCAAAAACATCGGCATCTAATAAACCAACTTGTTTTTGTGGATTTTGTGCTTTTATACCAACAGCTAAATTAACTAAAACAGGAGTTTTAGGATAAATTAAAAAATCTTTTTAATAAAATTTCATTTTCAAATACCCGATGTTGTACTTTTTCCAACACCTCCTTTCCCTGAAGACACCACAATTATATTTTTAACACCTGGAATCGGTTTTTGCTTTGGCAAACCTTTTGACATCACCTCAGCACGTTTCTTAGCTATCTCCTCGTCATTTCGCGGTTTTATTTTGGTTGAAAAAGGTCTGAAAGTGTCCTGGAAAAATTATGTGAGGTTATGTTATATTAAAACGACAAGACTGGTTACTTTTGGATTAAACTTCTTTAATATATTTATATAACGAGTTAGAATAACCATATTATCACCTATATGTTAATTTAATTGTGTTTAAGATGATATTTATTCGTTTTTAAGACCTAACCTTAAAATTATAAATCTGTGACATCTGTCAAACCTAAAAAAAGCAAAGTGTAAAATAGTGAATAATTTCCTTAAAATTACAATTTTTTACTTTTATACTTGATACATGACTTGGGAATGGTGTGATGATAAAATTTATTGATAAAAAGTCAATAATAAATTATTGATAATAAAAATTATTTAACATAACCTCACCTAACCTATAAAAGAAATGGGTTGTAAGGCTGCGATGCAAGTTTTAAAGTAAGTTTATGGTAATTTATTTAAAATGATTAAAATTGATTAATTTATTGATTAAGGCAAGCAGATGTTTTAAAAGCCAAATTAAGCAAATCGGGCGATTTATTAAATGACTCAGAAATATGGACGAATCAACAACAACTTCAAACGATTTATCACCAAGTTTTAGTCCTAGACTTGGAATACGCCCTCGATAAAAAAGTTGAACAGGAACTGTGGACGTTGGGCTTTAAAAACCACATTTCAACCTTACAAGAAATGGCTAAAGATAAGAAAAATCCAAAACGACAAGATTCGCAAGCTTTGTTATCATGGTGTTTAGAAGCCGCCTCTGGATTTTACTTGACTTTATTACATGAATTGTGTACCACCTTCGATCTTGATTTACCGTTTAGACGAAATGGGGTTGTTTACGGACAATTAAAATCTAATAATAACTGCGAACAGGTTATTGTACCGCAATCATCTTCTTGTCTTTATATTTGTCAGTATTGTTTAGTGCATTTAGGTGATATTGCAAGATATAGGAATCAAAGATATCAAGCGGAGAGTTTTTATAAGTAAGAAGGATGATTTTAAATTTAATAAAGTAAATGTTGTTTTTTAAGGCAGGCCATTGTTGTGTCTCCGACGAGTGGACAACCTTATAATCAATTAGCTTTGTTAGAAGCAAGCCAATCAGATCGTTTATCAACGGTTTTTCATTATGTTAGAGCAATCGCTGTTAAAAATCCTTTTCCAGTATCTGCAACGAATTTATCAACAACTTTATCATCAGCGATGGATAAGGATGAGTATGATTTAGATATTTTGTCCACAACTACCTTATAATATACATACACCTTATGACAGATTAATAATAATTATTTCAAACGACAAATTTAAAAAAAAGGCAATTTCATTGAATTTTTTAGGACTTTCTAAAGATTTGACATTAAAAAAACGTAAACAAATTTCTTTTTTCGGATGATTTAAGCATAAATTAATTTTCGTAAATAAAAAAACCTGACGTTTCGTAAAATTGACGTTTCATTTTGACAAATTGTTGTGCAGTTGGTAACATTGAATTTGTGTCACATTGACGTTTAAACTTTATTCAAAAATGTATTTAAAAAAATAAATTTATGGAATCAATTTCAAAAGTAGTCGTGGACAAAGTGTAATAACCTTAGTGAATAATAGCCCTCATTATATGCTCGTATAATAATATACTATTTAATGAATTCGTTTTAATTATTTTTATTTGTAGGCCTCTCGTTGAAATCCAAACGAAAATGTCTGCTAACAAATTATTAAGAACCTTTTTGCACACTCACGGATTATTAAATAGCGCAATTGATTTGAAACAAGCCGAAGTCGGGGTTAAAAGCATAAACGCAACTTTGACCGCTTTGGTAGCGACCCAAAGTTTTTCAGCGGATAAATTAATTAAAATGACGGTGATTAATATGTATGCGTTATGGAAAATCGTGGGGGTTAATTTAAAAAATAATGAATTAACCGAAGATGAAATCAAAGTTCGTGAATTAATTTTGGATTTAATCGCTGGATCTTTAAGCGCATTTTTACTACCCATTTATACGTTGAAGAATGACGACACTTTATTAGATTATTACGCAATGCCTGCAAGTAATTAATTAGTTTAAAAATCGTCGTTTTTGTGTTTATTTTGTTTTTTTTGTAGTTAGATTGATTTGTTGTTGGATTGAAGAAGATCCCAACGTTTTAAACGAATCAGTTTTTACAAGTAGATTGCAAATTTGGCCTGGATTTTGCAAGCTTTTAAATGACGTTCAAGAACATTTAAAAGATTTTAAATATGAGATGTGCAAAGAAGTGGCTCTTTGCGAAGATAAAGAATTACAAGGCTTTTTGCCGCTAACGGAAGCTTTTAAAGGCTTAAATTTTAAGCTGGAAGCGTCGGAAGGGGATCAAAAATTGATTCGTGTTCAACGATTAATTAATTTCGGGGTTGTGTTAACTAAAATCGAATCAAACCAACGATTAATTATTTGGTGAATTCATTTTTTTTATGTTATGAATCTAATTAAATTTTAATTAATTTTTTAGTGTTAAAAATGGTGATTTTAAACCTGGGTGTATTCAACCGGATCCAACAGATCAACTTTTAGAATTAATGAAATCTGTGAATGTTTTGGAAGTTCAAGAGGTAAAAAAAGTGAAAGGGGAGAAACGAACTGGTATTTTAAAACCTCAAGGTTCTTTGGAACGCTCGAGAGAGGAAAGGGAGCAACAACAAAGTGAATTACAAAATCAGGCTGCGTCGAAAAATCGAGTTGATAATGCAAAGTTGAAAAGGGTTAAACAAAACGTCGCTTTGCAGTCGATTTTTAAAAAGATCGAAGAAAACAAGCAGGTTAAATTTAGCGAGGAGACAACGATCGATAAAGAAATGAAAGAAAAAGAAGTTGAGAAGCCGAAACACATTAATAAAAATTTAGGGGTGCAAAATCAACACAATAATGCAACGAATCAGTATCGGACGCAAACTTTTAATCAAAATCACCCTGGGTTATCAAGCAATCTCCACCAAGACTTCTTTAACAAAGTTAATATAAACGAAAATATGTATTTTTCTAACCTACAAAAAGATAATAAAATCCCACCTAATTTGCAATTCCCCCATCCGCCTCCTCCCATTCAACAACCCCCAAATCATTCTCAGAACCTCCAACAAAATCCGCCACAAATAAATTATTCAATCCCGAAACCACCACCGAATTACCAACAACCCCCAATGATGCTCCCGAATTTACCCCCATTTCAAAATTTGCATGGTTCGGGGTATAGAAATTGGACGAATGATGAACGAGGACCACCACCACCACCACCGCAACAACCTCAACCGCAAAATTGGTGGTCAAATCAACAACCCCCAAAAGAATTTCAACAAAGGGATCAATTTGGTAATGTTCCGCCATATTTTCAACAAAAACGAATGGAATTTAATCACCAAGGGCAGCAACAAAGCGGGATGTTTATGGGGGGCTGGAATGGGGGGAGAAATCCCCCCCAATTAATGGGATATCCACCGGGCCAAGGCATGTCAATGCGACAAGCAATGTTAAACGAAGCTAAACATATGGGATCACCAAATAATGTAGGTTCTTTACATTTTATAATTTAATTAAAAAAAATCGATACTTTAAAAATTTGTAGTGCTTCATTAAAATCTTTTTATTTTTAGATGCAAAAGCCAAATGATGCTCAACCACAACCATCGCAAAATCCAGCACCCGGATATTCTTTATTTGATCCAAATTGGAACCCAACGTCTTTAACTCACTTAAGGACGCAAGATATTTCCCAAAATAGACCTCCAACACAACATCCTTCGTTATTTTCAGGCCCCCCACATAATTCTTTGCTGCAATTGTTGGAGCAACAAAATAAGTATCAAAAACCAGATAAATAAATGAAAAAACAAAATCATCTTTTCTACTAACTATATTTAATCGAAAATAAACATTTTGTAAATACACTAGAAACGCGTTTCCTTTTTGAAGAAACTCCCGAAATTATTGTTAAATTGAAAAAAATTATTATACACTCAAACAGGGTAGTAATTATTTATCTTTTGAAATTCTGCATTCATGCTGACAACGTACCGCTAACAATTAACATAATAAACCATAAATTAACTAAAATACCAATTTTTTCGCTTTATTTCACCAATATCGAACAATTAAATGGGTGCTTTGTTTTTTTTTTAATAAACGGGGCTTGGGGACACAAAACGCAATAAAAGTTAACGTTTCCCGTTGTTATAATTTAGCGTTCTGAGCGGGGCTTTAAATGTGGACGCTGCCTGTTGTTGTAATTGATATGCTAACGGGTGAATTTTAAATCCAAATAATCTAAAAGAAAAAAAGGAAATTGTTGTGCAATTATTTTTGGAAAACGTTTTTATGCTTACCTTGGTACAAACTGATTTGTTGCACGTTTTGGTCTATACTCAGGATGCACCATAAATAGCATATGTGGAAAACCAGTTCCAAAATATGCTCCATCTGTATGATGATGACGTGAAGACTTTGGTGTGTAAACGTCCATGCATTTTGGACAATATGATTTTACCATCGCTTCTCCAGGTACATCAGATAAACCTAATAATAAAAATGTAGTTAATAATTAATTATTAAGTAGAAATAAAAGGTTACCTAAAGGTAGCATAGGCTGAGATTCGCAATAAACCCTTGGACAATGACCAAAATCACCGGATTGGTACTTTTCAATCATTTGGGCAATTCCACGATTTGTAAGTATATATCTAGCATGGATTAAACCATAAAGCATCTCAGCTGCTTGCTCTATCAGGTCTGACTGGTTCGGATTATCATCTAATTCATCATCTAAGATTAAAAAATGAATGTGACTCATTAAAACATATTTTGCATCTTTTTATTACCTGGTTCTAAATCTAATATCATATCCAAAGCTTGTCTATAATGGGGAACTTGTTCGTTTAATCCGGTCAAATTGAATTTATCTTGTATGTAATCCTCGTCAACCTAAGTAAAGAATTTTTTTTAATTTCCCTCCACGTTTCAAGTTTAAACCAGTAACAAAAAATTAGTAGGTTACCTCACAAAAAAATTCATTGCCCCTCAAACCGCAGAACCACGAGATCCAGGAAACCTCCTCTGAGCTGCTCATTTTCCTACGAACCGACAAATTTACATCAAAACAGAACAATTTTTCGTAATGGTGGGTGTAGGGACCGCGTACAACTCGGACGTTCGCTGACGTTTTCACGCGGCGCTAATGCTTTTTGAACGTCGCCTGTCGAACCGTTATCTTTCCAACTCGCGTCGCGACGCCCTCACGTTGTTTTGCGCCCCCGGAAACCAACGTAAACGGTCGGAAAATTACCTTTTAGTACCCTGAAGAGCCACGCTTACTACTTCATCTACACGAAGGGGACCGATACTGGCGACATCTATTGGTGTTGTAATTAAATGTCACTATCAATAATTCTTTCTTTAAATTAAAATTAATTAATATTTACCCTTTTTTTATTAATTTTTATTTAATTTTAATTATTAAAAATACTTAATAATTAAAGTATTTTGCAGTATTTTCTTAATTCAAATATAATATTGATGTTTTTGTGTATCCCCGAATGAGGGCGCTTTTTAACATGTCAAAATTCAAATTTAAAAGATTCTTGTGTAAATAATTATAGATGAGTTAATTATTTAATAATTTTTATTAAATAATTGTATTTTATTTAGAAAATACATACCCAAGTATATCAGTGAATGGGAACGTCATATTCACTCACAGTAACAACTAAAACGAACTGAGAATATTTATAAAGTGCCCTCCTACACCGTCCTTGCCAAAAAAACGTTTTGGTTTAGAGTTGGGTTGGATTTATTTTTGATTTTGTCGTCATAGTTTTGGTCTTCTTAAATCTACTTAAACCATTTTTTTAAGAATAAAGAGGTAGATAATTTGCAATTGAATAAAACTTCTTTATTAACAGAACTTTCTATTATTGTTTTCTTTTTTTAATTAATAACACTACAGCACCCCAAATAAACGAAAAACTAAACGAATTTTGATTTCTAATGAATTTTTATCTTTTCTATTTAACGATAATACGAAAACATAACATTAAATTTCTAAACGAGATATTGGTAAAATTTCTGTCGACATTTTTAATTAAAAATGAAAAAAAAAACTATTCTTTTATTTACTTTAATTAGGTAATAAAATTTAAATTATACAATTTCATGAATTATTTTAATTTCTTGTTTTTTTTTTAACTTTCATTTAGATTTTATTCTTTGTGTTACCACAACAGCAATATTACCAATATAATTAGACAAAAAGAAAAAAATCAAAAAAAAAAAAAAAAAATACATGATAAAGAAAAAGAATTACACATCATATTGTAGAGTAGTAGTTAATTAGCAAACCTCGAGAGGCGCGGGAAAAAAATTATAATAGTGAAAAGTTACAATCGTCTCGTTGAAAAAAAAACCATTTCGGTTATTTTCATCCAGTCGCAGTCACGGTGTTGTTGATTTTTTTATTTTTTTTATTACCCCTTTTATGTCGCCTTAAGAAAATAAGAGATAAATGCGACAACTTTCATCAGTGGTACCCTTACGTTGACCGCGATCGAGTCCATGTGCTTTTATTTATTTTTTTAAATTTATTTTTTTTTTTAGTTATTTAGCCAGCCGCTCGGCGCGTCTCTGCTGCTTGTTTTTTTATTGCTGCTTTTACTGCTGCTGCTGTGTACTGACAATTTCACGTTCGGCGACTTATGACATTCACTTGCAAATTTTTTGATTCGATCGATTTATGACACTCGACACTCTGCTGCTGCTGCTCGGTGGCGCATCGCTCCCGCGATGTTGCGACCCGCGCGCCCCCTCAATACGGCTGCGAAAATTGGCCGTTCGGCTGGAAAAAGTTACCAGACCGGTCGCCTTGATATGTTGAGTCTTGCGACAGCAGTCCGTCCATTTGCGATTGATAATCGGCCATACTGTATGGGTCTTGGCTCAGCTCCGCCTGACTGAGACCCGGTTGAGATAAACTAAAACCAGGTTGTGATAATCCCGGTTGTGACATACCCTGTGTCAATTGTAGCGATTGACTAAATGGTTGGGTTTGTTCTTGACTTAAAGCTGCTTTATTCTTTTGACGCGTTGGAATTGGTTTACGATTTCTTGTTGTTGTCGTTTGTTGTCTTGCTTGTAAAGCTTGTTGATGTTGATTGTAAAATCTTGGTGGAATATGAGCCATATTCATAAACATTCCAACCGGAACAGGAAGATTATTCATCGCAGCTTGAGCACGCTCCGGGGAAATATAACTTATGGGATCATGGGTTCTACTAAACATATCCAACGGAACAGAACCTCGCGGATAATTATATTGACCTCCACCATTTATTGCTGTATTTGTACGATCGTAAATTGAACCTGGAACTAAAGCTTCACGAGCATCAAACATTGAGGTGGTCATAAAATGTGAACCGGGGTTCTCCGAATTAATTAATTTCTTTGGTTTGGCAAATTGAATCAAACTTTCTTTTAAATTTGTTAGAGGGCCTTCAACTAAAACTTTTTGTTCTTTATAAAAACTTAATAAATGATTCCAAAGTGGTTGTTTTGAAAGAACTTTTGGGTTTCCAACGATAATAATCCCATATTTAGCCCTTGTTAAAGCTACGTTTAATCTTCTTGGATCATTTAAGAACCCAATTCCTTGATGTTCGTTACTTCTCACGCAAGACATGATAATGATATCTTTTTCTCTTCCTTGAAACGCATCGACGCTTGCGATTTCAATTTCTTGGTACAACTTACTATGTAAACTCCCTTGATATTGCATGTATTGTACCAAATAAGCTCTTTGACCTTCATACGGTGTAATCACACCAATTTGTTCTGGTTTAACCCCACATTTCAAAAATCTCGTTGCAATTTTTTCAACATTCGCAGCTTCCGTTCGATTTAGATAACTCGTTCCAGATCCGGCAATTTCCTCTTGACCTTGAGTTACATGGAAGAACATGGGACGTTCAGGAATCGGCCATGGAAAATCGATTTTTAATAATTTCCTGTCGTCGGCACAAACTCCATTTTGTAAGGTACCCTCGTAGAAGAAATTTGAAGGGAACCGGGATAACTCGGGATGCATCCTGTATTGGACTTCAAGTCTAAATGGACGTATTCCCAAAACGACGAGGCGTTCGAATAAACTTTGAGATAATCCGGCTCTCGCAGCTTTTTTGCACATAACCACCGGTCCCAACTGGCAATGATCTCCAACCAGAATTAGTTGTTTTACTCCAAGAACAACTGGCACCATACATTCAGGTTCGGTAGCCTAAATAATAATATAAAAATTTAAATGAACCTAATAAATATTAATTTATTAAATAAATATGGTAAAACCTCGATATAACGGACTTCGCTAGAACGAAATTTAGATATAACAAGACGCAGAAGCAGATTTAGCGTTTTGCCATTAGCTTTGGTTTTCTGCCAACAGGATTTAGACTTTTACAAGCAATATTTAGTAAGTTGCAATCAGTATCTAACCTTATATAGGCAGTATTAGTCCTCTGCTTATAGTATTTAGACACTAACAAGTAGTTTTCAACAGTTGCATTACATAGCTTTGTTTTAGGATCCTAAATTTAAATCACAGTTTTAATATTCTGCCATATATTCTTTTGCTTCACTTTTTCCTCAACTACAAGCAGTACCTATCTAACCCTTTATACATAATATGATAATATCTTTACTTTTAGTCTTCCACAAGCAATTTCTAGTATACTGCAAGCAGAATCTAACATTCTATAACCAGTATTTGTTTTCTGCAAGCGGTTTTAATATTTTGCCAACCATATAGTCTTTTGCATACAATTTTTACTGAACTACAAGCAGTATCTAACCTTTTATAGGTAATATCTTTAGTTTTAGTCTTCTATAAGCAATTTCTAGTATACTGCAAGCAGAATCTAACATTCTCTAAGCAGTTTTAATCTTCTGCCAACAGTATCAAGTCTTTTGTAAGTCTCCTAGGTTTAGTGCCTTCCCTATATTAATTCGTTATATCGAGGTTTTATTGTATTAATATTTGTTAATTACCTGCATACTTTCATCAATCAAAATAGAATGAAATTTTAATCTGGTTAAACGTGGATCTCCTGCACCAACACAAGTACAACAAATAACGTCGGCAGCTTCTAAAAGTTCTTTTTCTGCCGACTTTTTAAGCATTCTATAACGCTTCTCATCGACGGAACTCAATTCTCCCGTTTCATCTTTCAATTGTTGTAACTTTAAAAGTTCAGTGTTGGTTTCCATTTTTCTGATTTGATTATGTAACGCTAAAAAGCTGACGGGAGAGTCGATGGCTTCCCTGGATTTAGCGCACAGTCTAACCACTTTTAAACTGGTACGATGAATCTTTTCGGTTAATTGATCGACGGCGGTGTTGCTTGGGGCGCAAACTAAAACTGGGCCGCCGTTTTGTTTAACGAGTTGGTAAACGATCGTTGCGGATGTGACCGTTTTTCCTGTACCAGGTGGTCCTTGGATTAATGAAAGCGGGCGTTGCAATGCGTGTTTAACAGCGTAAACTTGGGATCGGTTCAAATCAGGGAGATTTGGAGCTGAAAAATGTTTGGGAAGGTGGCAACGAAATAAAACATCTTCAACTTCATGCCCCAGTAATCTATGGTAAATGTATGGGGAAACGGATGAGTCATCAACAGCAAATTTACGTAGAGCTAATTGCATCCGATCAAAACTTGTGCTTTTCCAAATAAAATCAACGACAAAATTGCTGTTGCAATCAGTTGGAGCGCCAGCACTATTTTTTAATTCAATTCCAATATCTTCACCATAATTATCTGGAACTTTTATAACATGGCCAACTCCCGACCAAGGTTTATGCATTTCCCCCACGTATCTTAACCGCAACTCATCCCCATGCATTAATTTCATGTCACCATCTGTTTTAGCTAACGTAAAATACGCAATCGTTTTCTTGTTTAAACCAACATCCCAACGAACCTCAATGTTTTCTTGCGTTTGAGACTCTTTTAATCTTTTATCGTAATCAGCTTCCAATTTAACTAGTGGCCCGAAAATATTTTGGTATTGATAACCATCTTCGTAACGAAGTAAAACCTTAACATACAAAAATTACTTAATTGAAGAAAAAAAAAGAAATTTGAAGTAAAACTTACTTGTTGTGGTTCTTCGTCAACCCCGGGTTTTTCTAAATCTTGAAAGGTTGCATCAACGTTTTCTTTCCAAAGTTCTTCCAATTTATTAATTTGTTGAGCTGTAATTTGTCTGGCACGAAGCTGTTCTTGTTCGGATGGAATTTTTACCAACCATGTTAGGAAACAGCGATCGGAAATGAGAGGTTTCCACTGATCTTGATCCCAATTCATATCCTAATAAAAAAATTAATCAATTTTTTGTTAATTCAGAATTATAACAATACCTTTAAAGAATTCTGTGCTGCGCAAGGCTGTCTGCAAAGTAAAACAACAACAGAATCAGCTTTCGCCGGAATAAAACCCAATACAAAAACATTTCGAACACCACAGCTATAACACTCAAGTATAGTTTCACCCAACGGACCATCTTTATGTAAAGTCACTTCCTTGTGTTTTGCCCTAACCAAATGATTGATTATGTGACTTCCAGAAGTGTTTCCTCGTCCATTACAAAACCACTTTTTACATAAATTACACATAACCACGCAATTTGGTTCGTGAATTCCACAGTATTTACAGGCATAATCCGGGAGTTCTTTACTGTTATAAAACTCTTCATCATCCTCTTCGAATTGCAACTCACCCAATGCATTTGTAGTAGCTGGTAATTTACCAGGTATTGTATTACTTTTATTGGATATCCCATTAACCTAATAAAAATTAACATTTAATTGATAAACGAGTTTATTTTAAAAAAAATTTCAACGTGTTTTCAAAACCACGCACGTCAAATGACAAACAATTACCTGTATTCCGGACGTTTGTGGTCCGTTATACTCGAGTTGCGAGGCTTGCGTTTGCGAGGGAATAGTAAAATCGGTAAAATCACAATCGGAACCCTGGGTATCTGCCCCAATTAAGTCTGCCTCCTCAGTATCTAGAAACGTGAGCGTCTCGGATGGTCCGTACGCGTCGACACTCATCGTGTTCGATCGAATCTTTTTCACGGTACCGAAATAGTTGTATATGGGGCCACACGAGGCCAAATTCAAGTCGTTCACCGGTCGCTTTCTAACACTCAGAAAAAACAATCCAAAAAATCAGCGCGAACTCGAACTCGCATCTACACCTGTGGCAAACGCCATGTTTCTTTGATTAATCATCATTTGTTTCGACGTCACTGGATTTTTCTGTCCGTCGACAAGGGCGGGAAATATGAATCGTAGTTAGCGATTAGTTACTATAGTAATATTTATAGTTCTTATGAAATGATCATTAGCTTGTTTTAAATTTTTTTTCATTATAAAATTTCATTTTTTATTTAAAACTTATTTAAAAATGAAATTTTAAAATTATTTTTTGTTATATTGGCAATCAGCGTCATCTCTACCCGTTTAAAATTACTCTCTTTGCCTTATTGACACTAAAATATCGGATAAATTTGGTAAATTACTATTAGAAGCAGATATTGTTCTTAAATTTGTTACTAACTTATTATATATATGTAATCCTCGTTTATAGATTATTATAATCAATTTTAAAACACGCCATCTTTTAGCACTAATTAAAACTGACCACACAACTTAAATTTAAATAAAAAATACGATTAAAATGTATTAATTATGATTAAATATTTTTTATAACTCGTTTTATATATATTTTTAAATAAACATTTAAAAAAAAATCCTTAAAAATTAAAATTTTCCCGCGTAAATGGGACGTTTGATTAGTTAACCTCACTTTTACCAAATACAAAAAGGCTTTAATTAAAATTATGCAATACTGTGATTAAGTAAATTATCTAAAATAATCGCATTGGTATTAATGTACGTCATCGAATTGCTTGAGTTGTTTTCAAATCACTTTCACAATTCTCGATAAAACGCTAACATGTGGTTTATTCTAAACCTTTTTATTTTGGTGTAAATGAGTTATTTAAACACGTCTATATTAAGTTTATTTAATAGATGCTTAAGTACGAAAACTAGCGTTCTTAGAGTTATGGATAAATATGATGTAAGTTTGGATTTAAATTTTGATGATAACCCAAATAAAGGAAATACATTTTTAGGAAGCAATTATAGCTTTAAACAGCTTACAAAGTAATGCAGCTTATATTCGAAGTAGATCTTATCAAAAGTCATCATATGAAGAAGATTTTAATAGAACTATAGTTCATACAAAAAAGTTATTAGCAAAGTAAGTTAGTGATAAGTTTTAATTTTATATTTAATTTTTATTTTTTAATTAGAATTGGTATTAATAAAAATGATTTAAATAAATTATCAATAATCCATGTGGCTGGTACAAAAGGTAAAGGTTTTACGTGTGCTTACACAGAAAGTATTTTAAGACACCATGGTTTTAAAACTGGATTTTATTCATCACCTCATTTAATGGAAGTTAGAGAACGAATAAGAATAAATGGAGTACCTTTATCTCACGAGAAATTTACGCAATATTTTTGGAAAATTTATTCAATTTTAAATACACCTCAAAATGTTCCGTTAGCTTATTTCCGATTTTTAACAATTATGGCTTTTGAAGTTTTTTTAAAAGAACAAGTTGATGTTGCAATTATGGAAGTTGGAATTGGGGGTGAATTTGATACAACAAATGTTGTGTCAAATGTACCAGTTGTTGGGATAACTTCTCTAGGAATTGATCACACAAACCTTTTGGGTGAAACAATAGAAGAAATTGCTTGGCATAAAGCAGGAATTATAAAAAAAAATTCTAATGTTTTTACAGTCCCACAACTAATAAACGCAATAAACATTTTAATGGAAAGAAGCAAAGAAAGAGGAGCAGGAAGTTTCAAAATAATTGAACCGTTTTTGAAAGAATCAAATTTACTTAATTCATATCCAGATGTAATTAATTTGAATGCATCCTTAGCTGTGGTTTTATCACATTCTTGGATACAACAAAATCAAGGTAATAAAATGGATTTGGATGAATTTGCTTCATCATGCTCAACAGTGAAAGGTCTTGCACAAACATCTTGGCCTGGAAGATATCAGATCTTTAAAAAAAATAAATCTACCTTATTTTTGGATGGAGCACATACAGCCGAAAGTATGTTAATTTGTAAAAAATGGTTTGAATCGAAATCTTTTAAATCCCACAGAGAAAAAGCTTTAATTTTTAATATGATTGGTCAAAGAGATATTGAAAAGTTATTAGGAATTTTAATTACTATTGATTTTGATGTGGTTATTTTTGTTCCGAATATTTCAGGAATTTCACATTCACCAAGTAATTAAATTTGTTTTTGGTTTTAATTTTATGTTAAATTGTTATTATTTTAGATAATTACGTCTCTCCTTCATCTTATTACGCTGATAAATGCCAACAGAATAAAGAAGCTTGGTTAAAATTATTAGAAAATAATAATAAAAAAATCATTGAAAGCAACATTTTGATTATGCCCAATGTTTTAAATGCTTTAAATTATATCAGTTCGTTTGAATATGATTGTTTAGTCACCGGATCTTTACATTTAATGGGAGCTGCTTTGGAAGTGTTAGATCCTGAATTGAAACATTAACCTTTATTAATTAAAAATCTCTATTTTTATAAATTATTTTTAAAATATACTTCTTTCATTATAAATATTATAAACTTAATTACCTCGTCAAGAGATGGCGCCACTTACTTTGTTATATATATTTTTTTTAATTATTTAAATTAAATTTGTTTTTAATAACTTTCTAAATACAAAATTTATTCTATAAACAAGTATAAGAGATTAAACTTAATATTGACCTTGCACTTTATTATCTAAAATAATTTATTACTTAACCAAAATTGAGGTTAGATTTGCAATAAATGTCAATGACTTGCTGATTGAAAAGTTTAAAAGCTTATAAATCTATTGAATTATTAATTAGTCTTGTACATTTCATGATGGATAAATTAAATATTTTGCAAGGGGGTTATTTTAATTCCACTCTAAGAACTTGGCAGTCTTCGGGAACTGAAATTGGGGCTCACAATTTAATGTACCCAGTTTTTATTATGTAAGTTCCGCTATAATTTTAAAATAAATTAATAATCATGATTTTATTAATAAAAAGGGAAAATGATGATGGTTTAGAACCAATTGGAAGTATGCCCGGAATTAATCGCATGGGTATCAATCAACTTAAAATACATTTAGAACCTTTAATTAAACTTGGATTAAAATCGGTTTTGTTATTTGGTGTTTTAGATAAACTACCTAAGGTAAAAAATATGTGATTATTATTATATGAAGCGAATTAAGCGTTTCATTTAAGGATGAAGTTGGTTCAAGTGCTGACAGTGATGGAAACCCAATAGTTCGATGTTTACCTTTATTAAGAACTTGGTTTCCTGATTTAACGATAGCTTGCGACGTTTGTCTTTGCGGGTACACCTCACATGGTCATTGCGGTGTTTTAGATTCTGATGGAACTATAAATAACCCAAAAAGTATCAAAAGAATCGCAGAAGTTGCCTTAAAATATGCTAAATCAGGTTACAAACATCTTTTTTATATTAAAAAAAAATTATTTATACTTGTATTCTATTTTTATTAGGCGCACATATGTTAGCACCTTCCGATATGATGGACGGCCGAATTATAGCCATAAAGGATTCATTAGTCGAACATGGAATAAGTAATAAAGTTGCTGTACTTTCATATAGCGCTAAATTCGCGTCAACTTTTTATGGTCCATTTAGAGATGCGGCACACTCAAAACCATCATTTGGTGATAGAAAAAGCTATCAATTACCAAGTTGTAGTAAAGGATTAGCTCATCGAGCTACAGTATGTTTCATTATGTTTTAAAACACATTAATATTACAAACATTTTAGGCGAGAGATGTTCAAAATGGTGCTGATATGTTGATGGTAAAACCTGGTTTAGCTTATTTAGACTTGGTACAGTCCTTAAAAACTGAATTTCCTCATCATCCTATGTTTGTTTATCAAGTTTCTGGGGAATATGCTATGTTGTATCATGCGGCTAAAAATGGTGCTTTTGATTTAAAAGATGCGTTAATGGAGATTTTGTGTGGTATGAGGAGAGCCGGTGGCGATGTTATTATTACTTATTTTACACCTTTAATTTTGGATTGGTTAAGTCTTAAAAGCAAATATTAACAAAAAGATCATCTTGGCTATAACATATTATAATTTTCTTTTGTATCTGTGTACTTTTTCGGTGTAAAAATGTGTCATTTTGAGGTTAGGTATCTTTATGTCAATTAGTTTATAATTTATAACTTTCGAATCAAATTTTTGGAAATTTAAGGAATACACTTTTGTAGCACAATGAAAAAAATAAATATTTAATAAATATACACTTGTTTATTTTCAACAGCAAATTTTTTTAAGTAGGTTAAATAAAAAAAAATTGTTGATTAATAAAATTTTGTTTACTCAACTTGCATTTAGCAATTTCATTGCATCACAATAAATAATTTAAAAAATTCTTAAAAAAAGAAAAAGATAAAGATTATCTAGAAAATTTTGAAAACGTTCTGGAAACACGTCACTCGAAACTTCCTTTTACATCTACTATGATCACTTTGCATCATTTTCCATATTCCTACGTGTGCCAATCACATTCGGCCAACTAGGACAGATTCGACCAATGAAAATGCGGCAAGTTTAAATTTTAACCAATAACGAGCAAACACGACAAACTCTATACATATATTCTGCGCGAACTTCAGAAGTCGTCAGTTCATCGAATCCTAGCGTCAAAGAGAAGTGTTTAAGATATTTGAATAACTTAAACGTGTTAATCGTTTCACATTTATCATTATAAAACACACGAAATTGGTAAGTTATATTCAAATTTATGTTTGTTTTAATTTACGGTGATAATTTTAATATTTTACGTAGTTTTAAAGAAATACCGGTTCACATAGCCGGCATATTGAAAGAATTAAACTTCAATTTATCGTTTTTAAATTAATTGAGATTAAAATGTATTGCTTTTTATAAGATTTTAGTTAAAATTTGCGCAAAATTGACTCAAAATAGGGTATAATTATTGTTGACGTGTCAAAGAACCGTTATGATATACCACGTATGATGTATCACATTTTAAGTTGGATTTATTTCTTGCATCTTCTAGATTAAGAGAGAATCGAAAATGCGATTACCATTTTTACTGGGCGCAATTTGCGTCTTGGCCTGCGTTAGGGCTAAAGAAGATAAGAAAGAAAAGGATGATGTTGGTACAGTTATCGGTATTGATTTAGGAACAACTTATTCATGGTAAGATTTTATTTTTATTAAAAAAAATTAATTTACTTAATTTAAACCAAGACAAGCAAAATAATTTGACATCTGTCCACTTTAATCTAACCTAATAAAGTAAACCTGATATCTGTCACCTAATCTAACCTAAAAAAATTTATTAGATTTAAATTTTCTTGTGAATCTTTTTTCAGCGTCGGCGTTTATAAAAATGGTCGTGTGGAAATCATTGCCAACGATCAAGGAAACCGTATAACCCCATCCTATGTAGCTTTTACCGCGGAGGGTGAACGTTTAATTGGTGACGCCGCAAAGAATCAATTAACAACCAATCCCGAAAACACCGTTTTCGATGCAAAACGATTAATCGGGCGTGAATGGTCCGATTCAAACGTCCAACATGATCTCAAATTCTTCCCATTTAGAGTTATTGAGAAAAACTCCAAACCACATATCAGAGTTTCAACGAGTCAAGGTGACAAAACTTTCGCCCCTGAAGAAATTTCCGCCATGGTATTAGGTAAAATGAAAGAAACCGCCGAAGCATACTTAGGCAAAAAAGTAACCCACGCTGTTGTAACGGTCCCCGCATACTTTAACGATGCTCAAAGACAAGCAACAAAAGATGCTGGAGTTATCGCTGGTTTAAATGTTATGAGAATTATTAACGAACCAACAGCTGCAGCAATTGCTTATGGTTTAGATAAAAAAGATGGTGAAAAGAATGTTTTAGTATTCGATTTGGGAGGTGGTACCTTTGATGTATCACTTTTAACCATTGATAATGGAGTTTTTGAGGTCGTTGCTACCAATGGAGATACACATTTAGGAGGTGAAGATTTCGATCAAAGAGTTATGGATCATTTCATTAAATTGTATAAGAAAAAGAAGGGTAAAGATATCCGTAAAGACAACAGAGCTGTACAAAAATTACGCCGTGAAGTTGAAAAAGCTAAAAGAGCTTTATCATCAAGTCACCAAGTCAGAATTGAAATCGAATCGTTCTTTGAAGGTGATGATTTCTCTGAAACTCTCACCAGAGCTAAATTTGAGGAATTAAACATGGATTTGTTCAGATCAACCATGAAACCGGTTCAAAAAGTTTTAGAAGATGCTGATATGAATAAAAAAGATGTTGATGAAATCGTTTTAGTAGGAGGATCAACTCGTATTCCAAAAGTACAACAACTGGTGAAAGAATTCTTTGGTGGAAAAGAACCTTCTCGAGGCATTAATCCAGATGAAGCTGTAGCTTATGGCGCTGCTGTTCAAGCTGGTGTTCTTTCTGGTGAACAAGACACCGACGCTATCGTTCTCTTAGATGTAAATCCATTAACTATGGGTATCGAAACTGTGGGTGGAGTAATGACAAAACTTATTCCAAGAAACACCGTCATTCCCACAAAGAAATCTCAAATTTTCTCAACAGCTGCTGATAACCAACACACCGTAACTATTCAAGTTTACGAAGGTGAACGTCCAATGACCAAAGATAACCATTTATTGGGAAAATTCGATTTAACTGGAATTCCTCCAGCACCGCGAGGTATCCCACAAATAGAGGTTACCTTTGAAATCGATGCAAACGGTATTCTTCAAGTATCTGCTGAAGATAAAGGCACCGGAAATCGTGAGAAAATCGTTATCACCAACGACCAAAACAGATTAACACCAGAAGATATTGATAGAATGATTAAAGATGCTGAGAAATTCGCAGATGAAGACAAAAAATTAAAGGAACGCGTCGAAGCTAGAAATGAATTGGAAAGTTATGCATATTCATTAAAAAATCAATTACAAGATAAAGAAAAATTGGGGTCAAAAGTTTCCGATGATGAAAAAACGAAAATGGAAGAAGCTATCGATGAAAAAATTAAATGGTTGGATGAAAATCAAGATACAGAAGCCGAAGAATACAAGAAGCAAAAGAAAGAATTAGAGGATGTCGTACAACCTATTATTGCGAAGCTGTACCAAGGAGCTGGTGGACCACCACCGCCACCAAGTGGAGGAGATGATGAAGACCTCAAGGATGAATTATAAATAATTTGGTCGAAAACAGCATAAGACTGAACTTTTTTTTTAGTAAAACTTAATAATTAATGAATTAAAGACAATGTGTTCCGAAAATGATGAAACCGTTGCGTTTGTGTGAGTGCTACAGTGATATAAATCTTGTTTTAGTCTTTTCCCAGGCAAAAATTGTAATAATTAAAGAATATCAATTCTTTTTATGTTCTTCCTACTGTTGTAATTACTACTTTTATTCAGTTTTTTTTTTGTTTTTTGATGGATTCATTGGTAATGTGCGGATTTCGCTGAGTATTTATTTATTTCATGTTGTTTACATCAAATATTAGCGTGCGTTAATGTTTTTAAAGATGATGAAAACGCTACAATAAAATAAAAATGAAGTATTCTAATATTTGGGGTACCATAGTTCTTTTTTCAATAAAAAAATCATTAAAAATATAATTTTGTTTTAATTCCACTTCATTTAATACCATCAAGATTATTTGAACGAGAGAACAAATTTTTATTATTTAATTATTTGTCTATTGCTAATTAGTTAATAAATATTTGGGAAAATTTGCCTACTTACAAAAAAATTTGTGTTTATACTTTATTTATTATATACTAAATAAAGCTTATTAATTATTTTAATTTGTTATAAGATATAAATTATTATAAATATTGAACGAATTAAAAATATATTAATTAAAAATTTAAACTGAATTTAATTCGTCTTTAAAATAAAAGATGGCGCTGTTGATTTTAAATAATTATGTGAATAAAGAAAAATATTTATTATTACTCAGTGTAACTAATTCGATTTGAAAAAGGTTTAAATTTCAATTTCGTCATCTCAATTATTACTAAAGACACTTTTTGTTTTTTTATAAAAATATCAAGGGAAATTGTAAATTAAACGTCTATAAATACATTATTATTGATCCCTTCCTTTATTTTATTAACGATTTTTATGTCCTCTAATAATGAATCATTATCTTTCTTTGTTTGATTAAAGCAATTATTGTTTAGTCTCAGTTCGAACATTATCTAATACAGTTGTGATTGGTTATATCTTATTATAGGTATCCATCTTTATGTATAAACAAGTATGTTTAATGTAAGTATTGTAATAATCAAAATAATTTAAGTCAAACCTAAAATACTTACAAAAATTATCCAATATATACAAATTTAAACCTCTTCTATTTCTTACAGTTTGTAAATCTACCTAAAAAGTAATATAATTGTTTTAATTCATCATTGTAAACTTTATAAATCCTTTCAATAAGATTACAATATCAAGATCAACTTGATTAAATTAAAACATTTCCTTTTCATCTTCAAATATTTTCTTTGACATATCGGCAACCCAACATATTCAACAATTATCCTCTTTAAATAGAAATAAAATATAAATAGTGTCCATGTAAGTTCATAAAGACCGTCTAAAAATAAATAAATACTTTTGTCTAAGAATCAAAGATTATAAATAAACTTACTTGGCAAAACACTAATCCTAATGTTCAGTGTTCAATGTTATTTGGACTTTAACGGTTGTTTCTTCAAGATATTTTTACGTGGGTGGTTCGGGCATGGTTAATTCTGAGTGGGTGGTATTTCTTGATGTTGTCAATTAAATTAGTTTAAAAATATCGTTAAATGTTTAAATTGTTTATAAACGTAATTGACATCTTTTGTGTGTCATCTGTCAAATCAAATTAAATCAAAACATTTTTTCTTAATTTAAATTATTTACTAATAATTACTTAAATTTATTTGACGGAAAAAATTAAAGTGATTGAAAAATAAAAAGATTTTACATTAATTATCGTTTTAATTAATTACACAATACACAACATAGACAAAAAGTTGAAATAGTTGGTAGTATTGACTTTAAGTTTAATTCATTACACATTCATTAGTATTTATATCTATTTTTAATTTTATAACTTAAATAAATAAATAAAATAATTAATAATTAATTTTAACAAATTAGTTTTCGTATAATTATTAAAATTTTAGAATAAAATAAATTAAAAATAAAAATGGGTTGGTAGTTCTGTTTCATTGAAAAATCAAATTAATCCGGAATTGTCAAGTGACACAGAGCGCATTGTGTGTGTTCCGTTCAAATGATGTTTTTGTGTCGCGTTTGTATAAAATGGATGTCATAAATTTAATGACTAACATAAACAGCAGGTTTGGAACTTTACTTGGTTTCACCTGGGGTGGAGATATTTACAGTAACGTAAAGGAATCCTACGAGGTATTCTGCATACCCCCCACAAAAAAAACATTCCTTATCCTTGATATTGTTTACGCACACGAGTTACGAGATTTATTTTTCACGTTCCTACACACGTGTCGTTTTTACTTTATTAATTATTTATAAATACCTTTTTTTCTTATAGCCCGTTCATATCGCATTGATTGTTATATTCTTAGTGGCCCTTATAGTAACTGTTATAATTGTAAAACGATGGCACAAACAAGGTATACATCAATGGCTAAATAAAAGGTTGTTAATTGAAAAATACTCATATTTTTTAGAAGTGATAGTGAAAGAAAATTTAATGAGACAAACTCCATCCAGGTTTCGGAAAAGAGACAAAGCTTTGTTTTATGGTCGAAAGATGTTGAGAAAGGTTAGATCTATTTCAGGGCAAGTACGAAACTCGGGTCAAGGAAAAAAACGAAAAATGGTTATGAAATTTGCGAGGCGCTTACTCCAATTAAAAAAAGAAACTGATACTGAACAATTAAAGGTTAGTTATGACCTTGAATATGAAATTTATTATTAAATTACTTTATAGGTTTTAGAACCACCCCCTGAATACTTGCAAGAAGATGTATTAAGCGATGATCGTTTACCCCCTGATGCTTTGTACATACTACAAAGTATAAGAATATTTGGTCATTTTGAAAAACCGGTGTTTTTAAAATTATGTAAATTTGCTGAAATAATTGATTTGAAAGCTGGATCTTTTTTATTTAAAAAAGGTGAGCAATATTTTGTAATTTGAGAAAGTTTTATCCATCATAACTTTCTTTTATTATTATTTCTTTTATTAGGTGATGTTGATGATAATGTGTATGTTATTCAAAGTGGAAAAGTAAATGTTTATATAATGGGAGCTGATAATGCAATGCTAAATTTAAAAATCTGTAGGCCTGGTGATACTATTGCCTCACTTTTAAGTTTTATTGAGGTTTTAATGGAAATACCGAGTTGTTATAAAACAATTGGAGCTAAAGCTTTAGAAAATTCAACGATTTTAAAACTACCAATGCTAGGTTTTCAAGAAATATTCAAAGAAAACCCAGAAATTTTCGTTCGAGTTATGCAAGTTATTATGTTACGTTTACAAAGAGTAACTTTTACCACTTTACATCAATATTTGGGGTTAACTTCTGAATTAGTTGGTTTGGTTAGTTTAATAATCAAAAAAATTAATTCAATTATTATGTGTTCTCTTTTTTAGAATAGAAAAAGAGTTATATCGGGTACATTATCCGCTTCTCCGTCCAAAGTTCGAACAAAATCCAAAGAAGAATCAGTCTTAGAAACAATAAATCAACAACCCGCTGATCTTTCACAATTTGTCCCAGCAAATACTATTTATCAAACTTCCCCCCTTCTTTTATCACATAAAAGAAGTAAATCAACAGTTGAAAAACCAAACATTGGTAATTTGGATTTGATATCAGATTCAGGATCAGCACCAACTAGTTCTGTTAGTATCGCTTTAATAATCCCCAATCAGTTTATTAATTCTTATTAATGTGTTTAGCAAACGCCTTCATTTCAAAAGAGGAAACACTCCGTACCCGATATAATGGATGAAGAACTTGTTCGATCCATCGCAACTGAAGGTTTTATGAAAGAGTTGGGTTTGAGTAGCGATACAATTTTACAGGGAAAAATAGATATTAAAGAGGTTACGGCTGGAACGTACTTACTAAAACAAGACTCAGTTAAAGTGAGCAAAAAAGAATGTGACTAATAAATTTGATTTGTTTGCATTTATTTTTTAGGATGTAGCTTTACTTTATGTGGTAACTGGTTCTATTATAGCAGTGCAAAAGCAATCTGATCGCGAAGATGATGAAGTTTTAATGTTTACGGCGCATCCTGGTGAAATTGTTGGTGGTTTAGCTGTTATTGCGGGCGAACCTAGTTTTTTCGCTGTTAAAGCTAAACATAATTCAAAAATTGCTAGTATTTCAAAAGATAATTGCTATAGGTAAAAAGTTATATGTATTTAAAAAAATATTTTTAGGTTAATTTAATTTTTTTGATTAGTTCGACTATTTCAATAATAGATGTCGCAAAGAAACAAACATAACCTCAATTTTTTTTAAAACTTTTTAGTTTAATGAAAGATCATCCTAAATTAGTATTAAAAATCGCTTATATGGTAGTTCAACATCTTTCCCCTTTTGTACGTCAAGTTGATTTCGCATTAGATTGGGTTTTCTTAGAATCCGGAAGAGCGATTTATCGTCAAGATGAAGATAGCGATTCAACGTTTTTGGTACTTTCCGGTCGGCTTCGATCGGTTATAACGCACGAGAATGAAAAGAAAGAGGTTGTAGCTGAATACGGAAAAGGAGATCTTATTGGAATTGTAATCATTTATAATTTTTTAATGTATACAATTTAATAATTATTTTTTTTTGAGGTTGAAATGGTTACACATACAAAAAGAGGCACAACAGTAATCGGAGTGCGAGATTCCGAACTTGCTAAATTACCAGAGGGATTATTCAATGCTATTAAGTTAAGATTTCCGATTGTTGTTACTAGGTTAATCGATTTATTAGGACATAGAATACTGGGTAAATTAAATATTAATGTATTTTGTTAATTAAAATTAATTAAACTTTTTTTAGGTTCATGGCAAAAACAAAATATACATATTTCTCAAGGTAAATCAGCCGTTGATAGTCGACCGACGCAATCAAACTTTTCAACAGTAGCTATTGTTGCCGTTTCGGATGATGTACCCCTTACGGCTTTTACTTACGAATTATATCATTGTTTAACAGTAATTGGTATATTATCTAAAAGAAATGTCTACAATATAAGTTAATACACCTTATTTTTTAGGTCCAACATTAAGACTGACATCGGATGTGATTAAAAAAACATTAGGTGCAACCATAATGGATCCGAGCAACGAATACCGACTCACGTCTTGGTTGGCTCAACAAGAAGATCAACATAAAATCTCGTTGTATCAATGCGATTTGACATACAGTTTATGGACGCAACGATGCATTAGACAAGCCGATTGTATTTTAATTGTGGGGTTAGGTTCAAGAGAACCTTGTTTAGGAAAAGTAATACTAATTGTTTTACCATCGAATTCATTAATTGTTCATTATTTTTTATTTAGGTTGAAAGAGAAGTTGAAAGGATTGCTATGAGAACTCAAAAAGAATTAGTTCTTCTTCATAGCGATGGTTCAAAACCCCATAACACCATAGCTTGGCGTAATATGCGCTCTTGGGTGCAATCTCATCATCATATTTTATGTCCGAAAAGAATGTTTTCAAGAAAATCAATGTATCGAATTGTAAGATATTTAAGAAAGATCGTTGAAATGAAGTGCTTTTTTATTTTAATTTTTTTTTAGAATGAATTATACGGGAAAGTTTGTATGTCGGAACCAAATATACATTCAGATTTTTCAAGACTTGCGAGGTGGTTAACTGGAACTTCTGTTGGGTTAGTTTTAGGAGGAGGTGGTGCTAGAGGTTCAGCACATGTCGGAATGATTAAAGCAATACAGGTTAATTTCCAATTGATGTTTAAGTTAATTTAATTTAAAGAAATGTTGAATTCAGGAAGCTGGTATTCCTATTGATATGGTAGGTGGTGTTAGTATAGGAGCTTTCATGGGAGCTTTATGGTGCCAGGAAAGAAATATTACAACAGTTACACAAAAAGCTAGAGAATGGTCCAAGGTAATATCCATCTCAAAACAAAATATTAAATGTTACTATTATTTTTAAATTATTTAGAAAATGACTCAATGGTGGAGACAGATCTTAGATTTAACTTATCCAATGACCTCCATGTTCAGTGGAAGAGATTTCAATCAAACAATAAAGGGTACATTTAATGAAACTTACATAGAAGATTTATGGTTGCCCTATTTTACGATAACTACTGATATAACGGCTTCTTGTATGCGAATACATCAACATGGTACGTTTTTATTTTTCATTATCTTCGTTCTTTTTGGTTTGTGATTTCTTTCTAAAAATTAACTACTGGCTATACGCTTTTGTACCCATGCTTTTTCTAACATCCAAATCCCATATTGTAAAACACAAAAAGTTCGTTCTTCCTGGATTGCATATGCCCATGATTTTTTTTTTTCATTAATATTGTGATTGGTTGACCTCTCTTTTTCTCTATCTAAATGTTTTGCACAATTCTAACCAATTTCATGGGGTTAATAATACAATAATTATTAATTTATTTATTTTGGTGAGCACTGTCCCGCATTTTTTACATGCATTGTGTTCATTATCAAAAATTTTCGTGGGCCGTTCTTTTAATTAAATTAAAATACGTTTCATTGTCATTCAAATGGTGCTGTATCGGATTAAGATTTTCGCAAAAATAAATAGCAAAAGGTAATTATTCTCAAAAATTTAATTAGAATTTTAGAACTTTTTTTGGTTAGCAATGCTATAGCGTTTTATAAATGGGGCATGCCGATTAATAAATTAAGGTATAGTATTTTGTGCTTCATTACAAAGGAGTGTTTTTTATTGTTTTTAGATACACATTAAGTAACTTTGCTATACAGGGTGATTCAGCTAGATGACTAAATGAAGGGAGTTAAATAATTCGACTTTAACCTAATTGAATCATCCTGGAATTTTTTAAATTGGTGCTTGGGATAAAATAATGTTTAATTTTTGTATAACTAACAATCTCTTGGTCATTTAACAACTAATAGTTTTCAATCTGAGATAACTTGATAATTAAAATATATACAGGCTGGTTCAAAAAACCTTGATATAAGTGTTGAAAATCTGGCCATTTTTTTCTGCTGGCCATTTCCCTTCCTATTACATTACCAACTTCAACAACCGATTTAAGATCTTTGTATGAACGAATTTTCTGATATTATATTCCATATCATGGATATTGTTGGTTTCTTTCCTGCACAGGTTTGGGATAGCAGATTTCAGTTTATTGTAAATTTCTGCTGAACGAAGATTTCTGATATCTTATCTACTCTGTGTATGATGGGACAGTTGCAGATACTGGCTGATACTTAGGTTATGGCTAACGTTAGGTTATGGTGTGTCAAAATAAACCTTACTGGCAGAATGTACACTGACCGGCAAAAAAAACCGGCCACCAAAATGTAGCCACAATTTCAAAGCTGGCTTACTCGCGAACCACTCATTCGATTTTGATGATTCTTTTTTTGATCGAAACGTTGATTCTTCTGTAATAATCCTGCGATAGAAATTTTTATTCGGATATTAATTTGAGCATATACGGGGTGCAAGAATGAGAAAACCTTTTTTTCTCGAAATTCGTAATACCCTATGGGGTGCAGCTGCTACAGCAGAGGGTGTTAACTGGAATCAAATGGTAGCCCAATCTTTTCTGAGCATTTTGTTTTTTTATTCACTCTATTATCTCTGTTACTAACGAAGATGCAGTATTTTAAAGCGATCGCCTGTGAAAACAAGACGAGTGACAATAGTAGCTGATGACCGTTTTATTGTTCTAAGCAATCGTAGAACGACAGCTGTAGAAGCTCGGTGTCGTCTTCAAATGGTGCGTGTCGTTGATGTCAGTGAGCAATTGCGGCAAACTCTTCTTCAAAAGCAATTTGTAACTCTTGAAGGTTCTCTCAAGTCTCTCAAGTTGGTCACAAAGATATTCGATAGGGTTAAGGTCCGGGCTGCACGCGAGCCACTCTATCCGTTCAATACCCTACTTCATCAAGATATTCCTTAACCACACGTGCTACGTGCGGTCGCGCATTGTCATGCATTAGCATGAATCCGTCACCAATAAAATGGGAATAGAACCTCCATGGAAAGGTACTCTTTCCGAAATGGTGCAGGTCGCAAACCTTTCATTACGACGTCTCCACACTCACTCTCGACCATCAGGTGACCGAAGACAAAATCGGGACTCGTCAGTGAAGAGCACCTTACCCCATTGTTCCATTCCCTAATTCATACGTACGTGCCCAAATTGAAGACGTGCTCGCCGATGTCTCTGGAGCAGCCGAGGTCTTTTGGCAGGTCTTCTTGCAGTCAGATCACTTTTATCAAGTCTTCGATGAATAGTTTTTTCACTTACGTCAAATCCACGCACCATCTGAAGACGATGCCGAGTTTCTACAGCTGTCGTTCTAAAATTCCTCAGAGTGTTTAGAACAATAAATCGGTCATCAACTGCTGTTGTCAGTCGTCTTCTACCGAAACCTTGCCGCCTAGTGAAATTTCCTGTTTCCACATATTGGTTCCAGGCATCCTGAACTGTTGTTCAGGGTATACCCAACGTATGGGCAACGTATTGCTGACTTTTGCCATCCTCAATTAAAGTAACAATAGCTGCAACATCAGTTACTGACAACGGGATTGTTATTATGTTAAAAGACTGTAAAAATCTTTAACAACTGTCAATTTACTATTCGAAACAAATGACATACGCTACCTTGCGCGCCACCTTAGCTTTGTTGATGCTTGTTTGTCTTGTTTTTACAGGCGTTCGCTTTAAAACACTGCATCTTCGTTAGTAATAGAGATAATAGAGTGAATAAAAAAACAAGATGTTCAGAAAAGATTGGGCTACCGTGTGATTCCAGTTAACACTATCTGCTGTAGCAGTTGCACCCCACAGGGTATTACAAATTTCGAGAAACAAAAGTTTTTCTCGTTCTTGCAACCCGTATATGCTCAAATTAAAATCTAAATGAAAATTTCTATCGCAGGATTATTACCGAAGAATCAACCTTTCGATCAAAAAAACAATCATCAAAATCGAATGCGCGGTTCGCGAGAAAGCCAACTTTGAAGTTTTGGCTAATTTATAGTGGCCGGTTTTTTTTGCCGGTCAGTTTATATATGTTGATTTAACGTAACAATTAATTTTTTTTAAACGGCGTTTGATAAAAATTGTACTAAAAACATAATTTTGTCTCATTTAACATGAAATCACACATAAAACAAAAAAAAATCGGTAATTAACGTTTGCACCGATTATATGTATGTTTGGTTGCATAGCTTAACAAAAAATTTTATCAAAAAAAGAAAAACAGCACTTTTGAATACAATGATAATTCTAAAACATTCTTAATCAATTTTTCATTCAAAATAAATCTATAATTTATTTTTGGTGTTAAATGTAACCCACCACAAACTCCTAATTGTTCCCAATGTAAACCGGTTGTATTTTTGTGTTTGAAATAAAACCAATAGCGGTAAATTAATTTAAAAGAATTTGTACATACATAATTCGATTTGACGGCATGTTAGCTTAGTGCGGATGTGTCTCGCAGGATCTTTATGGCGTTACGTGAGGTCTTCGATGTCCCTCTCGGGTTATATGCCACCACTCTGCGATCCATGCGACGGACATCTCTTACTCGACGGTGGATACACCAATAACTTACCAGGTAAAAATATGAGAAAAGAGTTTATTAAGGTAACAATATAATTAAGTTTAGTCAAATTCGTTCCATAAAAACTGCTTGTTTTAAGGTAAGATTTATATATTTTTTAAATTATGCAGAGTGTTTCAATTTATGGTTTATATCAATTGATGGTTTTTAAGTTTTTGAAACACGTTGTGTAATAAAATGCTACATTTTCATCGAGTAAATAATAAGGGTTCGGAAGGTAACCAATCACAATTAAAAATAATGGTTGTTGATTAATTTTCTAAGCATAATTTTTTTATTTCGTTGATGCAGTTTATTAAGTTCATTCATTTCTCCCCTTTTCTTCTTTTTTACCAATCTTTGTTTGGCTTAAAACAAATTTAGATAAAAATTAGTTTTGTTCCTTAATTCTTAGTTTCAAAAGGATAAGAATACATCTATTTCTATTAGATTAGTCGTTCGATTTGGACGATTAGATTAAATTGTAGATAATGTAGGTTTTCTTGATTTAAAAAACTGATTGAATAAAAATTTTTCGAAAAAGAGAATATTATGTGCCACACAGGTAATTTGTGGCGGTACGTCCGGGGAAGCATGTCCATTGTTGGGATTTTCCCCCCTATGTGTGACCCATTGGACGGACATATGCTGGTCGACGGATGTTACACGAATAACGTACCAGGTAAAAAAATAAAAAATCATTTCAAAACTTTCTTTTTATCTTCTCAAAGTCACAATATCCGTTATATATAAAAAAAGAGGTAGGTAAGCAATTTATTTATTTACGTAATTATACAGAATCAAAATACTATTTGTTGTTTCTTTGATTATTGTTTGAAATTACAGGGTGAGTCAATATTATATTAGGAAATTGTTAAATCATATTACAAGCAAATGTGGAGTCAAATTGATCCTCGCCCGCAAGTAACTGCTTAAGCGTTATGTTATTACAATCTATTATGCATTTATTTTGAGAGTATTTGTGAAGATTAAGTTCATAACAAAAAAAAAACAAATTAATTTTCTATTTTAGTATTTTGGAATTATTTTTTATACAGGGTGTCTCAGCGAGACGTTTCTGGGGTTCTGGCGAAAATAAAAATTTGAGAATTCAGACTTAAGTATTATCAATTACGATCTCTTCGACTAAAATATTTTCAGATTTCTTGCACTTCCGGTTATACCGGAAGTCGCCACCAACTTTATTTTTTTAAATGGAACACCCTGTATATTTTTACATATTTGGATTTGTCTGTTTTCAAGGTTTATAAATAACTTTACTTTTTGCAATTTGATTCGGTCGTTCTCGAGTTATTCGAATTTTTCTAGAAAAATCTGCTCCAGCAGACATTTGTTCAAAAAATCAGAAAACACTCAATTTTTGGGATATCAATTTAGGATTGAGAACATGCTTAAGCAACATGATGGAGTATGTTTTGGTGCCGAGAACTGCGGTCTAGAACGTTTGATCACTTTACTATGGCACGTTAACTTTTCAAAATTTGGAAGTACCATAACTTCATTTTTTTAAATGGCACCCCCCATATTTTATTTTTTAGTCGTCTTCGGTGTCTCATTCTACATCTTTTATATCCCATATGGCCCATACCTAATATTAATAGTTTGGGAGATAATTAGGGTTTTTTGAAAAATGCACACATATCATATGGATATTTAGCCTAGTGTGCCATGAAAAACAAGCCTTCTCAATGAGTTCTTGTCAAAGACTCACTTGTTTACGTCACTTGATGCATGTGAGCTAATAATTATCTGTTATGTCCCTTAATATTAGTACTGAAACGAGTTAAAATCGATAACAATAACGAAAGTAATATTTACACAAATCAAGAAATTCTTAATTTATTTTTTTTGCATGAAAAGCGCGACAAAGTTCGTAGTATGATTCCCAGATCTTCTTTGGCAGCTCGAATTGAGGTGTTGGGACTGGGCTCGAAATAAGCCAAGGTATTCACCTCTTCCGTTGCATTATCTACTACATTTTTTGGTCAGTTTAACACGTGATTAATTCGTCCAAAATGCAAAAAATTTGCTTCTATTCCTCTAAATTTACCTTTTGTCATCGGAGATAAATGTGGATAATTTTCATTAAACATTCTGCAAGTTCTACTAAGAACTTTGTCGCACTTTTCGTGCACAAAAAATAAATTATGGATTTCTTCATTTGTATAAACATTATTTACGTTATTAATATCCATTTTAACTGGTTTTAGACTCACAAGCATCAAACAACCTAAATTAGACTTTGACGTTTATCAATAAGTCATTAAACATTTGTTTTCCATGGCACACTAGGTTAATATCCATATGATATGTGAGCATTTTTCAAAAAACCCTAATTATTTCTCAAACTATTAATGTTAGGCATAGGACATATGGAATATAAAAGATGTAAAATGAGACGCCGAAGACGACTAAGTAATAAAATATGGGGGGTGCCATTTAAAAAAATGAAGTTATGGTGCTTCCAAATTTCGAAAAGTTAACGTATCATAGTAAAGTGACCAAACGATCTAGACAGCCGTTCTCGGCACCAAAACATACTCCATCATGTTGTTTAAGCATGTTCTGAATCCTAAATTGATATCTCAAAAATCGAGTGTTCTATGATTTTTTGAACAAATGTCCGCTGGAGCAGATTTTTCTAGAAAAATTCGATTAACTCGAGAACGGCCGAATCAAATTGCAAAAAGTAAAGTTATTTATATAACTTTACTTTTTATATAAACCTTCAAAACAGACAAATCCAAATATGTAAAAATATACAGGGTGTTCCATTTAAATAAATAAAGTAGGTGGCGACTTCCGGTATAACCGGAATTGCTAGAAAACTGAAAATATTTTAGACGAAGAGAACGTAATTGATAATTAAATATAATTAATAATAATTAATTGAATTCTCAATTTTTTATTTTGGCCAGAACCACAGAAACGTCTAATGACCGGTCTCGCTGAGACACCCTGTATTATTAGGCGCTTATTACTGCAGCTTATTATTAGCGAAATTTTAAAATCATCCAAAGTTGATGATTTCGTGTTCATAAAGCAAATCTTCAAACCCAGCGCCTCGCCCGCAAGCCGATTTGAGGCGAAATCGTTCTTTATTTATCTTCGGAAATATACAAAGTCTCGGATAAGAAGACATCAAAGACCCTCAAACCGCCAAGGTCACTTTCGCGCGAGGCTCTAGAATCATCACAGAGTTAAAAGCATTCCACACCTCAACCGTTTTATAATATGTAGAAGAATATTATGCTTATCATACTTATAATTTTGACTCACCTTCTACATTACAATTTTATATTTTATATTAAAGAAAAGAATAATAAATTAACGTTTTTTCCTCAGCGGATGTGATGCGTAGTTTAGGTGCTAACCACATCTTAGCGATTGATGTTGGTTCCGTTGACGATCAAGATCTTACAAATTATGGAGATGATCTTTCGGGATGGTGGTTACTATGGAAACGATGGTATCCCTTTACTTCATCTGTTAAAGTGCCAAATTTACCCGATATCCAATCGCGTTTAGCTTACGTTAGTTGTGTTCGTCAATTAGAGGTTAATTCAATAATTTTCGATTTTATTTCAATGAATTCGATTAATTAATTAATATCAATAGGAAGTGAAAACTAGTGGTTATTGCGAATACATCCGACCTCCAATCGATAAATACCGTACTTTACAATTTGGTAGTTTTGATGAAATCAAAGAGGTAGGTTATCAACATGGAAAATTATTCTTTGAGGAACAATTAAAATCCGGGAAATTGCCTTACGTGAAACTTCACGCTGAATATGACAATATTAATATTCAACAACATTATGCTGATCAACATCAACATAACTTCACAGATTTAGCTCAAATGGTTTGCCAAATAACAAGGTAAAAAAGTCCAATAAGAAATAAAGACAAAAAAATACATTTTCTTTGTAGACCTTATGATGATGATGAAGGTTCAACAACTGATACATCTTGCGATTCTGATATGGAGGGGCATGGGTATGCTTCGGAACCTTCAGTAGGAATTTTAGATGTAAGTTGTTAATTTTAAATAGTTATTGAAATATTAAAAATTATGTTTTGTAGCACGATACATCGATGATGGCACATCGTAGAACAGGTGGATCTTTATCATTGTCGGAAAATGAGTTGGAAACTGAATTAGATATAACTTTGAAAAGGAAGATGAACCCTTGAAAAGGGAAAAAATTCAATAAAATTTTGTAAATTACTATTTATTTTTCAGTTTTGATTTTTTTCCATTAAATTATTACTTTAAGTCCTAAATTTAATTATTATTTATATTTACAGTTACCGATTTTGTGATCTCTGTATTTTTCTATAAATTAATACAAAAAAAATTTGTTATCATTTTTTTTATCATTTTGAAAAACATGAAAAAATTGATATACATAATTCTTATATTAAAAATCGTCCTTGGTGCTACTTTATAAATAATGAAAAGAATATTTTTGAAAATACATGTTTTATGGCAAATAAACATATTTTACCCCATCATGTAGGCAACCAATAATACACGCATTGACAGCAGTTTAAATAACTTTCTTATAACTCGTTTCATATGAAAAATTTTGATTCTTTTATGAACACGCGATTTCTGTGGAGGCAAAATAATGACTGAAAAACAAACAAACACTTAATTCGCGTAATAAGTGATAGATACATCTTATATTTGTGCTAAGTGTTGGGTGGTGGTAGTGATGTTAGTGACATTAGTGACATTAGTGATGTTGAGATCATCGGATTGCTACTTTGTGGATGCTAAAAGGTATTGTATTAATTCATTTTTTGGCACAATAGATTAATTTAACTTTTCTTTCCAGCGGAGCTAAGAAACCAAAGAAAACAACATCCACTTGGTGAGTCGTTTCAAAATTTATTAATTTCTCATTTTTACCAAAACAAATGTTGCTAATTCGGGATTTGAGCGATGTAATATTTTCAAACAAAAAACCAGTTCGAATCCTATTCATTGTATTTGTGCTCGAAAGAAAGTTATGATAGTTTCAAATCGTAAAAATTAATTTCCATAACATTAATGTTCAAGATTATGCAAAGTTGCGTTCAAAAATTCATAAATCTAAAATTTTAAGATTTGGAGAAATGATCTTTAACGTGTTAAATACTATATAAATTTGCTATAAAATGTTGTTTATTTCATGATCATATCTCGATTCGTTTTTAACAATCAAAAATGCCAAATTATTCTTTTTTCATGATGTTTATTATATTTAATTAGGCCATACAATACTTTCTATCCAAGGTACATAATACGACACTCTTGTATAAACTCCCGGTGCTACTCCACAAAGTTTTCCAAAAGACACCACACCAACAATTAAAAACAAAGAATCTTTGGGTGATTTATATTGAAGTGGACTCCCTGAATCACCCTAAAGTTAAAGGAATTTTAATATACATTCTTTATAATTTAATTAAGATTTACCTGACAAGTATCTCCTCGATTTTCACCTCCAGCACAAATTTGCCATTCATCAACGATCCCATTTTCAAGTTCTTTTTCCGGTCGATACGTATCTTTACATTCCTGAAATGGCGAGTGTCTCAACTCAACTTTTTGCAAAAAACTAACAGGAGAACCGGCGTAAACTTGGGAACCCCATCCGGTGGCTATTAACCTCGAGGATGGGATTTCTTGGGATGTGTACAAACAAGCCGGTTTTATATAATTAGAAAATCGCACGGTTTCTATTTCAATCAAACCAACATCGTGATATCTCGAATCTAACTTGTAATCGGGATGCTCGTAAGTTCTTTTTACTTGAAATTGTTGTGGTTCGGAGTCGTCGTTGTTTGAAGCAAGATCTAAATCGCCTAATCGTACAAATTCAACATCTCCGCTAAAAAAAAATAATTAATTTAATAAATTAAGGTTTTTTTAAATTACAATTCTCTTGTTGATAAGCAATGAGCTGCTGTTAAAATAAAAGATTCGCTTATTAAGGTCCCACCACAATTCCATTTTATTTCTTTTTCATTCCCGAAACCTAAAGCAGCCTAAAAAATACAAATATTTTTTTTTGTTAATACAAATTAATAGAAATTTTGTAGAATACCATGTGAGGAAATTCTCTTGGAAATGAGTTTTGTCCTGAAACGATTGCGTTAAAACTTCCGAAAGATCCCCATGGATTATAATCATAATAAGTTCTTGAAATTTTTGATGAATATTCTTGGCATTCTTTAGATAAATGATTTAAATTTTAATTTTTAAAATTATTAAAACCTTACTCTGTTGACTTTTTGAAGATGAGCTTCTTGAATTAACATTACCACGATTTTTTCGATTATCATTAGAGCAACAAAATAATTCCTCATAATCACCATAACCACAAAATCTAGGCCTAATTCTTTTCATGTCACATTTATTAATTGAAACACATCTTCCTAATCGCCCTTCTCTAGTTCTACAAGGAACTCCATTTTCTTTAATTAACGAAAAAAGATTTTTATAAAAAAATAAACTTTTTATTAATAAAATGATTTTTACCTTGACAATTAATCGAGTTAACCACTAATGAGACGCTGAGAAGAAATAGAAGGGCACACATTATGATGTGGACTAAGTAAAGTGTTGTTGGAGACTAAAAATATCTTGCAAGGCAAAGTTGAAAATGAATGATAAATAAATTCCTACCGGTAAATGGGTCGGGTATGAATCATTCGGACCGGAAACGTTTCGTATGTGGAATTAAGGAATCACCGCAGGATTTACGCAAATTCACAAAACAAAGGTCTTAAAACAATAATTAAGAAAGACCTAACAAAAAGATATGAATAAAATTATCTCCATAATCACCAGTTTACTTTTAATTTCCTGTTTATGTCATTGAGATTATTCAATAATGATGATTTCATTCAAGAAATAATTTATGTATAATTTACGTTTTTATTTTAACAATCATAAATATCCATTTGTGTTGATATCTTTTAATTCATTAAATTTACATTTCATTTAACATTCGGGTTTAGCCGTGCGTCTCATAAGACGACTAAAGCCGAATGATTCTAGTTCTTCACTTTAGAAATGTACCAGAAATTATAACCATAATGGCCGGATAGATATGCCGAATAAGCGGATATCCGGCCGAAGGGAATGCCGAATATTCGGCTTTTTGCAAAATCACTATCCGTTCTATCACTAGTTCTAATGCTTAAGAAGATTAAGGAAGATATTATGCATCATTAATAAAGGGTTTTCCAATAAGAGGTGTTATTTTGAATAGCCCGTTATTTCGGTAGATGCCACTTTTGAAGCTGTCATTTTTTGACATTTGACAAGTAGAAAGTACGCCATTAATAAAAATGGAACGATACACGCTTCAACAACGCATTGAAATTATTAAAATTCACTATAAAAATGGTGAAAATTTGGCGTAAAACTCCAACATTTTTGGGTCGTCGTGAAGCACCTTGTCGGACCGCAATACAGAAATTGGTGGAAAAATTCGAGCTGTTGGGACAAGTTAGTGATGTGAAGAATAAAACCCGTGCACGTCGCTCAAGAACAGCCGAGAATATTGCTGCTGTAGCCGAAAGTGTTGAAGAAAACCCAGGTTTGTCCATTCCTCGTCGTTCTTTGGAATTAGGCATTCCACAAACGTCATTACACCGTATTTTGCATAAAGATTTGGGTCTTAAGGCTTATAAACTTCAGTTAACACAAGAACTCAAGCCGTCCGATCATCAACAACGTCGTGTCTTTGCTGATTGGGTCGTTGAAATGCATGAAAATGATCCGGAATTCCATCGAAAAATCATCTTGAGTGATGAGGCCCATTTCCACCTCGGTGGCTTCGTCAACAAGCAAAATTGTCGCATCTGGGGCTCGGAAAACCCAAGAGTTATTGTTGAAAAGCCTCTCTATCCTCAACGTGTGACTGTTTGGTGCGGTTTATGGTCCGGCGGAGTCATTGGACCTTACTTTTTCGAAAATGAAGCTGGAGCAACAGTTACGGTGAATGGATTGCGGTATCGAGAGATGATTAATGATTTTTTATGGCCGGAATTGGATGGTATTGATGTGGACAACGTTTACTTTCAACAAGACGGTGCTACGTGCCGTAATTGATCTTTTACGGGAAAAGTTTCCGGACCGTGTTATCTCTCGAAGAGGTGATCACAATTGGCCACCGAGATCTTGTGATTTAACACCTTGCGACTTCTTCCTTTGGGGCCACGTGAAAGAGAAGGTGTACGCCAACAGCCCAGCGTCGATTCAAGACCTCAAAGATGGAATTCGTAAGGCTATTGAGGACATAGGGCAGCCACTTTGCAATTTGGTTATGGAAAATTTCATGGAAAGGGTATTGTCCTGTAAGCGTGGTCGTGGTGCCTAATGTTATTTTCCACTATTAACGGCATACCTTCTTCTTTATAATGAAATAAACATCCGATCATTTATACTAAAAAATGGCATTTTTCTTTGAATATCAAAATAACACCTCTTATTGGAAAACCCTGTACTTTGAATTAATTTATTGAAAAAATTATTTATTTTTTCCTGACCATACAACACTTTCAATCCAAGGTATATAATAAGAAACTTTAGTATAAACACCAGGAGCAACAGCACAAAGTTTTCCAAACGATGTAATCCCAACAATTTTATAAACCAAAGGATCTTCTTGTACTTTAACCTGAAGTGGTCCCCCAGAATCACCTTGACAAGTATCCTTTTTCTCAACGCCTCCCCCAACACAAATTTGCCAATCTTGAACAATTCCGCTTTTTAATTTCGGCTCGGGGCGATAAGTTTCTCCACATCTCCTATATGAAATATATGATAAACTAACTTTTTGTAAAACATCACTATTTCTTCCTCCATATTCCGTAGCACCCCATCCCGTTGCAATTGGGGTTCCATCCGGTAAAAAGTTGTCGAAATTAACGCAAGCTGGTCGAACATATTGATTACATTTAACGAATTTGTTTAATTCGATTAAAGCTATGTCGTGATACTGGGAAAATGGGACGTAATCTGGATATTCAAAAACTTTCTCTACGAGGAATTGTTGAGCAAACCGATCGTTATTGATGGTTCCACCTAAATTAACATCCCCCAATCGAACGTGCTTTAATGGACCACTTTGTCTTGAAATTAAACAATGAGCCGCTGTTAAAACGAATTTTTCACTTATTAAACTACCACCGCATTCCCATTGAATATTGGGAGAGTCTCCATAACCTAACGCAGCCATATGAGGAAATTCGGTTGGATTTGCGTCTGTCCCCCCGACGATAATTGAGCCAGGAAATTTTAGATCCGAATCTAAACATGTTGTACGCTTATAATCTTCACATTCTAAAAGAAAAAGAAGAGTTTTAGAAAAAAGATTAATGATTTTTAATTAATTAAGAATACTTTCTTTTGCGATTTCCGTGGATATTTTCGTTTCGTTTGAATCAAATTCTTCCGGGCAACAAACAACCGGATCGACGCCTGCAAAATAGCATACATTCGGAGAATTTCTTTTTTTTAATTGTTGTATTGCCCACGGACATTTGTTAATAATTTTACAAGAACCGCTAACTCCTTCTTTAGTTTGACAAGGCTCTAGAAATAATAAAAATATTACAAATATTAAAATTAAAAAATAAATGAGAATTGTATGCTTATGATTAAAAAAGATGTACAAAGATCGTTTGACCTCCATCAAGGTGAGAATACGATTAAAACGGGAATTACCCACAACAGCTGATTTCGAAGCGGTTATATTCAAAAAAAAAAACTTTTATTTTATTTTATGCAACAATGTCTTCACTTATTTATGTTTACTTAATATATGTATTACGATTTTAAACAAATAATATTAACATTTTTAATTTTACCTTTCGTGAAAACCTCCTCCAGCCGAAACGCTACTAAAATCACAAATAAAACATCAACAAACATAACTTTTAATTTATTTCAATTTATTGAATGAACCGTTTCGCGTCAACAACATCAACCTTTGGCACCAACTGATCGTGTTTTGCAATTGGTTTACGAATCCATCACGTCTATACGATCGTGACACGTCATCAAGTGGACAGGAAGTTTTAAATGTCTTGGGCTTCTTATTAAATATATCGCGATAATTAGTTAATAATATTTAAATAAATATTTATGTATTCATTTTTTATTTATTATCAAATTATTTTTAATTCTTACAACGCATTATATGGTTTAAAAGATCTAAAAGAATCTTGTTTAGGTTTTATTATCATTTTAGCAGCTTTTAAAGAAATATATTTTAACCAAGCATACCAAACAATTCCTTTACCATCATCTGTAGACTTTTTAGAATGAAATCCGTTTAAATTCGAATAAAAAGAGTCATCGAACCACTCATCCGCTTCAACGAAGTTGCCCCCTAATATGGAAGATTCTCGATGTTGTGCAGAAAACGGGTTTATTTTTATGCTAAACTACCTCGATTTGAATTCTTGATAAAAAAATATTAATAAATTTTAAATCAGATGGATTTACATATATGATGGTAATTACTAGGGCAACCAAAAATATGCTCAAGAAATGATAGTTTAAGCGCTTAAAAAATGCTGTATAAAAATCAAAATATGCTGTTTAAACATGAAAATATGCTCTATAAACAAGAGTCTTTTCCAAATATTCCTATCAAATTTAAAATGTAGTTGTCTTTTAAATCTGTAGGCGAAGTTAAACAAAATAAAGTAGAAATGATTTCTATTTATATCTCGAGACATTTATTAATTTGACATGTTTAAATTAAAAGACAATTAGAAAATATTGAACAATATACAAAAGACAAATAGAAAGAAATAGATAATAAAACAAATACAGATTCAACTTAAATTTTGATTACAATAAATGACAAACATCTCACCTAAATTATCAAAAAGGAAGCTTTGTCTGTTTGCACGTAAAACATTCTTGTACATTGAAAAACTTCGTTCCACTTCCACTGAAGTTATAGGTGCAAACTTAAATGCTAGTATTTCACTAACAGTGTATTTATTGTTTTTTATTTCTGTACATCCTGTACTTAAACATGTATATAGAAATTTCTTTCAAAATAGAAAAACCATGATTTTTTGAAATACACGTATCCATTTTTTTCTTTACTGGCTTAGCAGTTTCACTGTTTATTCCATTAATTAAGTCCTGAGCTTTTGTCACTATATCAACCTGTGCAGAAAGCGAAAGCCCAGTTGTTTCCAATGTTTTTATTGACGCACAAAAAAAGCCATAATTTGATGCAATGAAAATCAAATCTGATTTTATTGTATTGTCATTTAGTAAGACCTTTGAAATTTTGATTGACGCAGCGTCCTCTTCGTCTAATACATCAAACACATTCCTAATTATTTCGAAATTAGTTGCATAGTACTTTGCCGCCTCAATCCATGTTTCCCAGCGAGTAGTTACCGGTTGTGGAGGAAGAACAATACTAGGCGCTATTTCCTTAAAAATTGCTACTCTCGATGGCGCTTTTAAAAATACTTTTTTCACATTGGCGATAAGCCGGTCGATGTTAGTGTATGTACCTCGAATTTGCTCACAAACACGATGAAGTCCGTGTGCAGCACAAGTCAAGTATGTCACTTTTGGATAAAACGTTTGTATCGCCTTTGCTGCTTTTACCATGTAGGGAGCAGCATCTGATACAAAGAGTAAAATCATATCTCTGTTGAAAGTCTCACCCAAAATCTTAACAGAATCATCGAAATGTCTTGCAATAGTGCTATGATTCGCTTTATCAAGCACTGCTGTATTTAACAAAAATTTTTGTTTCGCAATCGACTCATCATTATCCAAAATACCAATGATGACATTTGCCACATATCGTCAATTGAGAGCCACAAGAAGCGACCGTTGATACATTTTCGTGTGTGTTCTATGGGATTTTGGTAAAGTTCCTTAACATACTTTGTGCGAAGAGTAGTTTCAGATGGTACTTTGTACTCTGTGTATGACTGTAGGAACGATACTAATTTTTTGTTACGCATTTTATATAGAGGTATATCAGCTGAAATTAGTGCGCTACATAGATCTTCTGCAAATTGAATATCTTTTGATTTGGATGTGGAACATTCAGCAAAAAAAGGCTGAGTAGTTTTCTTCTCATTATTTTTTTCTCTCTAATTCTATGTGTTTTAAACTTGCTGTTTTACCGAGAATATTTTTTCGGCTGACATAGATTTGTTGCACACTTTGCAAAAAAGTACCTTACCATCAGTTTTGAATACAGGATATTCACGCACATATTGGGATAACTTTCCTGAACTTTTCGAATGTCGATAATTTAGTATTCTTTAAAGAATTGAATAAGTTTATGGTAACTTTATATCAAATTGCAAAATAAAATTTTGAAAATATGCATTAAAAATATTAATTTATTTCCAAAAATGTTATATAATTTAAAAATATGCAATGTATGCTCGTATAGATAAAATAAGCAAAAATATGCTCTAACAAATACGGCTCAAAATTCATGGATTGATTTGAAACAAATTTCTATCTAGTCCATTTTATTCTGGAGGGTATGAAAAAAAATATACGTTTGCATATTTTTGGTTGTCCTAGTAATTACACTGTGCTGTAAACTTTGACCTTTTTTTGTATACAGTAGATCCGAATTATCGCAGCCGTGAGAAACCTGAATACAAAAAACGTGGCGTGTTACAAAAAAATGGAAGGCTTATTTGAAATCAGCAACCCAAAATTAACTAAAAACACTCAACTCATCAACTGTACAAAAATTTTGCAGCACAATGCAATCAAAGATTTGATTAAGTTTTAAAAATTCGTATAAAATCCACTTCTTGTAATATGAGTATGAAAATTCCCCAAAGTGTTAATAAAACGTCACCCTAGAATTATCTTGTGATATATCCCAAAACGTCAATGTTGGGGAAACGACTTTACGGATTTCATTACTTTTTTATACTTTCTTTTAATTATATTATCAAAAATCTTTACTCTTCATAAAGATATATATAAAATGTAATGCAATTCGTCGGCTGTTGTATGAATTTTGAAGAAATGTACTGAAAATTTGAAATAATTGTTTTGGATTTAGAACAAATTTCGACTTTTTCTTATTTCTAGAAAAATATATGGGATATTGCACATTTTTTTATTAACTAATTAGTCTATATCCACTTGTTTTTCGAAATAAATTCGCCTAAGGAATTCTTTGATAAAAAAACAAATTATATGAAATAATTTTAATTCGAAGTAATGAAATCTATAATTATTAACAAGAATTAATAGATAAATTCATTAATAAGTAATTTTTCTAAAACAAAAGATTTATTTTTTTATATTATTTATTATTGTATTTTCTTAGTTTATTCAATTATTACTGCACTTTTTTTATTTGAAAGCAGTGCATTATAAAACGCCTTTTCATCTTCATGTGGCACATATGACACAATTTCTGAAAGATGTTTTCTCTTTAGTTCCGGTATTTTAAACTCCTGATTCGCCACGGGAAGTTCTTCTGAAAAGTGATATGGAACCACTTTTATTTCATTTTTCTTTCTTGATACAAAGCGATACATTTTCGCTTTTGTAAAATCACCTTCAAATTTTTCTCGAAATTCGATATTATTTATATTACCTTTATTATAGATTATATGTTTCAGTCTAGTATAAGGAATAGTTTTATAATTCAAAGCTTTTGAAATCTTTTGAAAATCGAAATAATCATTTGGCTGCATTTGAATGACTTTAAATTTTAATTTCCAAGATGAGGGAATCAATAATAGTTGACGAACTAATGAGATGGGACTCCAAATTTCAATGTTGCGGATATGTTTCTCAATTAAACTATGTGCATTATCGATTTCTTGAATATTTCCATGTCCTGGTTCGCTGAATTTTTGTTCTATCGTCTCGAGATCCTTACTTTTTATAGAGTTTAAAAAATATTGTAAGGCGAAGGACATTATCGAATTTTTGTTTTGTGGAACGCAACTGTCAGACCACAGAATAAGGCTTTTGAGTTGAGGATTATCAATCATAATTTGCGTTAGGATTTTAAAAATTGCAGCAGCAATATGATTCGCCCCACGACCTGCTGAAAATTCGTGCCAAAGTGCATTGTAGACTACTTTTGTGTTACTTAAATGCGCGGTTAAGTTGTAGCACGAAAGTTTTGTCTTATAATAGAAATTGGAAACATTAGCTTTTGGAAGTGAAAATGTGTTTTGTAAATCAAATGTCACAATCCCAACTTGAACATCATTAAGAAATCTTGTTCTATCTCTATCTCGTTCGTTCTTGCACAATTCCTTTTGACGGATGTGGTGATCGTGTTTATTAATGTCGTCTGGGGAAGGTTCTTTAGTGGTTTTGAATAATTCACATTTATCACAAAGATCTTTTTTAGGTTTAAAAAATCCAATGTTAAATTCATTATTGAAGATATGAGAATATATATTAAATTTTACTGGAATTTTAGACGAAGACCTATAAAATTCATACATTCTTCTGAGATTGAGTCCTCTATCCAAATACTTTTTACTAGTTTGTGCTCTACAATAGTGTGATTCTACTGCTGGGAAGCTACCAATATGAGCCCTTACTTTGTCTTTTTGCTCATCACTAATAGTTTTTTTGCAATGTTTGCCATGTTTAGGACTTCTTGGTACATTTTCATTCATATTATTTTTGAAGAAATAGTAGATCCGTTGTTTGCTTATATTCAATGTATTCAGAAAATACTCTTGGCAAACTCGAACTTCCACTCCGGATACATAGAAATAGTATTTATAGCTGTATGTTTTCTTACTAATTTCTTCTTTTGTTCTTTTGCGTAGCGATACAATACGTTTGACATGCTGTGAGTAGAAATGGAGTTTACGTTTGTCATCCAAATTCCAAAATTGATTATGGATATGATCCCTCTCTTCTCCATTAATTGCTTGTGAACATTTGAAACTACATTTTTCCGTATGACATGTCGCAGTTTTTACTTTCTTTTTTGGTTTTAAATTTCCTTTACAATCTATGTATTCTTCTCCTCTTTGCCTTTTGTTCTTTCTTATATTTTGTTTCCACGAAGAAGGATTTCTTTTACGTTTCTTGTTCAACTTCTTTATTCTATCAATTCTATCTTCATCAACTACGTTTTCATCAACACTTCCATTAGAATTATTTTTCTTATCTACATCTAATCTATCATCAGCATCGATTAGATTTGAGTCATTTAATTGGTTACTAAAAAGTGGCAAATAATAGTTAGAAAAGTTAGATTAGAATAGGTATTATTGTTTATTTACCTCAAAAGTTCGGAACAACAACTAGGCGATATATTATTATTAGGAAGAATATAACTCGTCGTACTAGTCATTATTATGTTTTGTTCTTATTAATATAAAAAACACTCAAAAATACTATAACGAGAATAATAAATGTCACTTTTTCAAATTTAATAACGCAAGAATTGACAGTTGACAGAAATGCACATAAGGGCGCCCCTGGCGGCGGAATCAATTATTAAAACTACGGATTTTTAATGTCAAAATCCCCAAAATAAATTGAATGGATTTAGCACAATTTTGTTATCGTATAGAGTGAGAGGATTTAGAACAAAATATGACGCACTTGGTTCATAGAACATTATAATTCTGAGTTCATATAAGGAACAACATATTTTTCAAAGTATTAACTAAATTTTGGATATAGAACAAATATTTAGTAAAAATTTAGATTTGAACCTAGATAATTCTAATGTCTGAATAGATTTAGAACAAGCTATTTTTGCTGAAATTTTCAATGTAATTTTCTTCAAAATTACCAAAATGTGATTTAGAACAAAATAATTCTGGGCTGACGAAAAGTGTCCTCTTTCCAATGAACTAGTTTTTAAACTTGATGAATAACTTTTAATTTTTGAGAAAACAATATTTGAAGTTTTGATAAAATTTGCGATGTTGCACTTTTCATCGATAACTTTCAAAATTCGCTATAAAATTAATTTCTTGAAGCATCCTTCTGGAAATATCATATAAAAAAGTTCATTTTGTATCTTGGATCCAAATAAGTTGACATATCTTATTAATTTAATTTTTATTCAAATATCGCAATAATATGGGAATATAGGGTATCATTTCAGAAATTATAACCATAATGGCCGGATAGATATGCCAGATAACCGGATATTCGGCCGAAGGGGATGTCGAATACGTACCATCACTAATTAAAACTATTGAGTTGTTAATCATCATTAATTTACGGATAAAATTTTATTTATGTAACATTTTTATAATAAAATATCAATTAATTTGAAGTAAATTTTTGAATATGGACCTCCATTTCTGGTTTTCCTTGTGTTGGTGGTGATGTTGACGGAATTTTTTGAACACAACAAATCAAAGGTTTCAATCCTTCTAAACCACAAAAATGGGGCTTCTTAAGAAACGTATAAAAAGCTGGACAATCTGACGATAAAGTACAAAGTCCGTATTCGCCGAAAGTTGTTATGCAATATTTCCCTTAAATAAAATAAGTTTTATATTTAAAAAAAAATGATTTAAAAAAAAGTACCTTTTAAACTGTTAGGAAGAATCTTATCAAAACACAAAGTAAATCCCATCGAAATTATAAACAGAAACGAAATACTCGGCGAAAGGGTCATTATGTTTGCGATCTACAACTTACTGACGAGAACTAGCGTAAGGTTATTGCATTTAGAGGAGGACAGGAACCTTTCAAGAACAGGTTAGGAAAATAAATACAACAAAATTGTAACTTGGAGTATAATTTATTAAGAGAAAAAAATTTATTCCTCATCATTTTCCATATTTTCTCTTATCCATTTTATATAATGAGAAATCCTAATGTAAATATTAGGATAAGTTTCAGTTGGTGGATAACCACTTCCCCCCGCCATTATTCCAACGGGTTGAAGATGCCCATTTTTCATCAAATGAATAATTCCCAACGAATCCTAAAAATAATGTTTTAATGATATCTTCATTAATTTTTTTTTTAATTTACTTGTGGTTCTTCTATAGGATAAGCGCAAACTTCCGATTTCTTTCTTATTTCAACCGAAGGAGTCCTAGTATGATAATTTTCAGAACATTTTGGAAATGGGAGGATTTTTAAAATAAATTTAACGACAATTAATTGATCTTCATTATCGGGTAATCGAACCCACGCGGCTTCAATTGGTTTTTGTTTATCAAAAATTTTCGTTTTATACAATTTCGTCGGATTTACAAAATCAGTTGATTCAGCTGGCGTTTCTAATTTTACCAAAGCTACACTTCTGGTAGCATTTTCAAAAGAATCGGGATCAAATTCAGGATGAGCTGAAATATTTGAGATGTTGTGGTATTGAAAGTGTTCGCAAGATATTCCTAATCGGACACTAATTGGAGCACCACTAAAAGAAATAAAATTAATTTTAAATCTAATTGGATAATAATAATTACATCGTTTCCTTTCTACTACATTCCGCGGTTGTTAAAACATGATTTTGATCGATTAAAATTCCAACACAACCGTAAATTATTCTCGATCCAATATCATAACCTAACATAGCCATGTGCTTAAAATCCTTAGCAATTTCTTCATCTTGAGGTAAATTTTTGTCGCAATCTTCACTAATTACCCAGGAAATTAACGAAAACAAGAATAGTGAAAATATAACCGTTTTAGAGAACATTTTAACAGAATACAAAGTATGTGGCACTAAACAAGTTATAAATACCTAAAACTCACATTTTTATCGTTGTTTTATCTCGTCTTGAAGACCTTCGTTTAGTTCAAAAAAACAAGGGGTTATGTTTAGGATTAAATTTAGTTGATAATAAAAAAATGTTGTAATAATTAAATAATGTATTTATTTCAATAACAAGAAGTACGATTTAAGCCCAAACGATGTTTTCAATCCATTCAATATAATTTGAAATTTTTGTATAAACTCCCGGTATGTTCTGTACACCGCAAATTTTTCCGAAGGAGGTGATACCAATTAATGTATGATGCCTAGATGTTGTAATTTGAAGAGGTCCACCTGAATCACCCTAAAAAAATTAAAAATTTAATTATTAATTTATAGATTGTGAAACATTTACAATATTTAACTTGTACGTATTAAATGATAACCGGAAATAGCTTAAATTATTCAACATACTGTAATAATAACCCATTACCAGTAATTTAGTCTTGTTTGATTATCGTATTGATGGTAGAAGAGTTTTTTTTTTTGAACAATTATAAAATAATGTTAGATACTATACGCTAGTGAATTTCGGTACATTTTATTGTTCTTTAATGTTCTAATCCTAAACTTTCACTTGTAAAGTCGATGCGAAGTAATTTTAAAGATTCGATATCAGATAACTTCAATTTAAATTTTTCAAAATTATTTATTTAAATCTTTATCTACCCGGATCAAACCTATTTAGAACGATAAACTTAACTTGGTTAACAAAGAAAATAATTAATATTTGTATGGAATAATGAAATTTGGATGAAAATTTACAAAATTAATTTGAACATATTGGAAAATTTATAGTTGAGATCAGAAGAAAATGAATGGATATTTGAAAATTGTTTTAAAAGAGCATCAAAATTACGAAATATCACGCATAATTATAAATAATTTTAAAAATTTAAATAATAATTTGACAAATTGAATTAGAGACATTTCAAATGTCAAAGTTGGCTACATTGAAAAAACTAAGACACAAATTCCAAATCTATAAATTTAACCAATCAGGAGAGGTTATTTGGAAATTTAACATCCGAAAAACGGAATTTATCAACAAAAAGAGTGTGCTTCCTGTTGTCTAAAGAAACACACACATTTTTTTTTGCTCTGCTGAAGATTAATTCAATCAACGTGTCAACGAGTTAAAAAAATTATATCCGTTCCTGTTCAACGTTAAAAAAACAATTCATCCTGTTCCTATTAAAGAAAAATATCCGTTCCTGTTCAATAATTTCGAAGAAACGATTAAATTCGCTCCTGATCAAGTAAAGCAATTGGTCCCGTTTCTGGTAGAAACCATCATCACTAGTGAAGAGAAAAATTTGTTCTCAATCCTGAATCCAACCATCACCTGTCACGAAGAAAATATTATTCTGAGTTTGACCTCCAAGGTTCCCATAGAAACAAATTGGCTAAGTTATTTTTTTTTTTATAATTGTTTTTGTTGCTACATTTTTTAAAGAAAAAAACTCTTCTTACCTTCAATAAGAGAAGTTCTTGATAAGTTCAATATAAATTTTGAGATTACGATTACAATTTCCTAATTAATTTAATATTTGACGAGTTGTTATACATATCTGAGTTGATAAATATTACTTCGAATCAACTAATTTAGAATATTTGTTTATATAATCAGTATATTTTGTTAATTTTGTCGACAACATCTCAATTTGATTGCACCTTAAGTTGTGCACATGTTTGTCTTGACAGTATTACCAGAACCTGCCTTAACCCTGAGATAATTCGACAATTCTATTTAAATATTTAAATTTTTTTCAATTTAATAAAAAAACAAATTATTATAAAATTTAGTAATGTTGTTTTCATTAAAATAATTCTTTTCAAAAGAAGAGGGACTATTTGCGGTCCATTTGGAAAAACATTACAATATTAAATGATAACCGGAAATAGCTTAAATTATTCAACATACTAGTTCATAGAGTGCGTAATATAAGATTGTTACTCTCATGACCATGACATTAAAAGTGTTAAGCTTAACAAATAATGTCTCATTAAATAAGCTGACCTTCATAACGAAACTAAGAAATGATTTTCACAATGATGATATCTCAATTCGTTCTTCAGATACAGTATAATAAAATTGGATTTTTTTATCATTAAATACAAAGTTGAATTATAAAAATTTAAAAGGGAATATCTCAAGAACGACTAAAAATCCGACAAAATGTTACTCTTTATTTTTCTGTCAGAAAAAAAAATTTAAATGTTCTAGAAAAAGTCATTTTAACAACTTAGGAAATGAAAAAATGGATGGAAAATAAAAAACATATACAGGTGTCTCAGCGAGACCGGTCATTAGACGTTTCTGTGGTTCTGGCAAAAATAAAAAATTGAGAATTCAGACTTAAGTATTATCAATTACGTTCTCTTCGTCTAAAATATTTTCAGATTTCTAGCACTTCCGGTTATACCGGAAGTCGCCACCTACTTTATTTTTTTAAATGGAACACCCTGTATATTTTTACATATTTGGATTTGTCTGTTTTGAAGGTTTATAAATAACTTTACTTTTTGCAATTTGAACCAGCAATTCTCGAGTTATTCGAATTTTTCTAGAAAAATTTGCTCCAGCGGACATTTGTTCAAAAAATCATAGAACACTCAATTTTTGAGATATCAATTTAGGATTCAGAACATGCTTAAACAACATGATGGAGTATGTTTTGGTGCCGAGAACGGCTGTCTAGATCGTTTGGTCACTTTACTATGATACGTTAACTTTTCGAAATTTGGAAGCACCATAACTTCATTTTTTTAAATGGCACCCCCCATATTTTATTACTTAGTCGTCTTCGGCGTCTCATTTTACATCTTTTATATTCCATATGTCCTATGCCTAACATTAATAGTTTGAGAAATAATTAGGGTTTTTTGAAAAATGCTCACATATCATATGGATATTAACCTAGTGTGCCATGGAAAACAAATGTTTAATGACTTATTGATAAACGTCAAAGTCTAATTTAGGTTGTTTGATGCTTGTGAGTCTAAAACCAGTTAAAATGGATATTAATAACGTAAATAATGTTTATACAAATGAAGAAATCCATAATTTATTTTTTGTGCACGAAAAGTGCGACAAAGTTCTTAGTAGAACTTGCAGAATGTTTAATGAAAATTATCCACATTTATCTCCGATGACAAAAGGTAAATTTAGAGGAATAGAAGCAAATTTTTTGCATTTTGGACGAATTAATCACGTGTTAAACTGACCAAAAAATGTAGTAGATAATGCAACGGAAGAGGTGAATACCTTGGCTTATTTCGAGCCCAGTCCCAACACCTCAATTCGAGCTGCCAAAGAAGATCTGGGAATCATACTACGAACTTTGTCGCGCTTTTCATGCAAAAAAAATAAATTAAGAATTTCTTGATTTGTGTAAATATTACTTTCGTTATTGTTATCGATTTTAACTCGTTTCAGTACTAATATTAAGGGACATAACAGATAATTATTAGCTCACATGCATCAAGTGACGTAAACAAGTGAGTCTTTGACAAGAACTCATTGAGAAGGCTTGTTTTTCATGGCACACTAGGCTAAATATCCATATGATATGTGTGCATTTTTCAAAAAACCCTAATTATCTCCCAAACTATTAATGTTAGGTATGGGACATATGGGATATAAAAGATGTAGAATGAGACACCGAAGACGACTAAAAAATAAAATATGGGGGGTGTCATTTAAAAAAATGAAGTTATGGTACTTCCAAATTTTGAAAAGTTAACGTGCCATAGTAAAGTGACCAAACGTTCTAGACAGCCGTTCTCGGCACCAAAACATACTCCATCATGTTGTTTAAGCATATTCTGAATCCTAAATTGATATCCCAAAAATTGAGTGTTCTCTGATTTTTTGAACAAATGTCTGCTGGAGCAAATTTTTCTAGAAAAATTCGAATAACTCGAGAACGGCCGAATCAAATTGCAAAAAGTAAACTTATTTATAAACCATGAAAACAGACAAATCCAAATATGTAAAAATATACAGGGTGTTCCATTTAAAAAAATTAAGTAGGTGGCGACTTCCGGTATAACCGGAACCCTGTATAAATTCTTACATGGCATGTATCTTTTTCTTCATTCTCTTTCCCTCCAGCACATATCATTGAATCCTCTTGAATTCCCTTTGGTAAAGTTCTTAAATCTCTTGAATAAGTTAAGTTACATTGACCATAAGGATATTGAACTAAATCAACTGCCATTAAATGATTACTTGGTAATCCTCCATTATAAAGAAAACCCCATCCGATTGCCGAAAACGTTTTAATTACATTTGAAGAAGTTTGAAGACACGCTGGTCTAACACTAATAGTCATTTCAATTGATGCATTTAGTTTTATTAAAGCAATATCATCATAGTGGATTGGAGGGGTGTAACTGGGATGTGGAATTGATTGGATTACTTTAAAATCGTGATGTGTTGTGTCCGGTGGGTTTAAAGTTATTGTTCCTGCTCTTATGTATTTAACATCACCACTAAAAAGATTAAATAATGATTAAATAGCGAAATAAAATAACTAAAATTAAATACAAATCTCTCGAATAAAGACAATGTGCTGCTGTTAAAACGAAATTTTCACTTATAAGTGATCCTCCACAATTCCATTGAATATTTGTTTCTTCTCCATAACCTAAAGCGACCATATGAGAAAATTGTGATGGTGAAGATCGGACACCGCCAACAATTTCTCGTACAACAAATTTTTTGTTGCTATACTCATCGCATTCTAAGATGTGTTAAAGAAAATTATGCTTAAAATTAATTTTTAATGAAAATCTTACTTTCTTTAGCGATATCTCCAATTTTGTACGATGTTAACCCGCAACAAACAAGAGATTGTTTCCCAATAAAACCACAAAGAGTAGGCGAAACACCTCGTTTTAAATCTAATAACGCTTGTTCGCAGTCTTCAACACTTCTACAAATTCCCTTTTTGCAAGGTTCTCCTTTATTAAAAAATATAAAAATATTATTTTAAAACAATTTTTTCAAAATTATTTACCGACTTCGCATGAAACACAATTAAAGATAGCACCGAATGCAACTAAAATCAACGCAAGTTTCATTTTTACCAGATAAAACCGAAATGAACTTTAACTTTTAATGCGAGTGATTTTATACGGGAATACCATTTTGAAATGATGTCATTCCTTTAAACGTTTGTTTAAAATTAAATTAAGATTTATTGTAAATAAAAGAAGTACAAAAAATATTATGCTATTATACGGAATAAAATACTTTTTAGGGCCAAACGATATCTTCAATCCATTTTAAATGTGGATAGACTTTTGCGTAAACGGCAGGAATTGTCTTGTAACCGCATTGTTTCCCAAATGACGTTACACCTAATATGTAATAAGAACAATGATATTCTGAACTGCGGATTTGAATTGGTCCACCAGAATCTCCCTAACAAAAAGGTAATTAATTCCTTGTTAATTTGTAATTAAAGATTTTTACCTGACAAGTATCTTTGTTGTCAGTGAATGATCCAGCGCACATTTGTAACTCATCATCGATTCCTCTAGGTAATTTAACGGTGTCTCTACTATAGGTTTTGTTGCATCGAGATCCTGTAAAAACATCTAACGCAGCTTTCATTAACAAATCACTTTTAGACGCTTCATTTGCATATTCAGTGTGACCCCAACCAGTTACAATAACCTTATCTACATCGCTTGTTTTGGGATTAGTCCATAAACAAATTGGTTTTAAAAATTCATTCATTTGTACTGGTCTAACTAATTTTAAAAGAGCAATATCGTTGTAGTCAGTGGGTGGAAGATAACCTGGGTTTTCATAGAATCTATCCACAGGAATTTCTTGCGCGTATTGATTATCATTGGGATCTGTGTAATTTAAATCGCCGACTCTTACAACTGTTGGGGAACCGCTAAAAATTTGATATCAAATTAGATCTGCTTGGTGGACTATGACTTTGATTTTAATTACAAGTTACGCGAATAAAGACAATGAGCAGCGGTTAAAACGAAGTTTTCGCTGATTAAACTTCCGCCACAATCCCACGTGATACCATTTCCGGTGTCGTAACCTAAAAGAGCCTATTAAAAAATTATTAGTAAACAATCTCAAAAATTATTAAGAAATGTTTCACCATATGAGAAAATTCCCCTAATTTTGCTGGTTCTCCATCGATGATAACAGGAGTTACTAGAGGACTCCAAGGACATTTACTTCGTTTTAAAAATTGCTGTCCAGGTATTAACGTTGGTGGCCTTTCAAAATGATAAGCCAAATTTTCATATTCTTTACATTCTAAAAAATAAAAATTTAGATATTGACTGAATATTTTATTGATTAAGTATTTACTTTCTCGACTCTTATCTCCAGCAACTCTGTTTAAAATGGGTTTTGTTTTAATTGTGGTCGTTGTTCTCGTGGTTGTTGATGTGGTCGTTGTTGTTATCGTTACAGGTTTTTGTGAGTCAGCGGACGCGCAACAAACCAAAGATATGTCACCGATAAATCCGCATATTTGAGGATGAATATTACTCATTAAATCACTAATAGCTTGAGGACAATCTGCTACTGTTATACATTTTCCTGAAGCTTTTTTTATTTTATGATAACAAATATCTCCTTTAAAAAGAAATTAATAAAAAATACACTTCATAACAATTCTTAGAAAAGTATGTAAGCAAACCGGTTTATTAAAACTTGCCTTAAAAACTTAATTTGAAATAAATCGACTTTATAACAAGATTTTCTCACCTACATAATCTGCATACAATTGGGAGATACCCAATAAAAACACTAAGGTAAGGACAATTTTTTCCGGAGTTTGCATTCTGGCCGGCTCCGAATTGTGAACTACAACGTCAAAGCGATTACGTTGATTAAAGAACAACGTAGCAGGATAATAAGTGGGGAATCCGTTGAAAAAAAAACTTGGGATTTCGGTTGCATATACCAAAACACACAGAACGAAAAAAATAACCAATTTTTTTCTCGAAAACTAAGGTTTTCTCCCCTAAAGTTCCATCCGCGATTTATAATGTTAATTTTTTTTCTCTTAAACCGTTAAGAGTTACAGCGTTTTGAAAATTGATAAAAATTCTAGAACTGTTTTAATCTGTCCTTACGGGTAAGAGTGTGCCGGATGTGAAATTTGGTGACCCAAATCGTGTTGGTTACGGAATTATGAATTTTTTAAGTTTATGGCTGGGATTTATGGATAACAACATTTTTTCAAAAACTGCGTATTCTAAAGTTATAAATTAATAAAAAGACCAAATTCAGAATAATGACATTTAGAATTCATTTAATGTTATGTCAAAAACTTAACGTCACATCGATTTAACCTCACATATTGAACAAATGTACTATAGTTCGTTTTTTTTCTATAATACTTGTCAATGTAAATTATTTAGGGTTTCTGTTGGTATTATCTAGGACCCTTATAAAATTTATGTTGTTTTCATGGTTTTTAGTAACATTTTCAGTAACTATTTAGTTGAGGTTAAAATACTGATACATTTTTAGGTAAATACGATTTTCACGAAGTACATATTTGTTGTAAAAACGTGCTACAAAGTAATTAATAGAATAAAATACCTTTTCTAGGTAAATAAATGGCAAATAAACACCCCACAATACTTTTTATGCACCTTTTCTTTTTGAATAACGAAAGCTCAAACGTCAATGTGACATATTTACTTCAAAACATGATAAAACAAAACTCCCTGTTAATTTTGCCAACTTTATAACAATTTAACAGGTATTATAGAAAAAAAATGAACTATATTATAAATTTGCATTTAAACATGAAATGAAATGATAAAACAATTAAATGTTGATTATTTTGTGTTTATAATTTGTTCATAACAATAAATTAACAATTAATAGTATCAAATTCTTTGATTGTCGTAGCTGGACGTAAAAGACTTTTTTGTAATTCGCGACGCTAATGAAAGCTATAACAGTACTCAAACGGGTGCTGTAATGAGACTCCTTACAGCATCCGATGCTGTAATGAGATTTTAGTAACATTTTATGGAACCAGTTCATGTATGTGTATGTAGGAAAGCGGAGGGTATGCTACGCACACAGCACCTAGGCCCCAACGGGCCCCTTGTACATCCTCCTACACTGTCTCCGGCTACATCAACCAGCCTAAGGAATTTCCGAAGGCTAGGATACAGCTCAGAGGTGTGTTCCTGATGCCATCTGTGGTCGGCCATTCCTCTCCGAAGTCTCTCATTCTGAGGTCTTGCAGAGTGGGGCATTCACACAAGATGTGTCGGACCGTCTCCTCGCTCTCTTTACAGAGGCAACAGAGAGGACTAATAGCAAACTTAAGGTTATAAAGATGCTTGTTTACCTTACAGTGACGAGTCCCGTTACAGTTCGTAGAGCGTTTCTACCAAGCCTTACGAAAGACAAGGCTGCCTCTGCTGAAGGATAATGTAATACTTCCTTAGACAGATGGCAACCCTTAACCCTATCCCACCAGTTCATGAACTTTTTGTGGGTAAAATCTTTAATTATCTCAATCTGAGTTGATAAGGACGGAGCGATTATCGGTTCAGGCGAACATGGCGCTCGCTTGGCAGCCCTTTTGGCAAGCCTATCAGCGTGCTTGTTACCTGAACAAGTCGAGTGTCCTTTTATCCATTGAAGTATGACACAGTTATGCACTGCGGCCTTCTCCAATGTCAGATGACAACCCATAACAAGTCCTGAGGTAATTGTTATTCTACTCAGGGCTAAAATAGCTTGTCTACTGTCAGTATAAATTGTAAAAGTCTTACCTACCAAGTTGGATCTGACAATAACGTCAGCGGCAAGTTGTATGGCGATTAACTCCGCCTGTATGATGGTGGTATGATGGTGGAGTCGGAGATCGTACGAGAAGACTCCGGCTCCAGCTCCTTCTTTCTTTGAACCATCAGTGTAGATTTTAAGGCTGTTTTTACCTCTACTTCTGTGGAGCTTGGGTGGGTGAGATATTTCTTCGTAAAAATGTGTTGTAGGGGTGTAAAGTCCGTTACACACTCCAGAATTGGTGAGTAATCCACCATTTCATTCCAGAGATTGGCATTTTTACTATTTCTCTCACCCATTAGAATTCCTGCTGCTCGCAGTCGAGTCATGGTCACCAATGCCACCTCTTGGATGAACAAATGAAGTGGCGTTAGGTTTAACATGTTTTCCATGGCTGCAGTGGGGGTAGTCCGCAGCGCACCTGTAACATACAAACACGCAAGTCTCTGTACTTTAACCAGTTCATGTTGGTGACATTGGGTCATTAATTTTTCTAGTTTTTTTGTCCATGGATGTTTAAATACGTTCTAAGCATCGAATACAAGGTCCACAATGATGAGGACATTGAACTCTGAGCAATTTCTCTTATTTTGGGAGGTGTACATGAAACATGTTTGTCAGGTGAATACATTTTGTGTTTTGACAGTTTCTAATTGTCAATTCAAAGTTTCTATTTTCAAGTGTTCCGGTGTTACCAACTGCTACATACCTATTTCCTTACATTGCCAAAATTTACTTTATTTTTGAGAAAAAAAAGGATAGAAACGCGAATTACAAAAAATAGCATAAAAAACACGTTTCATAAGACTTAAAGCACTCATTCATTCAACATGAATTCGTGCATTTCAAGCGTGTCTTACGAAACTTGTTTTTTAATATACTATTAGATTTTACTTGCTTATGCAACCAAAATAACACCTACATAATTCTTTTAATAATTTATTTACAAATATTTTTCTAAGTTCTTAATTATATTATACAACCTTCTTTAACACCGAATAAAATCTCAAGTTCTTTCTTAATAACATTGTTAATCAAATTTGCCGTGTTATATACATGAACATTTCGACCTGGATCGTTTTTAAAGACTTTAATACCTGGCTTATGAACCAAGAAAGCGTTATCTAAAATCATCATGTCATAATCTTTAACACACAAAATGTACCCCTACAAAAAAAAAACATTACTTAATTGTTTCTTCTTATCTTATTCGTACCTTTGTCAACATACTTGTGTCATTTTATCACTTTTTCCTTCCCAGCTTAATCTTTCATCATAAATCGGATCATCTTTTGTTCCAATATAAATTGGTTCCCATTTTGCAAATGGACCGAATCTTTTGCCTACATGAAATACGTTTAAACCTTCAGTTTCTTTGGTATCAATCCATTCACTATATTTCGGTGTGTTATGGCATGCAGCGCACACGTATTGATGAAAGTTAATCGCCTTTTTATCCTTTAACATGATTAATAATTCTGTTTTTGTTCCAGGAATATTAGCATCTTTTTCCACCTCAAATAAATTTAATGGAAACACCATTGGATTTTTATTTGAAAAGATTATTTGGCTTTTATTAATCATTTCTAAAAAATTTTCAATTATATTTAAGCTTGGATAAAGCTCGATATCTGAAGCTAAAACAAAATATGTTTGGGATGATTCTTTTGCAATGTTTCTTGCTACATTGACCGGATATGTTAGGTTGTTCAATGCTTTGTAGGTTTTTTCCGAATTTATTGTTTTAAAACTTGGATCAATGCTACAGTTGTATGCAGAACTAAAGACTTCATTCAAATTTGGAATCTAAAATGAAGAGATTAGGAGATATAACAAAAAAAAATTATTTACCTCTTTCGGATGGTGCTCTCCTTTAAAGAAAACGTGAAACGTAACATATTCCTCGATTAAATACGTTGTACAGTCTCTTAAATAATGAATCGAGTCAACGGAGCTTTTAAAATCATCTCCAGGGGCGTATAAAGCGACTCCAATGGGACCTCTCCATCGTTCTAACAATGGTGGTAAATTGTCCAAGAATGTAAAATCTCCATGAGTGGTGTATGTAATACTTTCAAATTGCGCGAAAGTTCTTTTTGAAGTTAATAAGTTATAAAAAACCCAGTATTCACCTCGTTGTTGAATCCTTAATAACGGATTATGCAAATACCGATTTGTAACATTTTCCTAAAACATTAATTTGATTTAACTTATGCAACCAATTCAATACAATTAATTTTAATTAAATTGTTAATTACTAATTACACTTTCATTTTTTTCTTTCATATTAAGTTTTTCCAATAGCCAATAATTATAAGGGTCCACTTTTTCTACACATTTAGGTTGAAAGAATATATAAATAAACACTACGAGGGCGCAACAACATAAAATCACCATGAAACGATTCGAATTCGAAAAATTCATTTTTTACATATAATAACCATCAAGATTCATAATGAAATGGATAAATTTTTTTTTAAACTGTTATTTCATTTAATATTAAAGCGAAATAACGTGACAGGAAAATCTATCTTATCTTTTACTAGGCAAACATATCCGAAACACAATCTTAAACTTTGTTTGTGATAAAAATATTAAATTAATTAAACATTTAAATTTTAGCGGGAATTTTTTTATCGACATCTTTAAAGTGTCAAAAAAATGTCAAAAATAAAAAGTAAAGGTTATAAGGGGTTGTTAAATTTCAATTTGCAAAAAGCGTGGTTACGTTTGGTGTTAAATTGAATAATAAATGTGTTTTATTTATTAAGTCTGAATTGTTTATCATTTTATTACTTGATAATGTACAATTTATGACTCAATAACCTTGATGAATTATAACTTGAAACAATTTCCTATCAAATAACGTAATGCATTAAAATTTATGTTAATAAAAAAACCTATTGATTGTTATTAATGAGGTTTATCTGAATTAACTTATCATACTAATCCGTACTTAATAGATAAGATTTTCAAAAACACTTCTAAAATTCTAATCGCGTAAAATGGTTAGAATGACTCCTTTAAATAAAACGGACTACGTGGTGATTTTCTAGTAACTCGTCCAATTCTCTACGTTTAAAATGCCCACTTTACGACTTGGAAACGTTGTACCGAATTTTGAAGCACCCAGTACTCAAGGGGTAATCGATTTTTATGAATACCAAGGAAATTCGTGAGTATAAAACAAAATTAAATAAAAAATGTTTATTTTAAAAACGATTTTAGTTGGGTCATTTTATTTTCACACCCAGCCGATTTTACCCCTGTTTGCACGACTGAATTAGGTAGAATTGCTGTTCATCAGCCGGAATTTTCCAAAAGAAACGTTAAATTATTGGCGCATTCTTGTGATAAATTGAAATCTCACGTCGATTGGGTTAACGATATCAAAAGTTATTGTCAGGATATTCCCGGGGAATTTCCCTATCCAATAATCGCGGATGAAAATCGAGAATTGGCTGTTAAATTAGATTTGATCGACGAGTATAATCGTGATAATGAAGATATGGCGTTAACTGTACGTGGACTTTATGTTATCGATCCTAAGCATAAACTACGATTATCGATGCATTATCCGGCTTCAACCGGAAGAAACGTTGAGTAAGATTTATTTTTTATTGAAATTATTAGAAATAATCTTTTATTTTTTTTTAGTGAAATGTTGAGGGTTATCGATTCGTTACAATTGGTTGATAAAATTCCTCAAATTGCCACACCGGCCAATTGGATGGTAAAATTTAAAAATTTATTTATTTTTTTGATTTATACCATCAAATTTTTTAGCCTGGTGATAAAGTCATGATTGTACCCTCGATTAAAGATGAAGAAGCCGAAAAATTATTTCCGGGCAGCGTTGATAAAGTCGATATGCCATCTGGTGTTTGTTATGTCAGAACAACCACAAAATATAACAAATAATAACGAATTTTGTTAGAATTTACATAATAAATAAAAAATATTAATAAATAACTGTCAGTTTGACATAAGTTTGAGAGGTTTCAAAACATGATATAACAAAATTCCCTGTAAACATTGCCAACTTTACAACAATGTGACAATCAAGAATGCACTCGTAAATCTAACCTAAAAAATTGTTCTTATTTAATGTAATTTGTCGATTTAAATATCTAAAAATGTATAAAATCAAATTCTATATTAAAATTCTGTTTGTAACAATAAATAATTTTGATTTTTTAAAAACAACGTTTAACTCTGTTCAATTCCACATTCCTTCTTCTCATTTCCTTTTACATTTAAATTTGACGCCAACGTGCGCGGTTGCTTTATCTGATCGCATCATAAACGAATACTTTGAAATGAATCAACAACAGTCCGTAGTTTCCTGTATCCCGAATTCGAGTAGGATGTCGAAGGCTAAGCGAGTACTTGAAGAAGCTCGGGAAATCCAAAATCCCGAGCTGGATTTAAGTGATAAAGGCATTTCAACGTTCGAGGAGATGCCCGGGATACGTAAGTAAACGTTAAAAACGTAGCCGGTTTTACCAAATTTGGAAAATCGGGGTCGAAGTGTTAAAAAAGAGAAATGGAATCGTAGTGGGCGTGGTTTTTTAAGCGGGAAATTCAAATACTTTAATTTTTAATTTAATGTTTTTTTTTTAGTAAATATGCTGAATATAACCAGGTTGACTTTGAGCCATAATAAAATTAAAGGTTAGTTGTATAAATTGATAATAAGTAAAATAAAATTTGATTTATTTATCTTTTTAGCAATCCCACCTGGTTTGGCTAATTTAACAAATTTGGAGATATTAAATCTAGCTAATAACCATTTAGAAGAACTTCCCTTGTCTTTATCTTCAATGCCAAAGTTAAGAATTTTAAATTTATCGATAAATAAACTTTATTCCCTTCCCAGAGGGTTTGGTGCTTTTCCAGTTCTTGAAGTTTTAGACTTAACTTATAATAATTTAAGTGAGAAAACATTGCCAGGAAATTTCTTTATGATTGAGACTTTACGTGCATTATATTTGGGTGATAATGACTTTACCGAACTTTCATCTGACATAAAAAATTTAAAAAATCTTCAAATCGTAAGTACATAATTGAAATCTTTCGCAAATCTTATTAAAGTGTTAATTTTTGAAGCTTGTTTTGCGCGAAAACGATTTAATATCGCTTCCAAAGGAAATCGGGGAATTAATTCGCCTCCGGGAACTTCACCTCCAAGGAAATCGTTTGACGATTCTTCCACCAGAAATCTCCAATTTAGATATGACCAGTAATAAGTCGTGCTTTAAGTTTGAAGGAAATGTTTGGGTCACTCCAATTGCGGATCAATTAAAATTGGGTGTTAATCATTTAATGGATTATCTAAAAAGTGAAACATACAGAATGTAAGTATTAAAATATGTTTAATAAATCAACTTGTTTATTATATTTAGCTTTATTTGAGGTACAAGGTTAAATACTAGGTTCTCTTACATAACCTCAACTCCTTCATGTTTTTTTATTCTATTGTTAGATGGCGTTACTTTGATTTTTTCATCACAAAATATTTTTGAATAAATAATTTCATTTTATATTTTTCAGTATGTACAATCGTTATACAAGTGAAAGACATGAAATTCCACCACCTTGTATTGATAAGGAAAAGAAAGTTTCTCGAGTCCATTAGAAAAAAAGCAACTTTGAATACATGGTGCTAAAACTGCCATTTTCTTTAATATTATTAAAGTATTAATTATAATTAATCAAGCTTTGAATCTAATAATTAACCAAAATGTGCCTTTTATTTATTATTATGTGCTTTATTAAAATAAGAACTTAAATAATAAACTTTTTTTAATAGAAAATAAAAACAATAAATTAATTCTTGTAGTATGATTTTATTTATAAATACATACAACAAAACATTTTTTTATAATAAATGTCTTAACGGTAAGATTTTTGATAACGTGCACGAGCACCTGGACCTCCAAACTTCTTGGGTTCGCATCTACGTGGATCGGCAACCAATAAAGTCCTATCGTATTGAATCAAAATATCTTTTAATTCTTTTTTGGAGGCTTCATCAACATCTAAACAAAGATATTTAGTTAATAATTAAATTAATAAACAACAAGAACTTACATTTTTGATAATAAGCCACCAACGCTTTTGAAATAGCTTGTCTGATGGCATAAATTTGTGAAACATGTCCACCACCGTTTACTCTTACTCTGATATCAACAGCAGCGAACTTTTCCTACAAAAAAATAAATTAGAAGAAACATATTTGACATAACCTCAAAATGCAAAATTTACCCATAATCAGTAATTTTTGAATTTTAATCAAAAAAAAATCATATTCGGGATAATTAAATTCATCATAATATTAAAATAGAAGAATTGAAGATATAAAAACAATAATAGTTACCTTTCCCAATAATAAAATGGGTTCATGTAATTTATCTTGAAGCATTTTTGGTTCAACTTGATTTAACGGGCGTCCATTTACCCTCAAAATACCACGTCCTCGTTTACAATAAGCGACCGCGGTGGCGGATTTCTATGTAAATGAACAAGAAAATAATGCACAAAACACGCGACATGTAAAAGTGAGGTTATGTTTGTTAAAACTCACCTTTCTACCAAAAACTTGCACTGAGTGCAACGGTTCACGTTTTTGCTGCAAGAAAAACGAAAAATTAGTAAAACAGTAATTAAATGAGTACATTTATTTCATATTTACCTTCTGCATGTTTAATTCACTTTGACAGCGTCAAATGCGGAAAGAAAAGGAAATATGGCCGATAGTACAGGAAGTATAACATGAAGTTGGAATACTACATGTGTCAATTGATGGTTTGAAATTTATTTAACAGTCGCGTTTAATTTAAAAAATTTAATTAATATGTGTTGAATAAACTAAATGATTATTTTAAAGGTTTGGATGTAATTAACGATGTATATTTATTTTTAAATAAATGTTATCGTTGCTGTTTTGACTTAATTTGTTATATTGCGCCATCTGGGTAACTTTCAAATACAGTTTTAAAACTTACAAAAAAGTATCTTTTTTATTTTTTTAAGTATCTTTATTTTTTTTTAGCCTTTTACATAGTACAACACGATAAAATATCACAATGAGCTACATTTAAACAATGGCGTTGTAAGATTTGATATGTATTGGTTTTCTTCCTCAACTTTTATCTTTTCTTGTGATATGTGTGCGTTTACGATTACTAAAATAAGCACAAAAAACGAACCAACGAAGAACGAGTCGACCCAACGAAACTACTAGTAGTTGGACTACACTTTAACAACACCGATAAAAAGCTTCTTATTAATAATACTACCCAAAATTGCAGTATCTTTTTTTAAAATTCTTTGTTTAATTTATTACTAATTGGGTGGACAAGATTATACTGTTACGGGCCGTTCCGTGACGAGTTTCAACAAATTCTAAAGAAAAAACAACAATAAATAAGTAATCTAACAAGGTAACATTCAATAAGCTTTTTTTTCTAATAATAATTTGACTTTTTCACATTTATAAATATCTTGTAAATATTGGGTTGTTTTTAACAATTAAGTAAGACAATCCTTTTACTTAATTTAATTAATTTTTATTTAATATTTGCGACTATCGGGGTTAAAAATATATTTTTACTGATAACGCACCGGTTTTATTTAGCATTTCCTGCTTTCTTCTTCGACTTTTTAAGTAGATATTGCTAATACACGATTATTTTGTTATTAAAAACTTTATTTACAAAAGAAAATATCATCGAATTCAAAATATAAAAATTAGATAGGATATTTTAATCTACTAGAAGCAGTGGATTCTATTAGAAAATGTTTTTTTAAAAATGAGAAGTTTTAAATAAAGTTTTTTTACAATAGGATGTCTTTACTTATATAGTTTTTCTTACATTAAGTGATTATTATTTCTAAATGCGACACGTTTGTGCAAAAGTTAGGCTTTTAACATGAATATAATAAAAATAAATTATGAATAAAATGATTTTTGGTAGAATCTAAGACGATTGCTCCTAGAGATGTTATAAATTTGTATTTTAGGGGAACAATATGTTCCTAAAAAGTGATTAAAAAGTACAACTATTTCTCTGTTCCTTTGTTCCCCCTTAGTTTATTTTTAGCTTTATTCTAAAACAACAAGAAATAGACCTATCTAATCCCATATTTTTGTAATCAGAAAAAAATAACGAATAACGATTACAAAAGAACACTCATTTCAGATTCTACCGTCCTTAGACTTTTCGTATATAAGGCATATAATACTGGTTAACTATCTAAGATAACTTGCTTCAGTCTATTTTGGAATAATAACAACAATAACGGAAAAGGAAAGTCTTAATCGAATTTTTAAAATAATTTCTTATTTTTACTCTGATATGTATATAATTTTCTATAGATATGTATACGTTTTTAATAATTTGATATGTATACGTTTACATTGTTGATAATTGACCCAAATACGAATCAAAAAACTAATACAATTAGTTTTTGTTTTTTATTTTTACACAAATTGATATTAATTTAATTTTCTCTTTTAGTGGCTAACAGATTTTGCATAGAAATCAAACTTTCCTCTAAACTAAAAACGAATTTTTCAGTATCGGTTTTATCCGAACTGTGAAACGATGAAATACAAAAAATAATGAAATCATTTTTAGGGTTGTAAGAGGCTCCGTAACCATCCGGTTCCACAGCCCCGTAACCCATAAAGCTATTTTCTAAACTAGTCGCAACTTGACTAGTACTCAATAAAAATTTATTAGCCAATTGATAAGATTGATCGGTAAAAATTTCGGGCAGCGGGCTAGAATACACAGGGCTAGTTTCTTTGGCGGCTTCTCGTAAACCTAATAAATGTACATCGATTCCTTGTCCTAAAATATTATCGATCATCTCTTCCGTTTGGGCTTTAATTGCATCTCGGAATAACATTAACTTTTGTTCTTCCGAAATTAAATCGAAACTAACTTTTTTATTAGTTATATCATCGTATTTCGATGGTTGTTGGGCCATAGCTTGGACCCATTTTAAAGCTTCCGGCGTCGCTGAACGTATACAATCAACTCGGCCGTTCAAAAAGCGCCGTGTTGAAGCGCTTTCATAAGTTGCTGTTAATTTTGAATAAATTTTATAATAAGCAAGTTGCAAAGCAAGTTGAATATACGCATCCGGACTAACTTTAAATGATTTTATTAAATTTTTTCCATAATTATTAAATTTATAAACATAAAAATCTAAGTCTTTAATTAAAGAGTCTATAAACCGCGTTGCTTCTTCGATTTTAACGTGAACGTCTTGTTCAACGTTCCAAGTTAATTTCTCTGGATTTGGTAAATAAGAATTAGATTTTGGCATTTCGGGGTTATGGGGGAGGTCGTTTACGATTCCAATGGATTTTTCAATCATTTGAATTAAAGATACCGCTTCGGCAAAGCTGTGTTCATAACACAACCCCAAAGACCCATCGCCCGAAACAATAATCTGTAACGTTTTATCGAACCAACGATTGGCCGTGTTAAAAGTACTTCCCCCACCGTGAAGCATTTGAAGAGTTAAATTGGTTTCATCACGTTTTAATTCTTCGACATTGGAATTTCTTTTCTTCATTATTGTACTGTTAAAATTTGGTGGGAGAGGTTCATCTAGACAAATTAAAAACAAAGATTTCTCAATCATTTCTAAATTTCTCGAATTCTGTTGATCTTGTTTCAAGATTTCGCGAACTTCCGCCCAAAGATTTCGTTTCCATCCAGTTAACAACCCGATGGGGCACGTTTCTTTTAAACACGGGGCGTCATCAAGTATATACAACAATTGCGAACACAATTCGTCTTCGTTTAAACGTCCTCTATCAGTCGCTTGAATGGGAATACAATAAAATTGATTTCGGCATAAAACAATAACATGTTGTTGTTCGTTTTTAAGCGGGTTTGAAATGTATTGCTGATCGATTTGGTTTCCGGGAATTCGACATGAACCTAAAATACGATAATATTGGGCCATACAAAGAGGTTGACCTGGTTCTCGTGACGTGGCTTTTTCCGTTTCAAGTAGTCCTTGATCTAAGGTTACTTTATAATCCATAATTGCTTGAATTAATCTTGATGTAAATCTGGCTAAATCTAAGATTGTTGTAAACCTTCTTGAAGGTAAAACCATTCCCGGATTTGAATTGATTGGTAAAGATGCTTGGTTGCCTAAGTACATGTCTTTTAACCAGTATTTGTAGGCCTGAAAAATAACAAAAAATTATTACTTATTTTTTTTTGCGTTTCTTTGAATTTCTTGAATTACTATGATATTTAGAGTACCTACTGGGGCATAAATCACATTAGGTCTACACTTAGTAGGAAGATATGTCCCTAACAGTGTAAACTACCAGAGTTATTATTTTAGCCTTGCTCAGGTTAAACTCGCTTATTAATGGAGTCACTGTTGCAGCATCATCTCTGGGAATTCCAAATAGATTGGGTAAGGTTCGTTTTGTTTACTGGATTGATGGTTCAAGTAAAAAAAGGCAGTTTTGTTTACAGGGTTAATGAGCTCCAGCTAAAAGATGTTATATACGACCAGTTTTTTCTGCAAAAAGGCATAGAAGCCTGCTCCCAGTAATAATATCCCTATATACAGGGTGTCTCAGCGAGACCGGTCATTAGACGTTTCTGGGTTCTGGCGAAAATAAAAATTTGAGAATTCAGACTTAAGTATTATCAATTACGTTCTCTTCATCTAAAATATTTTCATATTTCTAGCACTTCCGGTTACACCGGAAGTCGCCACCAACTTTATTTTTTTAAATGGAACACTCTGTATATTTTTACATATTTGGATTTGTCTGTTGTCAAGGTTTATAAATAACTTTACTTTTTGCAATTTGATTCGGTCGTTCTCGAGTTATTCGAATTTTTCTAGAATAATCTGCTCCAGCAGACATTTCTTCAAAAAATCAGAAAACACTCAATTTTTGGGATATCAATTTAGGATTGAGAACATGCTTAAGCAACATGATGGAGTATGTTTTGGTGCCAAGAACTGCGGTCTAGAACGTTTGATCACTTTACTATGACACGTTAACTTTTCAAAATTTGGAAGTACCATAACTTCATTTTTTTAAATGGCACCCCCCATATTTTATTTTTTAGTCGTCTTCGGTGTCTCATTCTACATCTTTTATATCCCATATGGCCCATACCTAATATTAATAGTTTGGGAGATAATTAGGGTTTTTTGAAAAATGCACACATATCATATGGATATTTAGCCTAGTGTGCCATGAAAAACAAGCCTTCTCAATGAGTTCTTGTCAGAAACTCACTTGTTTACGTCACTTGATGCATGTGAGCTAATAATTATCTGTTATGTCCCTTAATATTAGTACTGAAACGAGTTAAAATCGATAACAATAACGAAAGTGATATTTATACAAATCAAGAAATTCTTAATTTATTTTTTTTGCATGAAAAGCGCGACAAAGTTCGTAGTATGATTCCCAGATCTTCTTTGGCAGCTCGAATTGAGGTGTTGGGACTGGGCTCGAAATAAGCCAAGGTATTCACCTCTTCCGTTGCATTATCTACTACATTTTTTGGTCAGTTTAACAAGTGATTAATTCGTTCAAAATGCAAAAATTTGCTTCTATTCCTCTAAATTTACCTTTTGTCATCGGAGATAAATGTGGATAATTTTCATTAAACATTCTGCAAGTTCTACTAAGAACTTTGTCGCACTTTTCGTGCACAAAAAATAAATTATGGATTTTTTCATTTGTATAAACATTATTTACGTTATTAATATCCATTTTAACTGGTTTTAGACTCACAAGCATCAAACAACCTAAATTAGACTTTGACGTTTATCAATAAGTCATTAAACATTTGTTTTCCATGGCACACTAGGTTAATATCCATATGATATGTGAGCATTTTTCAAAAAACCCTAATTATTTCTCAAACTATTAATGTTAGGCATAGGATATATGGAATATAAAAGATGTAAAATGAGACGCCGAAGACGACTAAGTAATAAAATATGGGGGGTGCCATTTAAAAAAATGAAGTTATGGTGCTTCCAAATTTCGAAAAGTTAACGTATCATAGTAAAGTGACCAAACGATCTAGACAGCCGTTCTCGGCACCAAAACATACTCCATCATGTTGTTTAAGCATGTTCTGAATCCTAAATTGATATCTCAAAAATTGAGTGTTCTATGACTTTTTGAACAAATGTCCGCTGGAGCAAATTTTTCTAGAAAAATTCGAATAACTCGAGAATTGCTGGTTCAAATTGCAAAAAGTAAAGTTATTTATAAACCTTCAAAACAGACAAATCTAAATATGTAAAAATATACAGGGTGTTCCATTTAAAAAAATAAAGTAGGTGGCGACTTCCGGTATAACCGGAAGTGCTAGAAATCTGAAAATATTTTAGATGAAGAGAACGTAATGGATAATACTTAAGTCTGCATTCTCAAATTTTTTGTCCAGAAACGTCTAATGACCGGTCTCGCTGAGACACCCTGTATAGCAAGCTATAGCTTTAACTATATACCTACATTATGGAGGAAAGCAAAGGTGGTCTACCTAAAGGTGGTAAGCGATTCCTAAAGAACTAAAGGTTCCTCAAAGATAGTGATGGAACGGATAGTGATTTTGCGTCTATACCGGCTATTCGTATAGGCGCAAATATATCATGTTTCCATTTAAAAAAGCGAAAATTGTCATATCTCAACATCTAAAACCGACAAAACAATTCTCTGTAAAAAAGTGTCCATATAATGTCTTAGTTATAATACTCCACCTATAATAATAACCAAGATAATTGCACTTGCTTGTTTTACGATATATTCAATTGAGGTTTGAGCGCTTTGAGGTTTTCGGTATTGGAATTCATTTAAATAAATAGATCGAGATATGTAAGCTACTTTTTTGTAATTCGCGACGGTAATGAAAGCTCTAACAGTACCCAAACAGGTGTTGTAATGAGACTCCTTACAGCATCCGATGCTGTAATGAGATTTTAGTAACATTTTATAGAACCAGTTCAAGTTGGTGACATTGGGTCATTAATTTTTCTAGTTGTCAATGTGACAACTTTTGTCTATGGATGTTTAAACATGTTCTTAGCATCGAATACAAGGTCCACAATGATGAGGATATTGAACACTGAGCAATTTCTCTTATTTTGGGAGGTGTACGTGAAACATTTTTTTCAGATGAATGCATTTTGTGTTTTGACAGTTTCTAATTGTCACTTCAAATTGTCATTTTCAAGTGTTACGGTGTTACCAACTGCTGCATACCTATTTCCCTACATTGTCAAAATTTATTTTATTTTTGTTAAAAAAAAGGATAAAAACGCGAATTACAAAAAATAGCATAAAAAACACGTTTCATACTCATTCATTCAACATGAATTCGTGCATTTCAAGCGTGTCTTACGAAACTTGTTTTTTAATATACTATACTGTACTTGAATGCTACTTTCTCTTGTATTTATAGGAGAGTGTAAGTTGGATTGGATTGAGTACATCGGTTTGTATTCGTTGCATCGAATGTTTGACTTTGGTGGTGTATTTGTGCTTTTAATTTATTGTATTTACCAACTAATTTATTATTTTGTTCATTTGGAAATATGTCTTAAGCACCCTATTTGTTTATTTTGTCAACCCCTGAAAAGTTTTCGGTTGGATGCATCGTTGAGGTATGCTGTTTGAGTTACGCTACAATCCAATTATAATTTTTAATCTCCCCCGGGAACCGCCGTACCCCCGTGTTTGTCCCGAGACTTAGGGATCTCGAGCGAATTTACTTTCAGTCATCTGAAGCGTATCGGAACGTCCGTCGTCAAATTTTTTCTATTAAATTTTTTATTCATCCAAAAAAATGAAAAAGAATTATTGAATCAAATTTTTTTACCCAATTATCCATTTTTTCTTTCCGATCTTCCAAATACAGCTGTAGCTTTGCTCCCAAGCCATTCGGATTTCCGAATTTCTCGATAATTTCATAAACCCGTTGTTTTTCCTCGTCGTCATTTAAGAGCGGTTGAAGTGTTTTTTCGTATTTTCTTAGCGTTTGGGCCAAGGGTGGAACTGGAAGTTTTGGTAATTGGGACACCTGAAATCAAAAACAATTTTTTTAATTGGTGATTGAACCGAATCAAAGGGTAATTCGCGTGATCAAACACGTTAATTGGGTGCGGATCCTTCGTAGACGAATGATTCATGGTTTGTTAATTTGAGGCAGCCCCACGCATGATTGCCCTACACCCCCTAAAAGTTACCCCAGATATTTATCCCTCACACCCTTATGTTTCATGAATTTATACATAAATTATAGATATGTCAAATTTCTTTTTTGGTAAATGTTGAATTTTTTGTGAATTTTATTTTAAGTTAATTTTTTAGATTCAATTCAATCGATTCCAATTTGGTTTTTTCCCTATATAGTACTTAGGATAAGTACGTAGTTAGTCACGATTACGACACGTGCCTCGACGTTTCGACACGTGTCCCCACTTGTTCCTTTCATTTAAATTGAAAAAAGCAAAAAAAACTATCCTGATATAATAATTGTTAACATACCAAGTTCAGCAGGAGATCTTCCTGCAATTTTTTGAATCGTTTGAGGTGTGAGTATTTCATTTTAACCGAGAACAGTACGTTTTCGCCTGAAATGTTCTTCCTAAAGCCCGATTTTCCCGGCTTATCTACGCGGGGTCGCTACTGTACCTACCTCAGGTATTGATCGCGGCAAATATAGAACTTGCTTTTGGGGTCGTTATATGTTCGTGTCGAAAGTTCAAAGCTAAAATAATTTAAACAGTTTCAAATAAACGACAGAGAAGAAATTTAAATTCTATATTTTTACAAACTTTTCATTCTACATCATTTTAAATTGTCCTATTCGAAATGGTATTCTCTGGAGACGTTCCCTAAGAACACAATTTACATGTTTAATGTCTCATGGGGTTTCTCCCTTCAAAATCGGACTCAAATTTAATTCCAACACCCTTCAAGGTTTCGCATTTTATACCCAACACCTTCAAATCGACTGATTTGGACGTGTACAATTTCGGGGAAACGGACGTAAATCACCAGAAACGTCTATGACGAAACGAAAAACGAAGAAAAAGCGGTGGAGGAGCTGGGGATGGAGGTGCTCCCCGTCAATGGAATTATCTGCTTGCTTGCGAACTGCTCTTTTGAACGGAGTCCTGTTTCCTGCCGGTTCTTTTGTCGAAACCGAAGTGCCGGGCTTCACTTTATTAGATCTACCGGTTCAAAAAAAAATCGAAAAGAATGAATGGACCGACGAAAATAGAAGGAGAACAACCAAAAAGAAAGAGATTAAAAAGGATAGAGACTAAAAACGAAATAGTCTAATCTTTTTTTTTAATGGAAAAAGGGGTTTTTGCCTTGATGATTCATTCTTTATAAAAAATTTATGCTCTTTGTTCTTTAATTATTTATTAAGTGGGGTTGGGTTGTTTATATAGCGAGTGTTCACCCTAAATAAGACATGAAAAAAAAAAAAGAAGAGGGTTGGGTCTTTTACCTTGGGGTTTCTTTTAAATTAATATTTAATGAATCAGTTTCTCTTTTAACAGCAAGTTAGCAAGTATTTTCTTTGTAAAACGTAACCTATGGTTTGGAATCTCAAATTAACCCTTTGTGTCCCAAGAGGTCAAACATTTTGAAACTTTGTGACAGAATTAAAACGCTATCAAAATGCACTCAGTAAAGGCCTTTGGAATAAAATTTTAGCAAAATATGCAATCCCCCTATTTTAGCATAGTCTAATTGTAAGTGTCAAAAAAGATGCTAATTCAAAAATTCCTGAAAAGCGTGTTTATTGAAATTAAGAAATAAAACTTATTTTAAATTGAAGCTTAAAGCTTTCTGTTTAAATCGATGTATAACAATCGATAGGTTGAATTAGAAAAATATTGAGAAGTGTCAAAAAAGATGCTAATTTAAAAATTCCTGGAAGCCGTATTTATTGAAATTAAAGAATGAGACTTATTCTATATTAAAGCTCAAAGCTTTCTTTTTAAAATGATGTATAATAATTGTTGGGTTGGATTGGAAAAATATTGACAAAAAACATGTTGAAACAAAACTTACATTTTCGTATAACCTAAGAGTGCCAAAAAAGATACTAATTTAAAAATTCCTGGAAGCCGTATTTATTGAAATTAAGGAATGAGACTTATTCTAAATTAAAGCTCAAAGCTTTCTCTTTAAAATGATGTATAATAATTGTTGGGTTGGATTGGAAAAATATTGAGAAAAAAAATGTTGAAACAAAACTTACATTTTCGTATAACCTAAAAGTGTCAAAAAAGATGCTAATTTAAAAATTCCTGGAAGCCGTATTTATTGAAATTAAGGAATGAAACTTATTTTAAATTTAAGCTCAAAGCTTTCTCTTTAAAATGATGTATAATAATTGTTGGGTTGGATTGGAAAAATATTAAGAAAAAAAAAATGTTGAAACAACACTTACATTTAAAAGAGTCAAAAAAGATGCTAATTTAAAAATTCTTGGAAGCCATGTTTATTGAAATTAAGACACAAAGGGTTAAGAACTATAGCTTTAATTTTATGTTTCAGTTTATTTTAAAGTTTGAGTTAATTATTGATTCCCAAGTTGTAGTTTGCAAGAATGGTTCTAAAGCAGAAAAAGCAGCTGTTCTACATCCCACATCTACTGGAATTCACCGTGCGTGTCACTCTTCGCATATTTATATAGTTCTACCAGGTCCAATGCTTCTATAGAGTTTGGTGAGTTATAAGCAAAGATATGTTAAAATTCTTATGGATCATGATTCCTAAGACACCTTACAATATTTTTTGTCCATAACAAATTGTTCCATTATTCCCACATCGTGAGTTGTAACCCATTCATTATGCATTGTCTTTCATTTAACAGCTAGAAGTTTTTCCATTCTCTCCTACTGCCTCCAAGGAGTAGTCAGCAATCGCTCGAAGTTTCAAATGATTTCAATAACTGTACTTTGTTAAGTAGCCTTCTTTTTAAATGTAACAACTTTCAGGTTATCTTTGTATCATCATTGTTTTCATTCAAGTATTGTCCTCTTCTCGAAAACCCGATCGCGTTACAAATGGCGTTTACGCTTGTCTGAGGGTAAATAAACGAAGGGTAGCTTCGAACCCCCGTTTATTTTAACCGCCCCCCATGTGAAAATACCAGGCTTAGCAGGTGTTTCGGTGTTATTATAAGAACCGTGATGATGACACATCATCAAACAGAAATATTTCGTTATTTATTTCTTATTAATGAAAATAATTTAGGAAAAAGAAACTAATTTTGTTTAAAGGGGGCCGATTTGGTGAATGCGGAGATCAAAGGCCGGTCAAGTTGTAAAAGGACGTGATTAAATCGTAGGTGGAAATGGGAGTCGGAAAAATGAAATAGGGGGCTCTGTCGGGGTAAGTTCTTCTAGTAGGTGAAGGGAAGCGTCCCCACAATCGACACGTGTCCTTGTTACGGGGCCCCCTTATTCAACTTAGAGGATTATGCACGCCGGCCTTTATACGGACCTCGGTTTTATTCATTAATTAACCTTTGTACCAAGAGGGTATTTTGACACCATTTCATTGAGTATAGGGTGTTCAATAGCAGTCTGATAATAAAATTTAAGTATATAATATATTTAGTATATTAAAAATGATTTATTATTAATATTAATTTAATTTAAATTATTTATGGCTTACTAAATCATTATTAAATTTGCTTTAAAATGTTGGTTATTTCATCACGCTATCTCAATTCGTTCTTGAGATATGATTTTTTTTGTTTCGTAAAATTCTAAAAATCTGTAACAATCATATATGTCATGTTGGATTTAAAAAATCATAACAACGAAGTTTATGGAAAATAAGAAATTATTTATGGCCAACTAAATCTTAATTAAATTTGCTTTAAAATGTTGGTTATTTCATCTCGCTATCTCAATTCGTTCTTGAGATACGATTTTCTTAGTTTATGTTTGTAAAATCGATAAAAATCAAATATGGAAAGTTGGGTTTCAAAAATTATAACAACGAAGTTTATGGAAAATAAGAAATTATTTATGGCACTCTAAATCTCTGAAATGAGGCAGTTTGTTGTGATTTTTGTTGAAACAAAGTTATTACGTTGTTGTCAACAAAGCAAGCAAAAAAAAACTTTTTCCAACTGCCCATTTCCACTTGACCCCCACATTGGGGTTCGTATTGATCCACCTCGACTCCGCCTGCTCCAGGCACCTGCCAGGATTTGACTTGCACACTAATTCTCATCCTTGGGTTATATTTTAAAAGAACTCATTTCTCTTCTTCAACAATTCTTTACTAACCACGAATCCAAATCGATTCTACTTAATTGGAATTGAATGGAAAAAAATAATAATCTTACCTCGTCAGTAGCAGCCGAATTGTTGTAATTTGCAAAAGGAGCCGCCGAAAGGATTTTCTTTGGTAAAGAAAGAATCGATTCCTTCCATCCTGAAATAACAAAATAACTATTTTAAGATTTCGATAGAAATTGTTAATTTGAATTTGTTTTCAAAAGGAAATTCGGTTTCTTGGTCGTTATCCGAGATCCGAAAAGCAATTAGTGACGAGGAGTTCGTACTCTTCTCTTCTCTTTCTATACATTTTAGTCCTTTTCGTAACAACACAACCGTAGATCGTTTTGTTACGCCCGAAGCTCGACTCGGGGGGGTACCAAAACCGAAAAAGGTACGGCCCCGAGGGACTTCTTTCCCCTTCGCTACAGGCCCCCTTTTACTCTTCTCGTCGACGACCATCGAAACCATCTCTTCGAGTACGCGTCGCGTATAAAAACATCAAACTGTTATTGTTTTTATTACTATCTAGCTTTTATCTGAAACGGAAATGGACAAGGGTGTTGGTTAAGGATAAGGTTTCTCTTTATTTTACTTTATTTTTTAAGACAATATGTTTGAGTAGGAAATATTTATTATCGGATTTTCAACGAGAAGGTTGTTTTTCATGGGTATGATGAGGTCCCGACGCGGTCGTAATCAAGTAATAGGTTGTAATAACATTATATTTGGTCGTCCCGGGCCCCTTTTAATGTCAATTAAGGGCGACGAGGTAAGTCTCTCGTCTGGCAAACGAAGCGGTTACAGTTACGATCCGTCCGCAAACGTGATTAAATTCCGAAGCGAGAAAGAAAACTCTTCAATAATAGAGACTAACTAACATTATCAACAAAAATCTTTATAGAAATTAAAGAAAATTGTTGAAATTGTCGATGAGTTGGTTTAATGGAGCTTACATGACGTGACGTATCTAGCTAATCTTTCTTTTTGTTCCCCTAGGAGGGAACAGAACCTACTTGATTGCTTTTTGTCAGGTCAGTTTATTGTCCTTCGGGTTAGATTGGGTGAGAGAATTTTAGGTGGTGTAAGCAATTTCTTGTAGGGAAAAGATTCTAGAGTCTTTGTTAACAAGTAATGATATTTATATTTAGTATTAATGAAATTTTTTCTTTGTCATATGGATTACAAGTAAGAAACCCCAGCTTTGTTAGTACAACCACTAACAAAGCCAATATAGAAAATTCACCCCCGTTCGTCCTTCTCGCCCCCATTAGAGGGGCAAACCCCAACACGCCCAATTGACTTGCCTACACCAGTTGCCCCA